ACCATCAATTGGTCCAAATATCCGATGGTACAACTGAAGAACTGTTGACGCAGAATGAGCAATCACACAACAACAGACGTCCGTATAGACCACGCGGACCTTTCACACCTGATGGTCAAGAAATATGTAGGCGGTACAATGTCACATTTTGTCGAGATGAACTGTGCAAACTGAGGTATGTCTGTAATGTTTGTTTTGGAAGGCACAGCAAGTTAGACCATGACCTTACTGCTGACCAGGGATCCTTTCGTGGATCACCTAGAGAAGACCGTTTTTATCCAAAAAACCGGCCAGTCGATGTCACAAGGGAATTCAACTCATTAAATGTTGCTGCTTGGGAGGAGCTGCTACCACTCACAGATCCAGATAGAGACTATATACTTGATGGGGTTGCAAATGGTTTAAAACTTATTGATGATGATGATGATGTGAGTGGTGAGACTGAACATTGTATTTCTAAGAATCATAGATCAACAATGGAAAGCAAGTTGTTGGTTGAACAACAAATTTTAGAAGAAAAGAGTTTAGGGAATTATGTTAAAGTATCATCTAAACCAAAAATTGTAAGTGCCATTGGTGCAATCCCAAAATCCAATGGAAAAGTGAGATTAATTCATGACGGCAGTTTGCCGGCTGGTAAAGGAATGAACAGCTTCATGGCTTCATGAGACTGTGATTATATGGACCTTCGACACGCAACCAAATAAATCACGGAAGGGAGTTATATTGCAAAACTTGACTTGAAAAGTGCTTACAGGTCAGTTAGAATTCATCCTTCTAATTATCAATACACTGGTTTGGCCTGGCGGGTTGAGGGGGACACAGAACTTACTTATTTCTATGATGCAAAATTACCCTTTGGAGCCTCTAAAAGTCCCAAGATCTTTCAGTCATTAACAACAGCTGTGTGTAGAATAATGAAAAACCGGTATGGATTGGATGTCATCGCTTACTTGGATGATTTTCTGATAGTGTGTGATGATATGAATACTTGTGTACAAGCACTGACATTACTTGTGCAACTATTACGTCGGTTAGGTTTCAATATCAATTGGAATAAGGTAGAAGGGCCAACCAAGAGACTCACTTTCCTTGAGATTACCAGACGAGAAGGTGTGTGATTTAACCGAAGTGTTGCAGAGTTACAAAGAGCGCAAGCGGGCCAGCAAGAAACAGCTGGAGAAATTGGTAGGGAAAATGAGTCGGGCAGCAATGGTTGTTCAAGGTGGACGAACATTTCTTCGTAGAATTCTGAATCTAAAGAATCTACTTCGAGACTCCAATGACATAGTTAACTTAGACAGTGATTTTATGGCAGACATTTGGTGGTGGTCACAGTTCTTCAAAACTTTCAATGGAAAACAGAAGTTCCTATCAATACTTTACAAACAGATGCATGCATGACCGGAGGTGGTGCATATTATAATGGAGATTTCTTCTATGTAAATTGGAGACTTGACATGCCTGTTATGGAATCAGAACATATTAATGTAAAAGAGGCCATGATAATTATTTTGTCTGCTCAAAGGTGGTCATCAGCATGGCAGAATAAGAAGATTGTGGTGAAAACAGACAATATCACAGCCAAGTCTATCATTAATAAGAAAACATCTAGATCTCCATTTATGATGAGTTACTTGAGATATCTTGTGTGGTTGCAAGCTACATATAATTTTTCTCTTCAAGCTCAGTACCTACCAGGCTCACAAAATGTGCTAGCTGACTGTATTTCCCGTTTGACTACAAACGGTAAACTATCTGAATTATTTAAATTAATACCAAGTATGCAGATGATGTAGTTTTCCAGGGACTTATGGTTGTGTCACATGTCAAGTAAATTCCTCACTTCTAGGTGGGGAAAGTCTGCAGACCATGCTGAAGGCGTCGGCTAATAGACTACTTATGAACGGATGGGCACAGACAACGTCAAAAACGTACTGCAGTCAACTCAAGTGTTTTCTAGACTTCTGTAGATTACTACAGATAGAACCAGTTCCCGTGTTGGAAGCTCATTTGTTGCAGTATATTGTGTATCTTGTTGATGTGAAATGTTTCAAATATGCAAGTGTTCGCCAATATTTGTGTATAGTCACAAATGTTCATCTCTGGCATGGCTACAATGACCCCGTCAAAGATAGTTGGCAAATTAGACAAGCCTTGCGAGGCGCCAGACGTGAACTAGGAGATTCACAAGCAGGGGCTGTACCCGTGACACCAGAGATGCTGCTCTCAGTCCGTTCAAGATTGAAACTGGACACTCTGCTTGGGGCATCAATATTCATGGGTTGCCTGCTGGGATTTTACGGTATGCTCCGACCGGGCAATTTCTTATGCAGAACTGTGTTTAGTGTGGATAGAGACATAAGACTGTGTGATGTATCAACAATAGAGGGGGGTATGTGCGTGACTCTACGCTGGTCTAAGACATTACAATTTCGTGAGAAGCGTCTGCAGGTAATACTGCCGGCGATTGAATCCCATCCATTAGACCCGGTGTCAGCTATGGTCAACCTCCTACAGCTACATGGTCTTGATGATGGAGCGGGACCTTTGTTGTGTAACAATCAACGTGAGGCATTGAAAGAGAGTGTGTTTTTAGAGACTGTTAATCACATACTGCACGAGACCGACCCTTCGATGCGAATCACTGGACATTCATTTCGAAGGGGTGGAGCAAGCTGGGCATTCAAGCAGGAGATGCCGGGAGAGATAATTCAAGACATAGGCTTTTGGAAAAGCCCAGCTTACTTGAGATACATTAACATTCAATCAGTAACAAAATTAGAAGCTTTACAAAAGTTTGGAACATCTCTCCCCAGTTGATAGATACTTATTGAGAAGGTTTTTTTGATGTCTTTGTATCTACTTCACTTCATGTTTATTAGTTTAGTCCAATCTCTTCTGGGCTGGGAGTTTTTTCTTACTTCTCTGAGCCACCGCATGTTGGCAGGGAATAAGAACGTGTAATTACACTTGTTGCATTAAATATTCCCATCACTTCGGTCTAGTTATTATTTCACAGTTTTTCACGGAATGAGACTGGAATTAAAGTAATATTTTATTATTAAAATAGTTTTAAATGATGTTAGTTCCTTTTTTTAGCGGCAAGCCAACGGCCTTAAGTTACCGCTCTTCATGTTAATTAGAGTTATCTCCCTTGACCTAATTCTTGTCGTCCTAGCGGTTGAAATGGCGGCATGCTTGATCCCACCAACCCTCCCAGTAGTATTATTGGTTTCGGTGTTCTTGATATGGATTCATTAATCTATGCTTACATTTCAGCACAGAATTGCATTGTTACTTATGCCCTTTGCACCCTACAAGGGTTACAATGTATTGTTTGTATGTCACCGCAGGATGACTACCTGCATTTGTACTAAATCACTACGCATTTATTCACCCATAATGTGGGGAGTTTTTCCTATTTTCTCTGAGCCACCGCATGTTGGCAGGGAATAAGAACGTGTAATTACACTTGTTGCATTAAATATTCCCATCACTTCGGTCTAGTTATTATTTCACAGTTTTTCACGGAATGAGATTGGAATTAAAAATAAAAAATAAAAAGAAAGAAAGAAAGAGATATTTTAACATCCACTGAATAGAAATACAACACCAAGTGGGTAGAAATACAACATCCACTGGGGAGAGAAGAAATAGAAATACCGACTGGGTAGAAATACAACATCCACTGGGTAGAAATACAACATGCATAGAAATACAACATCCACTGGATAGAAATACAACACCAAGTGGGTAGAAATACAACATCCACTGGGTAGAAATACAACACCCACTGGGTAAAAAAACAACATCCACTGGGTAAAAAAACAACATCCACTGGGTAGAAATACAACACCCACTGGGTAGAAATACAAATACAACACCCAGTGGGTAGAAATACAACACCCATTGGGTAGAAATACAACACCTCTGTGGGTACAAAACAACACCCACTGGGTAGAAATACAACACCCACTGGGTAGAAATACAACACCCACTGGGTAGAAATACAACATCCACTGGGTAAAAAAACATCCACTGGGTAGAAATACAACACCCACTGGTAGAAATACAACACCCAGTGGGTAGAAATACAACATCCACTGGGTAGAAATACAACACCCACTGGGTAGAAATACAACACCCATTGGGTAGAAATACAACATCCACTGGGTAGAAATACAACACCAAGTGGGTAGAAATACAACATCCACTGGGTAGAAATACAACACCCACTGGGTAGAAATACAACATCCATTGGGAAGAAATGCATCATCCACTGGGTAGAAATACAACACCCATTGGGTAGAAAACACAACATCCACTGGGTAGAAATACAACACCCACTGGGTAGAAATACAACACCCACTGGGTAGAAATACAACATCCACTGGGTAGAAATACAACACCCATTGGGTAGAAATACAACATCCTCTGGGTAGAAATACAACACCATTGGGTAGAAATACAACATCCACTGGGTAGAAATACAACTGGATCCACTGGGTAGAAATACAACATCCACTGGGTAGAAATACAACACCAAGTGGGTAGAAATACATCCACTGGGTAGAAATACAACACCCACTGGGTAGAAATACAACATCCACTGGGTAGAAATACAACACCAAGTGGGTAGAAATACAACATCCACTGGGTAGAAATACAACATCCTCTGGGTAGAAATACAACACCAAGTGGGTAGAAATACAACATCCACTGGGTAGAAATACAACACCTACAGAGAAACACAAAGAATAGAAACATCTCGCCTGTAAACTACCGATTTAGTACTAGTCAGTAAATTATAGACATAGTACTGGTTGATTCAAGCTGAAATGTTTTCTGTCAGTAGTTAACATACTTAACCCATGTTTTGTAGTACATACACGCTACGGCAAACAACAGTTTGGTAATCCTTCTTTCAGATTTCCATTTCCAAAATGTGATCAATTGTTTAAACTCTAATAATTCCATGTGAATGAAGACAACACAGCTTTTAACGAACAATAAAATAGTTTATCTCACAATTCAAAGACTACATTGTAAATGGTCATGGTTTAGTTGAGTATCTTACTGTATCAGTGAGTGACAGGCATCTCGACCACCCTGCTCAATCGGTGTTGTAATTGTTTAGATACAGAAAGGTATCATTTTCATTAAAATAAAGTGAAAAATTAACAAAACAATATTTGGTTTGTCAGTACATTTCCTCTCTGAAATTTCTCTTTTTGATTTTCTGTACATTTCCAAACATTTCCAGTTATTATACAATGTGACCAATACTGTCCAAACATAACATTGTGCATCTCATGCTCTGTGTACACGTCTCATGCTCTGTGTTGTCAGCCCTGGAACACGGGTGCTACTTTCCCCTTAGTGCCAAGTCCCGTAACTCTGAACACCGATCCTGCCAGTGACTCGGTGGTGTTCAGCTGCTGTTCAGTGAAGTTGGCTACCAGGCTGGTGACGTATAGCTGATTCAGGTCTGGTCCGCCCCAACACACCGAAGTGATCATAGATGCATTCGGCAGCTCCACCCTCCGCAGCATTTGCCCTGGGAGACAGAGAGGTGATGTGAATCAGTGACACTGGCAACACCACCTGTTTCAGCTGTCTTAAAGCGTGGGTTCTATATCTCTATAGTTACACATTGTTGTGTATATAATCCTGCTCAGTAAGGGCACACCATTCACAATTGGGACATTTTTGTGAGATACAGGCATCTGTTTCAATCATACCTAAGCTAAACAAACTTTCTGCTGATAATGACCCAGACAGTGAAGACATAATTTACAAGACAATCTATTTGAAGACACCCATGTCTACAATACAGTCTTTTTTAGGAAATTATCAAATGCTCAGTCCAAAAAGTGGCAAACATACTATTAGGGAATAAAACACATTGTATGCACAATCTCATTGTTCCAATTGGATAAAGTATAATGTTCTACAGATCATTCAGTTCTTAACTTCCATTATTATACAGTCTGCAAAAACCTCAGAATTTGACCCACAGGTTAAAATACCTGGCAAAGCTAAGGGAGTCAATATCATTGGAAACTGACACAGAAACGCATTCAGCACGTTCTGTGCCTAGAGGATATCCAAAGATGCCAAGGGTCAACATTTTCAAGGGACCAGACATGTAATGATCTTGTCTTGAAGCACTGCCTCAAACAGTTCCTGTCTCCTATGAAAGACCCAGGCCTCCATCCCAGGTTAATAGGTGATCAGAGCTTAGGCATAATGTACTGGTACCTTGACACTGACATAGAGATGTTTACACCATGTATCTACAGCTATATCAACACGTCAACATTCAGCTTCCACATAATGTACTGGTACCTTGACACTGACATAGAGATGTTTACACCATGTATCTACAGCTATATCAACGCGTCAACATTCAGCTTCCACATAATGTACTGGTACCTTGACACTGACATAGAGATGTTTTACACCATGTATCTACAGCTATATCAACGACATAGAGATGTTTTACACCATGTATCAACATTCAGCTTCCACATAATGTACTGGTACCTTGACACTGACATAGAGATGTTTACACCATGTATCTACAGCTATATCAACACGTCAACATTCAGCTTCCACATAATGTACTGGTACCTTGACACTGACATAGAGATGTTTACACCATGTATCTACAGCTATATCAACACGTCAACATTCAGCTTCCACATAATGTACTGGTACCTTGACACTGACATAGAGATGTTTACACCATGTATCTACAGCTATATCAACACGTCAACATTCAGCTTCCACATAATGTACTGGTACCTTGACACTGACATAGAGATGTTTACACCATGTATCTACAGCTATATCAACACGTCAACATTCAGCTTCCACATAATGTACTGGTACTTTGACACTGACATAGAGATGACACTCTACAGACATAGAGATGTTTACACCATGTATCTACAGCTATATCAACACGTCAACATTCAGCTTCCAGCTATATCAACACATAATGCTACTGGTACCTTGACACTGACATAGAGATGTTTACACCATGTATCTACAGCTATATCAACACGTTGGTACCTTGNCAACATTCAGCTTCCACATAATGTACTGGTACCTTGACACTGACATAGAGATGTTTACACCATGTATCTACAGCTATATCAACACGTCAACATTCAGCTTCCACATAATGTACTGGTACCTTGACACTGACATAGAGATGTTTACACCATGTATCTACAGCTACATCAACACATCAACATTCAGCAGTATACTGGTACCTGTTCTGGAATCAAACTGTGCCACCGACCCCACATTCAGGCAGGCCACCCACAGGTTGTCATCTGTGTCAATAGTCATCCCGTCAGGCCGCACCAACGTTCCCTCAAATTCGGGAGTCTGGCTGAAGTCCACCACTACCCTCTGATTAGCTGCAGGAAGACAGGAGTTATTCAATCATGACTTGGCAAAGTCATTGTAACTGCTTGTTTGGGGAAACTTCCTCAGATTAAATAGCTGAATGGTTCCATTCCGTAAATGCTAATCCATGCATTGAGAGAGAGGATGGGGAATAGGGTCATGGTACATAGTACCTCTGGACAGGGTTTTAAAAATGGGAGTCATGGTCACTCACAATTTTATTTTTGGGAGTCATTTCAAAATTTGGGAGTCATGAAAATTTAATATTTCTTTGTGTTTATCATCCTCAGTATGTAACTGTGTATGTCACACCACCAAATGAAACTACAGCATTGTTCAGTTCAAACAGCCAGGATGACTGTCTCCTCTGAGTTCTGTGGAACAATCTGACAGCTCTGTAAAAGTCAAACTATCATCAAACAATATCGTTTTTTGCTTATCAAATCGATTTTATTGAACTGAATTGTGAGGGCCACCTATAAAACTTGCATCAAGCTTGACTCGTACTATAGTATTTTGACAGTCGTCAACAAAATTGTTGCGTCAAATACGCAGGAATCGCACGTCATGTAAACCCTGCCTCTGGACCCTACAGCAGAAATGACAACCACAACCCTGGCAATAAGTTTCTTAGTTTCATTTCCACTGGAAGGAGGCAAGGTTTTGGTTCTACTCATATCACTATTTGTACATGGGAAGCAGCAACAATCTCTTACTTGCAAACTAAAAAACTCATCTTGATCTATTTGACAAAATACATCTGCCATAGAAATGATTCCCTGAGCTGATTGAACAACTGTCATTGATTTCTTGTCATCACTTACCCATGGTGCCTTTCTCAAGGTCAAAGTCATACGCCCACACTTGGCGGGTGGGTGTGTCTATATAGAACATTGTCTTGTTATCAGCTGACCAGGCCAGACCGTTGGACACAGTGACCCCCTCCACATGGCACTGCAGCTGTCCGTCTCCCCCCAGGGAGTACAGGTTCCCCACCCTCTGTACCCGTGGGCTCCCTGTGTTCATTGTTCCTGAAAACAGCCAACACTATCACACATGAAGAAGAATTTAAATGAGACCAGTTTCAGTTTATGGTTCACATGTGACAGAGAGAGGCAAATATAGTTTAGTTAGCATTGCCTTAAACATGTTGATCATAAAAAAAAATGCCCTGTTTCAGTCACTGTCAACATATTGCCCTATACTTAACCTGAATGCTCTGTCACTCACTGTCAACATACTGCCCTACACTTAACCTGAATGCTCTGTGTCACTCACTGTCAACATATTGCCCTATACTTAACCTGAATGCTCTGTCACTCACTGTCAACATACTGCCCTACACTTAACCTGAATGCTCTGTGTCAGTCACTGTCAACATATTGCCCTATACTTAACCTGAATGCTCTGTCACTCACTGTCAACATACTGCCCTACACTTAACCTGAATGCTCTGTGTCACTCACTGTCAACATATTGCCCTATACTTAACCTGAATGCTCTGTCACTCACTGTCAACATATTGCCCTACACTTAACCTGAATGCTCTGTGTCACTCACTGTCAACATATACTGCCCTTTTTACTTAACATGAATGCTCTGTGTCAGTCACTGTCAACATATTGCCCTAGACTTAACCTGAATGCTCTGTCACTCACTGTCAACATATTGCCCTACACTTAACCTGAATGCTCTGTCACTCACTGTCAACATATTGCCCTACACTTATTCAAAGTGTTCTGTAGCACTTACTGTAAACATATGGCCCTACACTTAACCTTAATGCTCTGTGTCAGTCACTGTCAACATACTGCCCTACACTGCTGAATGCTCTGTGTCAGTCACTGTCAACATATTGCCCTACACTTAACCTGAATGCTCTGTCACTCACTGTCAACATACTGCCCTACACTTAACCTGAATGCTCTGTCACTCACTGTCAACATACTGCCCTACACTTAACCTGAATGCTCTGTGTCAGTCACTGTCAACATACGGCCCTACACTTAAGCTGAATGCTCTGTGTCAGTCACTGTCAACATATTGCCCTATACACTTAACCTGAATGCTCTGTCGCTCACTGTCAACATACTGCCCTACACTTAACCTTAATGCTCTGTCACTCACTGTCAACATACTGCCTTACACTTCAGCTGAATGCTCTGTGTCAGTCACTGTCAACATACTGCCCTACACTTCAGCTGAATGCTCTGTGTCAGTCACTGTCAACATACTGCCCTACACTTCAGCTGAATGCTCTGTGTCAGTCACTGTCAACAAACTGCCCTGAACACTTCAGCTGAATGCTCTGTGTCAGTCACTGTCAACATACTGCCCTACACTTCAGCTGAATGCTCTGTGTCACTCACTGTCAACATACTGCCCTACACTTCAGCTGAATGCTCTGTCACTCACTGTCAACATACTGCCCTACACTTCAGCTGAATGCTCTGTGTCAGTCACTGTCAACATACTGCCCTACACTTCAGCTGAATGCTCTGTGTCACTCACTGTCAACATACTGCCCTACACTTAACCTGAATGCTCTGTGTCACTCACTGTCAACATACTGCCCTACACTTAACCTGAATGCTCTGTGTCAGTCACTGTCACCTGGAATGCTCTGTCTGTCAACATACTGCCCTACACTTAACCTTAATGCTCTGTGTCAGTCACTGTCAACATACTGCCCTACACTTCAGCTGAATGCTCTGTGTCAGTCACTGTCAACATACTGCCCTACACTTCAGCTGGATGCTCTGTGTGTCAGTCACTGTCAACATACTGAAGCTGCTCTGTGTCAGTCACTGTCAACAAACTGCCCTACACTTCAGCTGAATGCTCTGTGTCAGTCACTGTCAACATACTGCCCTACACTTCAGCTGAATGCTCTGTGTCACTCACTGTCAACATACTGCCCTACACTTCAGCTGAATGCTCTGTCACTCACTGTCAACATACTGAACTTTAAAACCGTTCAATGTTTCTTCACCAAACTTGGCACATAGATTGGTCTGGTGGTGTACTGGTGCCTTTTGGTAGTTTTGAAATTCTGAATAAAATATTTTTTGGCATTTCCATGGCAATAAGTTTGACTTAGCCTGAAATTGGTGATAGTGCTGCTTTATGGAGCAGAACTTTAAAACCTTTCAATACTCTCATTCCACTTTTCTATATACACAACTAAATATTTGACATAATCATAACTTCGTGACATAATCATGAAGAGTATTTTGCCATTAAGCGGGGGGATATTGATGACTTTGTCTTCTTGTTCTAAGTGTTCTGTAGCACTTACTGTAAACATATGGCTCTACACTTAACCTGAATGCTCTGTCACTCACTGTCAACATATTGCCCTACACTTATTCTAAGTGTTCTGTAGCACTTACTGTAAGAATATGACCCTACACTTAACCTGAATATTCTGTGCCACTTCCTGTTAGAATATGGCTGTACAGCCTACCCGAGAGGGATGTTCACAGGTGGGACTTAACACTAGTGTGAAAATATTTCTATGAAGATAATTTGAAGATGTCATGAAATACCTGCCCAGAGTCTTCCTGAAGCATCACATTTAGCATCATTCAGGCGGTTGTCTTTCCGTTCATCCACCGTGGCCAGGGTGACGGTGGTTCCACTCTCCCAGTCCAAACCCACAACACTCAGGTTCAAACCCAGCACAAGACCACCACTGCTCCGAGGGATCACAAAGCCAACTGTCCCATCTAACAACACAGTATATAAACAGTGCAAGAACCCTTTTGACAACAGGGATATCACAATCTACATGATGCACATGCCCTTGTTTACATCCATATGTGATTGTAAGACATAATACACATCAAGGCAAAATGATTATATCTGTATGGGATTCTAAGACACTATAAGCCCCAGTTCAGTGTGTGTGTGTGTGTGTGTGTGTGTGTGTGTGTGTGTGTGTGTGTGTGTGTGTGTGTGTGTGTGTGTGTGTGTGTGTGTGTGTGTGTGTGTGTGTGTGTGTGTGTGTGTGTGTGTGTGTGTGTGTGTGTGTGTGTGTGTGTGTGTGTGTGTGTGTGTGTGTGTGTGTGTGTGTGTGTGTGTGTGTGTGTGTGTGTGTGTTTGACCTCGTGGTTAAAGCATTCACTTGTCATGCCAAAGACCCGGGTTCGATTCCCCACATGGGCAGTGTGTAAAGCCCATTTCTGGTGTCCCTCCCCGTGAAATTGCTGAAATATTGCTAAAAGCGGCGTAAACCCCAACTGACTCACTCACTCATCATGCTTGTATCCATATGTGATTCTAAAACACAATGTTTAATTGATTTACATAATATCTAATGCTCTCTTTTACTTTTGCTACAAATATAGTTTTGTGGCGTATACAAAGACACCAAGTTCTGGCGTAGTGTTAAACCATCTACTCCCAGCATAAAATAATATGTCCCCTAAAGTTCAAATATATTTGCTTTTCGGTACTTCGAGGTAATTTGAAAGTTAAATTGTTTTTAATGTATTCCTCAGTGACAATTACTTTGAAATCTGGGCCAGACTTTTATAAACAAACTAATAGAAAATAGAAATACTAACCTAGGTGTACTTTCTCATCCTTGGCTGTGGTGGGATCCCACCTGTGAACATCCCCCTTGTTGATGTCTACATACAGCAGCCTCTGGGTGGGGACGTCCCAGTGGGGACCCTCCCCCACAGTCTGTGCAGCATGCTTGATCACTGTCTCTACCTTGTATGGCATCCTCACCAGCTAGATGCTTAAAGGGGCAATATATATGTTTCATACTATTCTTTTTGTTGCAAAGGAATACATTAATTGACATCGGGGTATATATGTCATATCAGGGTTAATGTGATAGACAGGACATCTGACATCTGAGTATATACAAGATGATATGATGGGATATCTGACATCTGAGTATATACAATGTGATGTGACAGAATATCTGCATGTGATGTCAGGCAGAGGTTCTCTGTGAGGTAACCCTCACTTACAGTGTCTGTGTGTGTACGTGTGCACGTGTTTCTGTACATGTGTGTGTATGTTGCATGTGTGTGAGCATTTAAGATTTAATGCATGCAAGTGTGCTAATGTGATTATTTAGTGTGTAAGCATTTGTACCTCCCTACCTCTCTCTCTCAGTGTGTATGTATTAGTGTCAGTGTATGTGTTGTAATGATGTCATATAACATTACATACAAAACATACATGAAAATATATGAAGCAGTGAAACAATTGTACTGTGTAGTGTGTACACAATCTGTGTTACTTATCACAACCTGACAATATGTCTACATACCTAATCTGATGGACAGTATAATCAACACCTGTTCTGTTCTTCTCACAGAAGCATTGTAATTACACACAAGTCACAATTCCAACGCACGCGATTAGCTGGAGAGCACGTATTGTTGACAGCTGTGAATACCTATTTTAGAATTAGAGTTACGCCCCTTAGTATAGGGGATTTCCCCTAACGATAGGTACTATAGGTGTGAGTTCGTTAGCACTGAACTTACTTGTTTTGGTATGTGGACGAAAGAAACGCGCATTACAGATTATTCTTTTTTATCATAAAATAACGAGGAGAGGTCTATGGATATACAACTTCTTTAATATTAAAGAACTTGTATATACATAGAACACTCCTCGTAGTTTCATCACATCAACTTCTAAATGCCACTCAAAGAAATCACTTTTATCATGTAAAACTATGTACAGCGTGACCAATTTGATTAGAACAAGAAGTTTCCATAAAATACTTAAACCTATATTATTTTTCATGTTCCCATGGCTCCCGAGAATTCCCGTTAGGGGTTTGGGTTTAATTATGGTCCAAACACCGGCATTCCTCAAACACAAACAGACACTTCCGGCGATATATTGAATGAATGAATATGGAAACGTAGATATCAAGATGTTAAAACCCCCAGAAATTTACAGACTGGATCGAATTACACTGAATACGGCCAGGTCCCTGTGACGGAACGCCAGGTATAGGTCCTAACGTATATTTATAGTTAACGACAAGTATATCCATCTTGCCTGTAATAGAAACAGGCCAATGTCTTAATGAAGTATGACCAAGGTCGTGAAGACTAGTGCTCTTTAAAGCCTTTTACCTAATATACTAATCAACTTTTGCTAAGATAATCATGTGTGCGTATTTCTGTTTAGATGTACACTTGGTAATGTATAAGAATCACTCTTGTGTATCATGAAAGAAAGAATAGCCCTGTCCAAATTAGAGTAGTATATTAACCTTGTTTCATCTTCAGTATTGTTGGACCCGCGGGTGGCTTAGAGGAAAGTGTCGCGTGTCTGTAAGATGACGTCATACGAAACTCCAGGTGTGATAGAATTAGTAATACCATCATGGACTTTATTACCCACGTGGTCAACGTATGGGTAGTTGCATACTGATCTCGTACGTCACACGAGTGTCGTACGACTTGACCTGAGATTGTAACGATTTGACCGATGACCTCTCAATTAGGTCACATTCTGACGTAACTATTTTTCATTCATAACAAACACGCGAATTCATTCATTCTACAACTTAAATGCATTGTGGGAATGTAAACATTGCGAACGTTGCCGTGTCGCTGTTTACTTGTGAGTCGAACTGAGACATTATATCCGTCGAAAAACATAAGCGCAATGTTTCCACCAGTGATGTGAGCCGAATGAAGAAACTGCAAACCAAGAAACGCGGTGCTACGGAGTAGTTTACTGTAGGAGGCTGTACGAGGCGATGACAACTGACATGCATCGTGACGTCGGTTACCAAGGCAGTGACGTCATGCAAATATTGTACTACAGTACAAAACTCTTCCGCAACCTCTTTATGAAACCGGTTTCGCTTTGAAACCAAAATATGAACAAAAATACGCTATTTTGTCAATTTAAAGCATGTAAGACGTGGGTAATAAATAAAATACCACACTCGGTCTCATTACATATGAATTATACGAAACTCGTGACCTTCCTATGTTATCTGACCTCGCTTTCGCTCGGTCAGATACCATGGGAAGGACACTCGTTTCGTATAATGCGTATGTAATGAGACCTCGTGTAGTATTCTCTATTTATTCCTAGAGCAGAGTAGCAGCTGACTCCGTTGTCCTTGACGTTGTAAAGGTGATACCGCTGAAGCCCGGATGTGGCAACACAGTATCAAATATCAGTAAACACAATACATACTTCAGAGTGTATATGACCCTCGTTGCACTCCGCCCATTTTATTTTATTAAGTACAGTAATATCCGATGAGGTTTTACGGTTAAAGAGTGCATATGTATGGAACCCATGGTAAATACGAAAATACACTCATCGTACCTTGCTGTTGGCTTCACCTCACAATACTCAATCTTTAGATACACATTATCAACAAAATAAATGTAAATTCATTATTTAGGATGTCAGTCGCGAGATAACCTTGTCTTGATTCAGACTTCAGATATGTGTCTCAGATAAAACCCACTGTCCGTAACCTAATTCGTGATTAGCATGCCACAGGGCTATATCCTTTCAGGCTCCTGTGTAAACAAGGTAGATAACTCTTGTTGCATTTGATGTACAGATCTACATAAGTCAGTTATCAAGTCTGAGCACAGTTTAAATATATTTACATTAATGAAAGATATATAACTGCTGAAATCATTGTCTACAGCATATCTACACAATGGCGAAAACAGCACGGATACGTCGCGGCATGGTTGTCTCTCATTGAGTTCTGTCCCCTTCCCCTGCTACTCTCATCCCTGGTAGACGTAAGCCGGACTGCCTTTGACACCAAGGCCGGTAACTCTGAACAGAGACCCTGCTAGTGATTCCGTGGTCTGGAACTCGCTGTCCGGGATGCCTGATCTGAGGCTGGTTACGTACAACTCGTCCAGGTTCTTCCCTCCCCACGCTACAGACGTGATCTTGGTAGCGTTAGGCAGGGAAACCTGTTGAAGCGCTGCCCCTGAAACAGATTGTAGACAGGACCAATATACGGCGAAAAATAAGTAATTTTCTGAAACATGTTATGTCCTTGTCACAGCCCTTCGTGAGGTCTGGTGATGCCAGTCACGGATCTACCCAGACAATGTGGGTCGTAGTTCGACCAACGCTGTTGGTTTTGGTGTTCTGAATTACCTTCTTGGGTGACAGCTCAAATATTGCTATTTTGTGTAAACCAACCTTTCATATGGAATTGTAAAAGAAGAAGAATTTAACTACATGTATTAAATTTTCAAGAACAATGTTAAACGTTATTGCTTTGCCAGAATGTATTTTTCTTAATATGCCGGATGTACTTCTGAATGACCTTATATATACGTTTTGGTGCTGTACAATGGCGTGACAATATATCGCCTACACAATCAGACCTGACCCAGAGAGACATTGTATTGTATTCTATGGAGGATACATATTTTTAAAACAAAAGCCAATTACAAATGACCTTATGCTAGCATTCACGGCTTACCTGTTTTAGGATCAAATTTGGCCACCATTCCACCCCCGAAGCAGGCCACCCACAGATTGCCGTCCGTGTCAATGGTCATGCCATCAGGGCCGGGGACATTGCCTTTAAATTCCGGCACGGCGTCAAAGTCCACAGCCACCCTCTGATTGGCTGAAGTGAAACATCAGTTTCATGTTAACTCAGGGAAACTCACAGGCAAGATCCAAAGCAAAACTGTTAGTGGCTATACAGATTGAAGTTGTACTCCACTGGAATCATAGGGGCCATCATCTTCTTCTCAGTATTTGTGATTTTGACTCAGAGGTCCATCCATGGTACCACCCAGAATATATAGAGGCCGACATAGAAATTGATAAATGTGTAATTCCTTGAAAAAAACCTATATACATCTTCAGACCTATCAAGTCGAATGAACCTGACCTTGTCCTTTGATTAAGCCAGTGAAATCATCTACACCATTGAACATTTTTTCCCCTTTTGACACTAATGTTTCAGGAGAAACATGGCAGTTAAGTGGACCTCGCTTACGAAATGTCACTCTTGCATCCCAGATAGCAAGTTGACCGACTCTCCACTTCATTGTGCCTTAGGTGTTGGTACCCGAGATTTGGTACTTCATAATCCGATGACTGACAATAGAAGAATACCCGGTTTTACTGTCATGAACACAGCCCTTCTGGCGCTCTGGTAATACAGAAGGTCACAGTGTTGGGGAGTGTTCATATTCTCCGAAAGGTTCTTGGCAGCGCTTCCTGACAGAAGTCCCATTCGCTGACCGGGCTGGAGTCAAGGGGTAAAACCCTGAGCTGATGATGAGCCTAACCAGGCTGAGTGTTCGGGGACCGCAATTTACTGCATTTATCTATTTTTACATAATAATATTGATCTCCATTGAAACTACGGCTGATGAAAGTTCGCACAACGTGGTATTGCTTGTAACTATTACTTTCAGACATATGGAATGACACGTAATGTAGCTTAACAAATCTGGTATGTCAGCCACTTTAAGTGTGACTCACAGATATTTCCAGTGTTGATGTCGTAGTCGTACGCGTAAACTTTATGTGGTGTCGTGTCGATGTAGTACATGATGGTGTTGTCTGGGGACCACGCGAGGCCGTTGGAGATAGTCACGCGGTCAACCTTCTTGGTCAGCGTGCCATCTGTGTCCAAACAGTACAGGTTGGCCTGGTCGGCATTGAACGTCTTGCTCATTGTCCCTGAAACACACACAGGATAATCACTTGATTCCTGGCACGGACTGTGCTTGTAAGGGACAAAGCAGAAATAACTGAATGATTACATTTCATTTTACACCACAGTTAGTAAAAGCTGAAGTACATAACGTTGGTCTGTCTAGCAATTTCAGGATTGCTCCCGCATGAACAGCGTTGAACGAGATACAGACACTACCAGCATATCACATACTCAACATGAAACGTCAGAATAATCTGTCTCGATCATCTTCCGGAATACATTAAGTTTCACTGGGCGTAAAAAATAATGGTAAGAGTGAAATGATGTCACCATGTGTTTGGGTAAACACGAATTGACTCACCTGCCCACAGACGTCCTTTTGGATCGCATTTCCCGTCATTCATTCTGTTGTTGGTTCCAGAGTCCACCTCCGCCATCTTGGTAACAGTCTTGGTGTTCCAGTCGACAGTCGAGAACGTATTCTCCAGGCCCACGACAAGTCCCCCGTTACTGCGGGGCACGACGAACCCAACAGGTCCATCTGCAACGTAGAAACAACAACTGCACGTGCCACAAACCACAGGAAACAGATCTATTCTCACCCCGGCAGCCTAAATCTTAATCTTCTAGAAGATAAATCATGATTCGTCTACACTTCAGCAAACCAACCAACGTGATTGTGTTAATGTTGAGTGAGGGACCGACAAGGTGTGCGAAGTGTGGCTGCATTCATTACTCCAGTATTTGTAACCTTGAAGACAGGAACCAATCATAGCCACAAGGTTTTCTCTGCCTTATACCAGTCAAACAAACTGAAGGAAATAACACTGTAGGAAACAACTGACCTAACGCCTCTTACAATGCTCACACTGTGTCGGGGCCATCATTATTATATTACTGTAACTGAATAGTAACAAGTGAGTGAGTGAGATTAGCTACACTCAGCAATATTCCAGCTATATGGCGGCTGTCTGTAAATCATCGAGTCTGGACCAGACAATCCTGTGACCAACAGCATGAGTATCGATCTACGCAATTGGAATACAATGACATGTGTCAATCAAGTCAGCGAGTCTGACCACCCGATTCCGTTAGTCGCCTCTTACGACAAGTATGGGTGGGTTACTGAAGATCAATTCTACTGGTCTTCACGGGTCGAATAGTAAAGAATGCCTGTGCACTCAAAATACGTTCTCAGGTTGTGTTTCACAAAAGTCATATATATGCATCTCTAATCCCTGCCCCTTTATGAAAGGACAGCCTGGAAGCTGGACGTCTCCTGTAGGTATATTGTATAATGTGTTCAGAATGTGTCCATCAACAACTGAAAAATACTTTTGTTACTCTTGTCAACTTTTCTCAAATTCATTTTATAATGACTCATGTCAAGGATTGAACTTTGCATTAATCTTCGTCAGTTACATATAGGAGCGCTTCTACTGGCAGGTTAATTTAGGTTTACAAATACAAATATATATGTAACGCCTCTGTAATTCAGTATTGTATAAATGAATCGCCTTCAATGTGTCCTTGGCAGATTTTAATGCTATCTGTTAGTATTTTAACAATTAACAAGGGAAATGCATTAAATACTCAATCATAAATACTCAAAATACCTTTGATCTTCAAGGGGAATAATTATTCGACGTCTGTGGTTTATGCGAATCAGTTAAACCCTCTTCCTGCACACAGGCTGGGTTGTATACGGCATGATAAATTGCTTCATCACGGCATGATCAAACAGTGTTGCTTCATCAGATAAATCACCCACTAAATACTCTATGTACAAAATACTGAACGTAGAAATGAATCCACTCCTCTGTGTGAAAGTATGGTGGTAAAGGGAAATTTAGTCCTAAATTTTGTGGAACCGACACTCTAATAGACAGTAACGGAAAATACGCACCTATTTAAGATTGTGGCTATACGAGAAAGGAATAAGAAATGGTTACTCTGTGGTGTTTTGAGACTTGCGAGTGCTGTGTATCGGCGACTGTTTTCAGCCCAGATTTTGTTCAATGCAGGCTTCAGGTATGTGCTATGCTCAGGTCGCTGGTAGTAGAGCTGTTAAAATAGAGCGTCGGGGTGGTGACACACTTACTGAGCTGGATCATGTCGTTGGTGCCGGTACCGGGGTTGTATCTGAAGATCTTGCCGTTGTTGATGTCGACAAATAACAACGTCTGAGTAGCGTCGTCCCAGTGAGGCCCCTCCCCGACCGTGGACGCCACATTCTTCAACACAGTCTCAACCTTGTACGACATCTTGTTGATCGGATTCTAACTCACTATGTGTGATACTTCTAACACCTGGAACACAGTCGAATGGGAATACATAAACAGCCAAGCCGTGTCCTTGTAGGGGAGCTAAAGATACATGCTTTACTCCCTCCATGCATGGTCTGGTGGGTTGCGCTTCTGTCCTGAGAGAGAAAGGTTTGTTTCCTGGTCCTCGGACGCATACAACCAAAACGGTTAAATAATGGTACTTGTTGTTTCTCTGCCTGGTGTCGGCATTGAGAGGATGAAACATGGAGTGGTCGGGTCGGAGCGTGTTCTCAGTATACTGAGTCTGTCCGGAGTCCAGTATAAACAAACACACACAGACACGCCCCTATATAAGAGGGAAACTCCTTTACGCGACGCCAAACCCCATTTCACGTCACAACCTCAGCAACTATAGTCAAGATTTGGTGTTCAGCAACCCATGCGTGTACTAGAGTCGCTAACCAGGGAGTCACACTCGCTGACATGGTTGATGAATGTCATCATGTAGATCGATAGTCATTGTGTCAATCACTTGGTTATTTACAGCTCGGTGTCAGACAACTAGGATATTGCTAGCCTCGGCGTAACAACACAAAGTGGCATCACTATTTTAGTGACGCCCATGCTAAAAAACAAACATTGTGTACAGAGGTACGCCCATTAGCCCGTTAGTTTTTATGCCCGATTAATCCTGATCACCTGGGACCTATGTTTCTGTGACCTTTCTTCTCATAGAGGTGACACATGGCGATATACCTGACATACTGATAAAGCGACTTTAACCCCTAACCCATTCACACAATCAACGCTAGATTTTACAGAAAACTGGCTACCCGCCATAGGCTACTTGGAACCATAGGGCTCGTTTTTCTAAACCTGACCCCTTTAACTCAGACAGCCAATAGCTCTGTAAATATACGGTGTTGACAGTGGGGTAACAACATATAGCGGGGTATATATCAGCGGCAGAAGGAGTATACCTACTGGTGAAGATGCAGGCTGTCCGGCGAGTGTCAGTTTCACGCAATATCTGGCGTTCTAGATACCTATATCGGACGTATCACTGTACCCGCTAATACCGTGACGTCACATCACACTCCCAGGAAGCATGACCAGCCCGGCATGTAAACAGACGTGTTCATGAATCCGTGCGTGGCCCGTCTGACCTCCAGTAAATCCAGCTATGTGCGTCATCTGTATTACCATGATACGACACCAAATACAAATTACTGTTATTATGAATTAATAATGGAATTAATAATGATCTGATTTAATATCTATTTAACGTGGGACCCATCTGGCCATGCCGAGAAAAAACAACCTTCTTGTGTAGTGATGTCTTTAAAATTTACGTGTTTCGAACAATTGTTTTCAACCTATCAGATTATTAGGCACAAGTCACTTTCGTTTCCGATCATGAATAATTTTGTGGGCAACCATATCCTACACAGGGAGATCTGACTTTGTGATGGTTCTGGAGGAACGAGAGCAAATGGATATGTCGATCAAATTCTCCAACTTCACTTTCTTCCGATTATCAATTTCACATTGCAGTATATACATACATGCACATTGATTTCATCATGCTCGTGATCTTGGCTTAAGGGGTTTAACCGAAATCTGTCAGCAATCGTTTAGCTGTGGGTATACACAGAGACTCCTCTGAGGCCATTAGTAGGTTCTCAATCAGGCCATGGACGGTCACTGATATGTCCAACAACTGTGTCATCGTTATAGCACATAACGCCAGCAAGAGAATAAATTATATATGGTGAAAAGTATGGAATCCTAGAAGGGACATTATCGCGGTGTCGCCCTCACAAACACAAGCAAAAAGGTGGCAGCATTAACCAAAGTGCGACAATGCAAAAATGCGACAGCGCGACATGTCGCCCATTTGTCGCATTGTTGCGTTTTGAATAATATTTTATTCTTCATCCAAAGGGTGACAATGCCACAACCCGACAATGTCCCTTCTAGGATTCCATACTTTTCACCTAATACGTCATAACACATAGTATACTCAGTATTTTAACAAAGAATGAGTGAGTGAGTTTAGTGTTACGCCGCACACAGCAATATTCCTGCTAAATGGCGGCAGTCTGTAAATAATCGAGTCTGGACCAGACAATCCAGTGATCAAAAGCAGGAGCATCGATCTGCGCAATTGGGAACCGATGACATGTGTCAACCAAGTCAGCGAGCCTGACCACCCGATCCCGTTAGTCGCCTCTTACGACAAACATAGGTTACTGAAGATCAATATTCTTACCCTGACCTTCACGGGTCATTTAACAAAGAGCGACAACGCGACATTTCATCAAAATGTAGCGTTGTCGCGTTTATATTAGTGACTGCTGCATTTTAAAAAAATATAACAATCATGGTGAATTATTTTCGATGTTTAGGCAGGGCAGAGATACCCAGGGATCGAACTCAGAACAATATAACATGCGTTTACTTGTGGCCATGAAGAAGGGGGGAATGTCTGTTGGTTGAGGGTCGTTGGTTATTGGACGTTTGATATATTCAGCAGGGATGTTTTATCTCCAGATTCGATACCTATATCATACTTAATTACTGGCAAATTTGATGAATATTACTCGTATGAATGAACAGGTCTATATTTGTAATGAGACAGGACTAAAATATCGATCGGTACAGGTACATGTGTATCGCGTATCGTCTCGTCTGAGAAACATTATAGATGCATCGATGTTACGTGAATCATGGCATGTCCAGGATTTACTATATAGGATTAGACTTGAAAAACAGATTCTCAACACATTATTGTTACGAAATACCTTGCTAATTTACCAAGCTCCCTCAGCTTCGTTTCATATAAAAAGATATCAAGAACGTAGGTCACTATAGGTTTCTGGCACTCCAAGCCTATGCCACTTTGCAAAACGAATTCATCGTTCGATATATCATAATGATAACAGTCCATTTGTATGGCGCTTTTCAACGCAGAATATCACGTTCAAAGCCCTTTATTACACCGTCAATTCTCAGTCCCGATGGGAGTGGAAGACCCAAGCTGTCTTTGTGGTGCTGGAGGGCTGTCATATTACCATCTCATTCTACCTGGTATCCATCCACTGCTGGCTAAACATAGTTCGAACAAATTCAACTGCCCAGACCACATGTATTGCACGTGCAACAGTGAGGGGAATGGCAGCTTGATATTGGAGGAATGTCCTAACAGATGAATGCGTATAGTGCTGGGATTCGAACCAGTAACCATAAGCTATGTTGCCCAAAATCTCAGTTTTACAAACTCAGAAACGTTCAGTTCTGTCAAAATTTTGAGTTTTCAACATTGTGCACCACTATCGAACATGGCGAAGTCAAAACGTCATTCCTTGATTCATCCATCTTTTAATAAACGCGGTGAGCAGAGACATAGTTCTACCTCCAGAGGTTCAAGACAATTTGTCGGAAATGAAGGAAAATCTCTGAAATTTACTGAGTAAGCAGCGTGTGGAATGCTGGACTTCAACATCAACGTATCTGAGGGAAATAGTTAGACAAGGAGTAGGTATCCCCATGGGCACCAAATGTGCTCCACTCCTTGCGAATCTGTTTCTTTATGCATATGAATCAGAATTTCGGCTCGGGTTGGCAAAATCAAAGGAAGGTAATTTGGCAGGTTTATCGATGATCTGATATCGTTCAACAGCCATCTAATAGCCAATTCCCTTCCGCTGGTTTACCCACCTGAACTTGAAGAAGAGGAGACATGTGATACCGCCTCGTGCGTTTCATAGTTAGATCTCAGCATGAAGATTCAGAGTGACGAGAATCTCTCCACAAGACTGTATGCCAAACGGGACGATTTCAACTTTCCAGTCATCAATTGTACTTTCACGTCAGGCACTATTCAAACAGCTCAAGCCTTTGGTTTACATTTCACAACCTTTGATGTACCGTACAATCAAGCTTGCAAGATTTCAAAGAACGCCAGGATCCTGCTCAGGATTTCTTTGATCAAAGTTACACCATTCGAGGCCTCAGTAAAGCTTTCAAAACGATTTAAGGTACATAAGTGGAGGAATCTTCACCATTTGACGCATCGGTGACAAAACTGATGTCCGATGCAATTCCTAAAGTTGACTTGTACCATACGTTCCCGGTATTGTTCAGGTGAAGTGTGACTAGCCTTTGCATGTGTTTGTGATGGGTGACACCGGTGGAGTGAACACCCGGTGTCATAACTATTGTAATAGTGATTCACTTACATGTCCTAAATTGTACAATCGACTCTTTGATGTGGAACACGTTTTGTCGCTTCAAATGTTCCCCAGAAAGCTTCTATCAGCCTTCATCCCCAGATTAACTTTGCAGCCTCATCCACACCCCACATCCACATCCGTCCCTCTTCCTCTATACCTGTCCACACCCAGCCCACTCCCCGTCTCCCTGTCCACACCCTGCCTGCTCCCCGTGTACCTGTCCACACCCTGCCCACTCCCCGTGTACCTGTCCGCACCCAGCCCACTCCCCATATACCGGTCCACACCCTGCCCACTCCCCGTGTACCTGTCCACGCCCTGTCTACCTGTCCATACCCAGCCCACTCCCCGTGTACCTGTCCACATCCTGCCCAATCCCCGTGTACCTGTCCACGCCCCGCCCACTCCCCGTGTACCTGTCCACGTCCTGCCCACTCCCTGTGTACCTGTCCACGTCCTGCCCACTCCCCGTGTACCTGTCCACATCCTGCCCACTCCCCGTGTACCTGTCCACGTCCTGCCCACTCCCCGTGTACCTGTCCACGTCCTGCCCACTCCCCGTGTACCTGTCCACGTCCTGCCCACTCCCCGTGTACCTGTCCACACCCAGCCCACACCCCATATACCGGTCCACACCCAGCCCACACCCCATATACCGGTCCACACCCTGCCCACTCCCCGTGTACCTGTCCATGTCCTGCCCGCTCCCCGTGTACCTGTCCACATCCTGCCCATTCCCCGTGTACCTGTCCACACCCAGCCCCGTACCCGTATACCTGTCCACGCCCAACCCACTCCCCATATACCTGTCCACACCCAGCCCACTCCCCGTGTACCTGTCCACACCCAGCCCATTCCCCGTATACCTGTCCACACCCAGCCCACACCCCGTATACCTGTCCACATCCTGCCCGCTCCCTGTGTACCTGTCCACACTCGGCCCACTCCCCGTATACCTGTCCACACCCTGCCCGCTCCCCGTGTACCTGTCCACACCCAACCCACTCCCCGTGTACCCGTCCACATCCTGCCCGCTCCCCGTATACCTGTCCACACCCTGTCTACCTGTCCATACCCTGCCCGCTCCCCGTGTACCTGTCCATACCTAGCCCGCTCCCCGTGTACCTGTCCATACCTAGCCCACTCCCCGTATACCTGTCCATACCCCGCCTGCTCCCCGTCTACCTGTCCATACCCTGCCCGCTCCCCGTATACCTGTCCACACCCAGCCCGCTCCCCGTGTACCTGTCCACATCCTGCCCGCTCCCCGTGTACCTGCCCAAGCCATGCCTTCAGAGAGAGGTGCAAGTCGATGCAAAGTAATACAGAACGAATACACCCATATCATGGAAGATTATAGTTTATATAACAAGTCTATATTTACAAGCTGTACATGAACCAGTCGGAACTCACCAATGTGACAACCTGGGATGAACTATGCTTGTAATATACGAGAGATACACACAGCAGACAGCAAGCACGATACACGATCAACAATACAGGAACTGGTAATAAGAAGCATTTAGTAACCTAGTATTGTTAACATAAAGTTCTTTGCTCTGAATACCGAAATATGTTATTACTTGCATGGTAATGCACGTTTGACCTTAAACAAGCTAAAACACCATGAGTTCGACTTTTCAATAATTACTTATTGTCGTGGTTTTCGGAATTGTAGTTTTCCGAAATGTCCAAGCAAGAAACAAAATAATCCTATGCCAGAGGTTGTTTGTGAAATACCAAAGGATATTAGACCACTCTATTTCGTTTAGACAGTTGACATTGATATTACACAGTTAACATTGATATTACACTGATTCCATTACAGGCTGAAACCTTATCATTTTTACTAAGAATTTCTCCTTTTTTGACAAAATCAACCGATATTCCATTGTGGTTTCGGATCCCTGACACAGGGAGACACTACATTGTCTGATTTAGTCTGGCAGCTATTATCTTTTCCTTTACCGTGAAGGATGACATAGAAGCAGGTGCGATGGGGTCTGGAGGTAATCAATAACTTTGATTATGCATTCAGGTTTCTTATAGGTTGACATATGTTAAAATGTTCCAAGTTGAATCGATCGAATTTGAGACATGATCGAAACAATAGGATATTGACCCACATATCTAATAACAAATTAACGTTGTTTCGTCAGTGTTAACTCTGCAGTGTTGACCCACTAAAACATATGGTGACTAAATACTGGGCGGGAGAAGATGTTGTTGTTCTTCAGCCCTGGTAGACATATGCCGGGATGCCTCGAACGCCAAGGCCGGTAACTCTGAACAGTGATCCGGCCTGTGAGTTGACGGTATGGAGCTCACTGTCTGGAATTTCCTTCCTGAGGCTGGTGACGTACAACTCGTCCAGGTTCCTCCCTCCCCACGCCGCCGACGTGATCTGAGTAGCGTCAGGCAGATCTACCTGCTGCAGCGCCGCCCCTGGTAATGACATTATAGAACTGTATTCAGGCGAAAGAATAACGAATTATGACCAAGCGTTTTTGTTTGAGGTGTTTTCTTTACAGGCATATATCGAAAGAAGTCACGTTTCACACGGAAAGGCAGGGCCAACAAGCACAAGGTATCGGTTATAGGTGGGTACCGTACATTTATAATCCTATCATATTTGTAAGAAGCTGCATCTCTTTTCTAACTTTTAATCTGTTTTTTAAATTTCTCGGACGGAAATTATTCAACAGCTAAATATACTAGACAAAAATAGTTAGGTATATGTGTAAATTTTGAAATTATGCATAATGATTTATACTCAATCAAAAATGAAACTTCACATTCTTTCTTCAGGGCTCTATAACAGAACAAGAGATGGTAAGATAGTTAAATTGTTATTATTTCATTGCTGAGATCTGTGTGATGTACTCGATACACTGACAGTGCCATAATCAGTTCCATTAGGCTACACCGCCGTTCCAAAACATGGGTATACAGAATGGCAAGTCACAAGAAGAAAAATGCGAAATTTCTCAGTTCAATATCGTGTATGGCCGCCCCGCGCATTTACCACTGCCAAACACCGTCTCCTCATCGACTGCCTGATGCTTGTGAACACGTGGTTGGGGATTCTGCGCCATTGCTCTTGCAAGGCAGCGCCAAGTTCCTGCAAATTCTGAGGTTGGTTCCTAAGACCACTTCTCCCAAGTGCATCCCAAACGTGCTCTATTGGATTACGGTCAGGGGACCTCGATGACCAGTCCATGACGTTGATTCCAGCGTTTTGAAGGAAATTTCGTGTCAACATCGCGGTATGCGGCCGAGCATTATCATGCTGGAACTGTAGACCTGGGCCATGAGCCGCCATGAAAGGAATGAGTTCAGGGGTGAGCACCTGGTCGCGGTAAGCGCAGCTGCGAGCTTTCCACGGATGACCAGAAATCGGGAACGGTTGTTCCCACAGAAAGCACCCCACACCATGCAACTTCCGCCCCCGAATCTGTCGACTTCCTGTACACAACATTGGGCATACCGTTCACGACGTCGTCTCCAGACTCTATGCCTGCCGTCCGCGAATCTGAGGGTAAACCTGGATTCATCGCTAAAGACGACTCGATTCCAGTCTCTCTGGGTCCATCGGAGGTGACGTTGGGCCCACAGCAGACGTTGACGTTGATGAAACGGCGTCAATATTGGCCCACGATATGGACGTCGAGAATGGAGATTGGCAGCCCGCAACCGATTTCGAATGGTCTGTGAGGACAGTCGACCTCTAAGCATCTCAGCCCTGGTTCGTGTAGCCGGCAGAAATCTGTCACGTAGGTGACGTAGGACGATTTGACTGTCTTCTGCTCGTGACGTCACACGTGGACGACCCGACCTTGGGCGATCAGAAGTGGTGCCAGTTTGTTGTAGACGACCTCGCAAGTCATACACAGTACGACGGATGCATCCCATTGCTCTTGCGACGTCAATAACTGATCTTCCCGCTTGCAACATGCCAACGGCACGTTCACGTTGCACATTTGACAATCGTGGCATTTCAAGTACCGTTAGAACTGTGGTTTACTAGTGTTTTTTCAATTCTTGAGGATAATGCAAACACGTGCATATGAAGAAAACTTCGATGCGAAGACCACGTGATCGACTGCACGTGCAAAACCTGATTTGGCTTGGCACTAACGTCATTTGCACGACGAATGGATGGGTTTGAGTGGGTTTTGCTAACGTTTTTCTAGTGTCGAAAGATAGGGATCCCATTTCGGATACATAGATGTATCATCAGAGAAAAATTATTCATTATTTTTCAAATTACATTTTGTGAAGTTTATTTTTTGACTCAGTATATTTATTCATTGACACACTGGTAAAATATCAATCATAAAAATACCAATATCCCTAACTTATTTTGTCCAGTATACTTTGCACATAGGCATGGACATACGACTGTGCAGCTTAGCGTCTTCAAAAGTATTCCAAGGACAACGTTTGAATCCTGTGTGCATCGAGTTAAACAGATAAAAACAACACAGCTGTAGTGATGACAACCAAACCAAGTCTCGAACCTGTTCTCGGATCAAATTTGGCCATGCAGCCACCACCTAAACAGGCCACCCATATGTTGCCGTCAATGTCTATCGTCATCCCGTCAGGGCTGGGAACCTTCCCTTGGAATTCCGGGACTTTGTCAAAGTCTACAGCTACTCTTTTATTGGCTGAAAAGAAACATAAACATGTTTTATTTACGTGTATGGGACGTTTTGACGGATAAATCATCTACACGACAGGAACTAGGCCGGACGTTTGGGTCAAGACACACGGTTGTGAAGATAACGGGAGATCATCACAGTCAGCATATAACTCTAACCACGCAGTCTCTGCGTACAGTCAATGGCTTGGCTGGTTTGGTTTCTTTGCTTGGTTGTTTAACGCTTCATTCAACAATATTCCAGCTTTATGGCGGCGGTCTCTAAATAATTAATTCTGGACCAGACAATCCACCCATTACCAGCATGAGCATCGATCTACGCAATGGGGATACGATGGCATGTGTCAACCAAGTCAGTGAATCTGACCACCCGATCCCGTTGACTAAAAAGATAGAGATCTATCTATTGAGACTGATTGCCTGAACAATTTTAGTCAATCCATCAAATGCAAGGTATTTGTTTTGAATGTTGTCTCAACAATGTGGTTTTCACAGAAAACACATGGTGCACATGGTTTCTCTTAAACAAACACTCTGTAGTAATAAAAGAAAGTATAGACAAAGGGGTGGTTAACACATTCTGACTCAAAGGCTTCATCAGAATTGATAGATTTGTTTGATCTTGAGATTTACTGGTTTCATTTTACACACTATAAAAAGACTTTTCTCCCAATGCTTTGCACATCTGAACATTCAGTTATGGGTGATTCAATCGCTGAGACGTTCACGCGGAAGCTGTATGAGAAGTATGAGGAGCTAGAGAAGGTGTTCATCCACAAACAATAGTACTATGACTACATTGCAAGTTCTCGAGGAACCAGTTCGATTTGTGCCCAGAGAAACTCTTAACTTTATCAGAAGTCAACACTGAAACTTCAGTATCCTTTCGTACTACTGTTGGAGCCGAGTTTTTATCAGGTGGCCAGGGTTTTGTAAAGTGTGCTGGTAGCAAAAGATGTGGAACCAAGAAATGCACATGCTTTAAGAACAATCTTCTGTGCAACAGCCGGTGTCATTCAAGTCTCACTTGTCAAAACAATTAATGCAAAGCTCTATGCTGAAACTGGATGAATAAAGTGTTTCATTTTTTAACTTAAACGATTTAGTCACTTGGTCCAATGACTGAGAATTTTAGTCTTTTGACCAAATGACTGATTGTTTTAGTCATTTGACCAAATGACTGGTTTGACAGATTGACTGTTACATATATACGGTGTGGTGTTACACACTTTGTTACATATTACATGCAGATGTTCGACTCCACCGACCGTCGTGTGTATCAGCACTTAAATATACGATATCCTATAGATAGAAATCCATACGTGGTTGTAGCACTCTCAGCACATCTCAAGTGCAAACAGGGAGCTGTCAGTATTTATCTATCAGTTATCTGTTGCCATTCTTAGTTTTCAAATGAAGCATTTAGCCATAGGTGCCGTGTCAATTCACAATTGTCAATCACGTGTCAATTCAATTGGGTATGGGACCCAACAAAGAGATAAATGCTAGAATCAGTTGATTAGTAGGAAATCATTTAATGTTCTGAAACAACACGCTGCAAAACCATCTGGTGTAATTAATGAAATTGTGTCTATAAGTTTATAACTCACTGATATCTCCAGTGTTTATGTCATAGTTGAAAGCGTACACTTTACGTGGCGCCGTGTCGGCGAAGTACATGGTGGTGTTGTCTGGGGACCACGCCAGCCCATTAGAGATGCTAGTTCGCTCTACTTTCTTGGTCACTGAACCATCCGTGTCCAGACAGTACAAGTTGCCCTGGAAATCCTCCAGTGTCTTGCTCATTGTACCTGACACAACAATCACATTGTACCTGGCACAACAATCACATTGCACCTGACACAACAATAACATTGTACCTGACACAACAATCACATTGTACCTGTCACAACAATCACATTGTACCTGTCACAGCAATCACATTGTATCTGACACAGCAATCACATTGTATCTGACACAACAATCACATTTTACCTGACACATCAATCACATTGCACCTGACACAACAATCACATTCCACCTGACACAACAATCACATTGCACCTGACACAACAATCACATTGTACCTGACACAACAATCACATTGTACCTGACACAACAATCACATTGTACCTGACACAACAATCACATTGCACCTGACACAACAATCACATTGTACCTGTCACAGCAATCTCATTGTACCTGACACAGCAATCACATTGTATCTGACACAACAATCACATTGTACCTGACACACCAATCACATTGCACCTGACACAACAATCGCATTGTACCTAACACAACAATCACATTGTACCTGACACAACAATCACAATGAAGCTGACACAACAATCGCATTGTACCTGACGCAACAGTCACAATGTACCTGACACAACAATCACATTGCACCTGACACAACAATCACATTGCACCTGACACAATAATCACATTGTACCTGACACAACAATCACATTGCACCTGACGCAGCAATCACATTGTACCTGACACAACAATCACATTGTACCTGATACAACAATCACATTGCACCTGACACAACAATCACATTGTACCTGACACAACAATCACATTGTACCTGACACAACAATCACATTGCACCTGACGCAGCAATCACATTGTACCTGACACAGCAATCACATTGTACCTGATACAACAATCACATTGCACCTGACGCAGCAATCACATTAACGACGTAATAATATTGTAGTTGAGATAATAATCACATTGTGACGATTTGCTGGGTCGTTTAAATGTAAAGCACTGTTACAACTTATATCAACTCTTATACCAGTTGTGGGCGGACTGCGACGATTGTTTCCGGTCACAGATTGTTTCTGAACAAGATTCAGTTAGGTTGATCCGAAAGACATCATTCCCACATAAGTCGCCAAGATTAATACATTTCTGGATCAACGAATTTTCGTTTTAACAAGAGATGGTTGGATGAAAAACGTGAATCTATGGGATGGGTCAGTGCATTATTTTTTACGCTGCAGAGAGCGACATTCAAGTGGTATCACTATGTCTTGTAAATACTAGAGTCAGGCAAACAGGCGTTCGTCCTTCCTAGTCACATCATGATGTTACCATTCGATTCACATTATGTTGACTTTTGTGTTAGGATATTAGTTAGGTTGAGGGACGTATATGCTACCCAGATCAGCTGTTGAAAGTACTTGGCCGAGTTACGACCTTCAAATGCCAGGATTTGCTTATCATCCCATACATTGCCATGGAAACTATCAATTTACATTTTGAAGGTAACTGTGGTTACTAACCTGCCCACAGACGTCCTCTTGGGTCACATTTCCCATCATTCATCCTGTTGTTGGTCCCGGGTTCCACTTCCGCCAACTTGGTGACGGTCTTGGTGTTCCAGTCGAGAGTTGAGAAGGTTCGATCCAGTCCGATCACAAATCCCCCTTTACTGCGGGGGACGATGAACCCTACACACCCATCTGTGACGTAGAATCAACTGAGTGAAGACACATTTCATCATCAGGCAAGATGTTGTACAATGACAGGTTGCATGTATAATTATGAAGTTATATGTGTTATATTAAAACTGTGTAAATAAGTTTAATTGGTAATGAACTATAGAAGGCTGTACCTGTAAATAATGAAGTTGTAAGTGTAATTCATAAAGGTGCGTGTGGGATGTGGGAGTTTTTTGATTTAGTATACATGAATTTGCTTGTGAAATATATGAAGATGCATGTGCAAAATATGAGGTTACAAGTTTAAATATGAAGATGTGGGTGAAAAATGGACAGTTACATGAGAAGTTTGTAACATTTAAAGTTACAGGTGTAACATGAGGAACTGCGAGTGTAATATATGGACTTACTTGTGTAAGTATAAAATTGCGTGTGTAATATATAAAGTTGCAGGTGAAACATATGAAGTTGCAGGTGTAATATATAAAGTTGCAGGTGCAATATATAAAGTTGCAGGTGTATATATAAAGTTGCAGGTGTAATTTATAAAGTTGCAGGTGTAATTTATATAGTTGCAGGTTTAATATATGAAGTTGTAGGTGTAATATAAAAAGTTGCAAGTGTAATATATATGTTGCAGGTGTAATGTATGACGCTGCAGGTGTAAATGTAAGTTGCAGGTGTAATATATGACGTTGCAGGTGTAAGTGTGGCGACTTACAGAACGTGCAAAGGAATTCAGTTTAAAACCAGTAAATAACACAAATATGTTGCACCAGTATGAAAGTAACAAGATATACAATCCATATGAATAGCTGCAAAGTAATCGCAATGTCAGCGAACAAAAGGTGGCGGTACAAGTAACACCTGCTGTGGTAATAGTAGTGAACATAGTGGACTAAACACTGGAACTGCCACCTGTAGCAGACACAGAGCCTTTATTAACAAAATATAAGTCCTTTACTCTCACAAAGAGCCTTGGCGACTGTGTTATAAAAGCTAGTTTTTCATTAACCATTTCGCACGGAGGTTGTGACCTACCATTCACAAGAGCGACGTATTTACGCTCAGATACGAAACACGTTGAAACCAACCAGACAAAAACTTGGGAACACCACCTATCAAACAAAGTTTCGTTCAGCCCAGCAAACTCAGCAAAGGTTGAGTGAGTGAATGAGTATGGTTTTACGCCGCAATATTCCAGCAACATCACGGCGGGGGACACCGGAATTGGGCTTCATGCATTGTACCTAAGTGAGGAATCGAACCCGTGTCTTCAGCGTGACGAGCGAACGCTTTGACCACTAGGCTACCGCGCCGCCGTAGAACAATCCCAGATAGTGGAGCAGATAAGTGCAGAAATAGTTCACTTAATCATGCAAGCATGAAATTTGGGACAAATGTTCATTGGAGTCCAGTCTTTCAAAACAGGACATTAGCCACGCAAAAATCCAAGATGGCTACCATTTCCAAGATGGCCGCCGTCTACACTAAAAATTACTAATAATTACTTTGTAAGTTGTAACTACTTCAAGTAAAACAACTTATTTTAATTTTATGACAAAATGAAGTTGTTTTATTACAATACCAAAACAATACATAAATCAAAGGGCAGTTTTAGCACCAAAAACACCAGTCGAAATTGTACCTGAACTAACAACTGCACCCAGAATAACAGAGATTCTACACTTCACATTTGCAACTGCACAAGGTTGTGTATGTGAGACCAAACCAGTAGCATTTGCACCTGCCACAACAGCCAGACTTGCAGCCACACTTAGTGAGCTGTTCACAACTCTTTGCAATGGAGAAGTTTCTGTCCAGAAGGTTTTCCAATCTTCGCCAATCTTCTCCCATCCCCAGTCAGCTGGAATCTCTGCTTCTGGCTGGCGCAGAATTCCCTCAGCCCACACACAACCTGCCTGATATGCTGCACGTTTAGCGTGTTGAATAAGAGCTGCTCTGGTTGGAGGGATGGCTTCATATGGTCTCTGCTTTCTGGTAAATAAGTCGGGTCTAGCCTCATCCACACCAACAACAGTGCTAGACCTGTCATACATGAGGACCACAAACTTCTCTAGGGTCTCAATGTCATCATCCTCAATGGTTGGTGGATGCTGGCTCAATCTGGCAAATAATGGTGTTGCCTCTGGGAAAATGTCCAATGTTTGCCAAGTCTTTTCCCCTTTATTGCTTAAAGCTGACACCACATCACAACCCGTAAAATTATGGAAGAACAACATGCCTTTGGCCTTCTCTTGACCAACAGAGTTGTGCAGGTTGTGAATGCCAATTCATCGAAGGCTCTGACCTTGGCCAAATAAGAGCCACAGCTGCTGCAGACCCATGCTTTGCTGTGTTGGGAACATACTCAGGCCAATCACAAGGACCTCTGTGTCATTGGCTTTGATTATGATGGATTTGCTCACTTGGGTTGCAGCATATCTGGCATGAACAAAGATGCGACTGTCTGCCTCCTCTTGAGAACATTCGTCCAGTTCAGTCAGACTCACTTTCTGTGTGACAAGTGCTTTGTGTCCCTTGGTCACAATAACCAAGTTTGTGCAGACATCTAGACAATCCTGTCTGCCAGAAAGTGAAACACCTCCGACTTGTTGTCATTGTGCCTTGTGTCTGCTTCCAGACTTAATGGACTGTACATATCAAAGACAACATGTGTTGTCTTGTATGCACTGGCATATGCACTAATAGTTGACAGAAAGTCAAGGGCTGCATAGTCTGCAAATGTCTTGGACCTTTCGGTGGCAGTGCATGGATCAAAGCTGAACCATCAATGATGATGTCATCTGCCTCTGGCTCTTGGTCTGGAGGCGTGATGTGTTTCTCAAGTATGGAGGTCAGTTGGGACTTTTGACAGCTATATATCTTTCCACCATCACCTAGAGATGCAGGGAATGATTGATTTTCGTGCTGAACGAACTCCTGCAGGTTGCACTCCCTGATCTGACAGGCGATGAACAGCTTGGAAAACAGCTGACAGTCTTCTGGCAGTTGTTTCTGTTTTGATGGTTCTGTAAAAGGCCTATCTTGACAGAAGAAGTCAAGTCTTTCCTTTCTGATGTTCTCATAGAATGATGTTGGGTTATCTTCCAATCTTTTCCCAAAGTTTTGGTATTGTGTGCTACCTTTCTGCAAGTGAGTGTGAACAAGCTCCGCAGAGCTGGGATGAGCTACATCTTTGGTGTCTATTGAAAACAAATCTACTTCCTCGAAAAGGTTTCCAAGTTGCAGGACCTGAGAGAGTTTCTGGACCCTTTCTAGGAATGTCTTCTGGGCATGTGATGTCTGCTCATGGTGAAAACAGTGCTCGCTGGCCTCTTTTGTTTGTGCCTCCATTTCATAGAGGAACACCAGATGACTCACCTCAGGGCCAGAGACCATCCAGCTCCTCAGGGCTGATGGATTTTCAGTAAGGCCAATGGCTCCACCGTCAGCCTTAATGGCAGCATTGGCCTGTTCATGGGCCTGATCAGGAGCAAGCGCTGAGAAGTCATGCTTGGTCTTGTGCACAACAAAGTTGCCCATCTTGAATTCCTGCACCAGTGCAGGGTGCTTACTTTCCAAAATCAGGATGTCCCTCAGATGAATAGGCAACAATCGGGCATAATTGGTGTTGTTATTGGCAAACAGGTATGGTATCAACTCCCTCAATGCCTGACAGTCTATGCTGAAGTTGGCTTCACGGAATGATCTGATCAGCACGAAGACTGTAAGTTCCATTGACAATACCAAATGCCAGAATTGAAATTGCTGACTTTGTTGGCTTTTGTTCTGACACCATTCCTCAAAGCCCAATACGTCTTCATTGATCTCTGCTTGTTCTGTGCAATAACTGTTGTAGGCACATTGTAGCAACTTTTAATAGCTGCAGGCAGTGACCTGGTGCATTTGTCGTGTCTTAGTGACACTTGAAGCTGCCAGAAATAAATCTACAGTGCCAGAAGAAGCCACACCTGTTTCTACTAAGGCGCCAGTACAACCACTGACAAGGTATTGGCCATTGCCACTGCACCAGTTTTGCCAAGGCTGTAATGACAGGTACAGGTGTCACACACCTTCTGCATTACGTGCTTCACTGCAGCTACAGAGTGAGCCTCGTCTCTGGGAAGTGGCAGCAAAGGAGTGATACTCACTTGAGAAAAGGGAGGGTGCACACTTCATTTTCACCAGAGTTTCATTGGTCATTTAATAAACTTTCAGGACAAAATGGGGGGTGGGGGGTGGTCGCACCCCCACTCTGGGATCCGCCTATGCTCATAGTCCAGGGCCATTTGTGGTCTAAGCAGGTCTGTGGTTGGCATTGGCACTGTACCATTTGGCGGTGTTGGGTTCTTTGACTTCAATGAAGCAGGAAGGATATTTGTAAAGGTAGTAGCAGTGGTTGCAAAAGTGTTGGGGTCAATGTTGTCCATGACCGCAGTGGTGAACAAACCCTTTCTAAGAACAGGTGGACAGACCACACACTCCTGCACATACGTGCTAACTGTGGCATCTCCAAGTTGGACTGATATCTCCAGCACCCTGTCATACGAAATGCTCATGCCATGATCATGACGTATTTCTACGAGGCTTCTCTTCCTGGTTTTGGCAAAGATTACCATACCCATGTACACTGGAAAGGGAGTTTCCCTTTAGTTTCCCTTAGAATGTCGATGGGTAGTTCCTTGTTCTTTCCGGGTAAGTCCATGAACAACTCATGTAAAAGCCACCACGATGAACTGGTGATTGAATGGGATTATAAACCATGATAAATGCATCAGTAACATCCCTATTCTCGATGGTGAAGCAATTGGCCAATGGATGGCAGCCATCATGAAAAAAGAGGCAGCCATCTTGGATTTTTGCGTGGCTAACGCCCTTTTATGAAAGAGTGGTCCTTTGAGAATGTATTTGCCAAATTTTATGCTTGCGTGAATACGTGAACTATTTTGGGTCATTTTTGCATTTATCTGCTCCATTAAGAGCAGACCTAAACATTTGGCTGAAAGGTCCATAGCTGCGATACAGATTGCAGTACCGATACAAGCAGGAATGTAACATGATGTAGATGATGATTTGGAGATTTTATGTGCGCTTTCCGACATATTACGTATTTCGGACACGTGCCCACCAGACATTTAGTGCTTGATCGAAAGACGGTTGGTTTGCAACGCCGCACTCAGCAATATTCCAGCTCTGCGGTGGCGGTCTGTAAATAATCGAGTCTGGACCAAACAATCCAGCGATCAACAGCATAGGCATCGTTCTACACAGCTGAGATACGCTGACATGTCAACCAAGTCAGAGAGCCTGACCACCCGATCCCCTAAATCCCCCAAGCATGGGCTACTGAAGAACAATTCTAACCCAGATCTTAACGGGTTTTGATCGCAAGAGGAGTAATTTGACCGAAAGATATACTACTGGAATAAAGTAACTGTACATTATTTGATGGTGTGTTTTGATGCGAAGAGATAGTAACATGATTTGTGGTGTTTTCCTTAATCACTGTTTATCTCTTGACAGGACCGTATCGATATCAGTATGATTTGATACTACAGTCTGTAGGCATCGTGACACGCTGTTGAATATGTCTACAGTCAGTCCACAAATTCAGTATCGTGTGTGTCCACCATTGACGTTGATGCAGGTTTACAACAACGACGCACAGGCGCCACTAAGCGATTGAAGAAAGCTTTGGGAGTGTGGTTCCATGTTTGAACCTACGCTTGTCCCAAATTCAGCTTTCGTCAATGGCTGATTCTAGGCTTGACATTAACGTCGCACCATTTCATCCCAAGCGTGCTCGATAGGGGACAGGTCCGTAGAAACAGCTGGTTAGGGGAGTACCGGAATGTTCTGCTGTCTCAGGAAATCTGTCACAACACGGGCGACATGTGGACGGGCATTATCTTGCTGAAGCGTGAAGTTACGTCTCTGTCCTTGACTGAATGGCTTGACTGAGGCCTAATAATCTCATCCCTGTATAGCAGACCTGTCAGATTGCCATTGACAATGACAAGTTGTGTCCGACCATGAGATATGATGCTCGCCCATACCATAAGGCTCTCGCCACCAAATTTCCGACGTCAGTATACCGTTCACCTCGCCGTCTGTACACCCTTGCACTGCCACCTAAGCTGTCCAGATGAAATCAAGACTCGTCAGTAAACAAAATATCATCTCAATCCTGTCTCCTGTACCGTAGATGCTATCTGCACCAGACAAGACGTGCCTGTCGGTAACGTTCGAGCAAAAGTGGACGCGTTGCAGACCGTCGGGGCCGGTTGTTGTGCTCCCTCAGTCGGTTCCGTACAGTCCTGGAACTGGTTGGACGTAAGCTAGGAATGGTCCGAGCACTCAAACTGGCAGTCTGGATTCGATTCTGTGGCTGTGGTTGTCTTGCAGACGTGACGGCACGCCTGCACGACTGGTCCGAGACAAAACTCTCACGTTCCCATTATGTTGAAAACGTGTCCATAGAGATGAGTTCATGTTTCGATGGACACCAAAATGGCCACTTCATTTTGGGCCATTCCTGTCTCCAGCATACCCACGGCGCAGAGACGCTGATTTTCTGTAAGCTGTGGCATGACGTACGCGCAGTTTAGGTTGAAATTTTCCACAACATTCTGAGGTTAGAGAATAGTTAACCGTTCTCCAGTTTTTAATATCAGGTGTGTGAACTTCAGGTACAAAAAAAAAACATGCAAAGAGTGAGTAAGTTCATTGTGCACAAAGTGCACGTGCCACGCGCGATACGTGGCAAAGTGCTTTGCTTCATGTTTACTCAGGGTCATTTTATAACTTGTATTTCATGCAATTTATGTTAGAAACAATTACGTTTTCCTTTAGAATATAATACTATCCGAAGGGGCGTTGGGGTTGCATAACTATTCTTTTTATGAATTTTGAATTTGGAAATTTATCATAATGGGTAGTGGGAGCTGAATTAGGGGTTTGGGTGATACATGTATTTGTTTTTGTTTTGTTGGCTTTGGGTTTTGGGGGTTTATGGGGTTTTGGTTTTTTCGTTCTGTCGGGTTATGCATTTTGTGGTTTTATTTACTTTGTATAATCATTGGTATTTGTTGGTTATGTGGGATTATATGCGACCTTGAAACCCGGTTTCGATTAGTAATATACCTAAGGCGTTGTGTTTGGGTGTTATTTAGTGGGCTTTGGAGTGTATGTCTCGTTAGGTGGTCAAAGTGTTCAGACACTGAGCTGGATCATGTCGTTGGTGCGGATGGCGGGGTTGTGTGAGGGCTCTTGTTTTTATGAAGTCAGGAGTGGGAGACACTTACTGAGCTGGATCATGTCGTTGGTGCGGGTTGCGGGATTGTATCTGAAGATCTTGCCGATGTCAAGGTCGACAAACAACAACGTCTGTGTGGAGTCCTCCCAGTGGGGCCCTTCTCCACACTTGGTCGCCACATTCTTCAAGACTGTCTCCACTTTGTACATCGCTGGTCTAACATTAACCGAAATTTTGGTAGGTAAATATTATTGGGTGAAACAAGCCATATAGGAAGCATTTCAGACGTTTCATAGATAGAGAATTCTACACGATATGTATTCAAGATACATGTAGAATACTTAAGGTTTTGTATTCAAGAACCGAAACCTGTTTAAGAAAGAGGTCGCGGAGTAATTGACTTATTAACAAAAAGCCTGTACACTCCAGTGTATGCGCAAAAGCATGCAGGTCTTACATTCCGTAGAAACATACATAAAGACTGACGCATTAACAAGACATATTGTAATGAGAGGATCACTGTTGTTTGAGGTTTGAGCCATGTGAAAGAGCTTGAAACTTCAGCTATCAATATTTACAAATTGTTAAATCTGCTACCTTGCTACTATGTTGAACCTGTCTGTTGTGTTAGCTGTTGGGCAAACTCAACGTTTTGACGTTTTGACCTGGAGGTTCAGCGACTGTTGTAGAAGTTACTGTCAATAGTTCCGACATAGGTAGGAGCAGAGAACAGCGAGATTACAAACTCGGAACGACAAGTATGGGACTTAATGTGTGGCTGTCGACATCAGCTTCTATGTTGTGATCACGTCAGAGCGCGACGACATGCTACCATGAAGGGTAAGGTTACCATTCATCAACTAGTCAGCTGACGACGTTGAACGGCTGTGTGGCTGTAATAGTTAGTTACAATCTGTATGTTTTGTCTTCAGAAATTTTGCATGGTGCCAGAATCATGGGTTTTTTTCGGCCCAGCGGTATGTAAGGACCAGGGCTTGTGCCATTTTCATCGTTTGAAGGGGATCTAAGTTTTTCTTTTCCAACCGGGCTGCGCTTAAACGACCCATAGGAGCGGACTTTGAGTTGATTGCTAAATAGTGAGAGAGTGAGTATGATTTTACGCCACTTTTAGCAATATTCAGCAATATCACGACAGGGACACTTGACATATTGTACCCAAACGCTTTAACCACTAGCCTACCCCACCGCCCAACAATTGATAAATAGAATGTTGTATCTTTATAGTTATAATCTTTCGGAAGGAACCTGGAATATAACTTGTGCAAGGACATTGGACAACCAGGCTAGTTTGTGGCCTATGCAAGGGGGAACAACGTCATTTGGGGGGTAAGACTTCCGCATTGGCATTTTGAGAAGTTGGAAATGTCTTTCAGTATGTTAAGATACAATTAAAGAAACATGTTAAAACTCATTGTGATCCGATGATGAATATATATTCAGGTGATATGAATTGACTAGAATGAAATTTAAGGGGGGATACGGGTGGAATTCTTTCCAAAGAGTGTTATAAATGAAAAAGTAGTTCCGGGATCAGCGTGACATTGTGGGGTGGCCAAGATTAACAAATCAAAGTCCTCGAATCGGTGTATGTCACCACCTGTTGGTTCAAAGCGTGGGTTGTAAGATTACGTCACTGACAGAGACGTGCATGTCCGCGACTACTCGTGCGGTGTCTATAGAAGTAGCATAACTGAGTTTAACCACACTCGAACACGGAATACTGAATGTTACCTCTTTCATACCAAGCACTGTGCAGGGTAACAGCAAGTACCACGTTCTAAAGAAATATAATTGTATCAGACCTTCTTGTAGTATTGTAAACGATCACAAATAGAGGGTACTTTTACACTCTAAAATGATGTATCTGATATCCTTGTCCCAACAACCACCCTAATCCCAGAACCTGCGGATATTCAAAACGAATTCAAAGCTTCGGCCAAGCTCGGGTTGTGACGTCGTAGTTGAAAAACGAGCCCGATTTTGTTCTGTTAACACAGAGACAGAAATGGTGACATAAATCTCGGCCTCCGTGACGGTCTTAATGTAGACAAATATAATAAAATAGTTTTCGCGGACAGAACTACATACATGTAATGAATTCAGACTTGTGGTTGAACAGTACTCCTGTTAAGTCAGGGGAACAGTTTCAATGGTTTTGCATGTCTCGGCTATTAAATTAACACAAGCAAAGCTATGCTGCTGGCAAGCAAACAATCGCCATTATGTGAATCCGGGATCCGAACCAATGGACATAGGATTCTGGCACGACTAAATCAAAACCCACTTTGCAATATCAGTACTCATTTCAAAACTTACGGTATGGTCGGTTGTCCGTTATATTCAGCAGTATATACTAGTATAACGTCAGGCCAAGGTGTCTTACTGGAAAAGGCGACGGTTCACTGACGGGTGTCAATAGCAAGCTATATCCTGGCTACTGGTGAACCGATCATGCTCTGTGCTATACATCTGATGACGCAGGAAGCACACACACCCAGCGAGGACACTAGCACCAATCACATACAGAGACCTATACATATGTAAATGAGGTAGCCACACATCACTTGATGTATTCACAAACATGTGGCAACAGGACCAAGGCTGCCATATAATATACAACTCACACAAAATTGGGGGGCAAGAGCGATCGTTATAACCTGCCAGGACCAGTAAACCAGAGTGTGTTCAGTATTACCCGTTATATCCTGCAAGGATCAGTGAACTAGTGTGTGTTGAGTATTACCGTTATATCCTGCAAGGATCAGTGAAACAGTGTGTGTTGAGTATTACCGTTATATCCTGCCAGGACCAATACAATAAACTAGTGTGTGTTGAGTATTACCGTTATGTCCTGCAAGGATCAGTGAACTAGTGTGTGTTGAGTATTACCGTTATTTCCTGCCAGGACCAATACAATAAACTAGTGTGTGTTGAGTATTACCGTTATGTCCTGCAAGGATCAGTGAAACAGTGTGTGTTGAGTATTACCGTTATATCCTGCAAGGATCAGTGAACTAGTGTGTGTTGAGTATTACCGTTATATCCTGCAAGGATCAGTGAAACAGTGTGTGTTGAGTATTACCGTTATATCCTGCCAGGACCAATACAATAAACTAGTGTGTGTTGAGTATTACCGTTATGTCCTGCAAGGATCAGTGAACTAGTGTGTGTTGAGTATTACCGTTATTTCCTGCCAGGACCAATACAATAAACTAGTGTGTGTTGAGTATTACCGTTATGTCCTGCAAGGATCAGTGAAACAGTGTGTGTTGAGTATTACCGTTATATCCTGCAAGGATCAGTGAACTGGTGTGTGTTGAGTATTACAGTTATATCCGGCCAGGACCAATACAAAAAACTAGTGTGTGTTGAGTATTACCGTTATATCTTGCAAGGATCAGTAAACTAGTGTGTGTTGAGTATTACCGTTATATCCTGCAAGGATCAGTAAACTAGAGTGTGTTGAGTATTACCGTTATATCTTGCAAGGATCAGTAAACTAGTGTGTGTTGAGTATTACCGTTATATCCTGCAAGGATCAGTAAACTAGTGTGTGTTGAGTATTACCGTTATATCTTGCAAGGATCAGTAAACTAGTGTGTGTTGAGTATTACCGTTATATCCTGCAAGGATCAGTAAACTAGTGTGTGTTGAGTATTACCGTTATATCTTGCAAGGATCAGTAAACTAGAGTGTGTTGAGTATTATCGTTATATCCTGTCAGGATCAGTAAACTAGAGTGTGTTGAGTATTACCGTTATATCCTGCCAGAGCTAGCAAACTAGTCAGTGTGGAGCAGTATTACAGTTATATCAACCGGGGGCTAGCAAACAATCCAGAGATACCGGGGACCGCTTCTAACCTGGGATCGCCATGCAGCTTAGTGCAGAAGCACTTAATTATACCTTATCGTGGGGTCAACCTCCATGCTATGATTATACTCCGTAACGCTCAATGATAAAACCCTTCAATAGCGACATCACAAAAAAAGTGACAATACAGTATAACATTGTGCAGCAACAGTCTCCGAACTATATATATATCTATAGTTATAAATCTGTTATAACGCCTTTTGGTCGAACAATATTATACCAATATCACTGACTGATATCACGCAATGGTCAGCACACTTTGACCGTGACACTTGCAGTAAGAGTGAAACGTGACTGAACGTATCCTTGACTTATCGAAGTGTCATCTACGTCATCGCTATGACCTACAGACGTGTATTGCCGAATCAGCAATCATTGCGATATCCCAAGTGTACACACAATATATTTCATGTCTCAAGACGGTACAATGTTTATTCAGTATTGTGTCAGGAACTCTATATGTAGGTCATGGCTGCACGTCGTGGCTACGTATGGTGGCTGATTTGGGCCATCCCCATCTCGCCTTAAAATTCGGAGGCGAGTAAGCGAGAAAGCGATATCACGAGACGAGAAAGCGATAACACGAGGCGAGAAAGCGATATCACCAGACGAGAAAGCGATAACACGAGACGAGAAAGCGATATCACCAGACGATAAAGCGATAACACGAGGCGATAACACGAGGCGAGAAAGCAATATCAACAGACGAGAAAGCGATAACACGAGACGAGAAAGCGATAACACGAGACGAGAAAGCGATAATGCGAGACGAGAAAGCGATAGCACGAGACGCCCTAATCAGCCACCATAGCTACGTCCGGGTCGCGTTACCTATTTGGACGGACGGTCGACTTGAAATCGTGAACACCCAGTATCGTCACTATTTGATAGTGATTTTACAAACAATTCCTAATGATTTAGTCTGAAAAGTACAACGGACTTTCATAGAGATTTCTTGTGATTATAGAAATGGTTTCACACTTACATTCAGCGCGCGAACACTTGCTCATATAGTGAACTCCCGCCTGATTTACCCACCTGAGCTCAAAGTATTGTTCATATTGAGATCTATGCACTGCGATTCAGAGTGAATGAAGACTAGGGTGCAGTCGAGCAGCACAGTTGTATAAATGTTGTTTGATCAAAGTTCCAACATTCAAGAATATTTAATGGCAGATATTTCGAGGAAAGGCCTCCATGATTTGGCCTGTTGCATTTGTCTTTGTGACAGATGGCACAAACAGATTAATGGTCATGATGCAGTAGGAGTGAGTGAGTTTAGTTTTACGCCGCACTCTGCAATATTCCAGCTATATGGCGGCGGTCTGTAAACAATCGAGTCTGGACCAGACAATCCAGTGATCAACAGCATGAGCATCGATCTGAGCAATTGGGAACCGATGACATGTGTCCACCAAGTCAGCGAGCCTGACCACCCGATCCCGTTAGTCGCCTCTTACGACAAGCATGGGTTACTGAAGATCAATATTCTAACCCGGACCTTCACGGGTCTGATGCGGTAGGCTCATCTCTTTAGGCAGAGATGTCTTATGAATGTGGCAATGGTTTTTTATGTTTTAAATCACGGTGACTGACAGATTACATAGCCGGATAGATTCTCCTACAAACACTGATAAAGGCTCCCCAAGTAGACATACATCAATACCCGTGAACAAATGGCAGGGTAAGTTGAACTATCCCACTTAAAAATACAAGAACATGAGCTTCTTTACTTTTTCTCAAGCAATTGCCTTTGCTACTCTTCAGGCTGTTGTGTTATCATCTGAGTGCGAACATTAATGTATGTATTCCGTGGTGGGAGTGAACTGTGCTTGACACAACCAGAAAACATGGGCAACATACACTATGACTGAACTGCTGTCTACGTCGTGACGCACTGAACAAACATAGTCTACGTCGGGTCACACTGCACCAAAGTAGCCTCAGTGACAACAAACTAACCTAACGTTCTCTTCCTCACGAGGGCGGTGGGATAGCCCAGTGGTAAAGGCGTTCGCTCGTCACGCTGAAGACCCGGGTTCGATTCCCCACATGAGCACAATATGTGAAGCCCATTTCTGGTGTCCCCCGCCGTGATATTGCTGGTATATTGCTAAAAGCGGCGTAAAATCAAATTCACTCACTCACTCTTCGTCACGACGCACTGACCAAACAGACCTCGTCACAACACACTGCACTAGTCTCCGTGACGACACACTAATCTAACGTAGCCTTCGTCACGACACAGTGAACGTACGTACCTTTCGTCACGTCATACTACACTGAAGTAATCTGCGTGACAACACACTAAACTAACGTTCTCTTCGTCACGACACACTGCACTAGTCTCCGTGACAACACACTAACCTATAACCTAACGTTCTCTTCGTTACGACATACTACACTGATGTAGTCTCCGTGACAATACACTAACCTAACGTTCTCTACTTTACGACACACTGCACTGATTTAGTCTCCGTGACAACACACTAACCTAACATTCTCTCCGTTACGACACACTACACTGATGTAGTCTCCGTGACAACACACTAACCTAACGTTCTCTTCGTTACGACATACTACACTGACGTAGTCTCCGTGACAACACACTAACCTAACGTTCTCTTCGTGACAACACACTAACCTAACGTTCTCCTCGTTAAAACACACTGCACTGATGTAGTCTCCGTGACAACACACTAACCTAACGTTCTCTTCGTTAAAACACACTGCACTGATGTAGTCTCCGTGACAACACACTAACCTAACGTTCCCTTCGTTACGACACACTGCACTGATGTAGTCTCCGTGACAACACACTAACCTAACGTTCTCTTTGGTACGACATATTACACTGATGTAGTCTCCGTGACAACACACTAACCTAACGTTCTCTTCGTTAAAACACACTACACTGATGTAGTCTCCGTGTCAACACACTAACCTAACGTTATCTTCGTTACGACACACTGCACTGATTTAGTCTCCGTGACAACACACTAACCTAACGTTCTCTTCGTTACGACACAGTGCACTGATGTAGTCTCCGTGACAACACACTAACCTAACGTTCTCTTCGTTAAAACACACTGCACTGATGTAGTCTCCGTGACAACACACTAACCTAACGTTCTATTCGTTACGACACACTGCACTGATGTAGTCTCCGTGACAACACACTAACCTAACGTTCTCTTCGTTATGACACACTGCACTGATAGTCTCCGTGACAACACACTAACCTAACGTTCTCTTCGTTACGACACACTGCAGTGACAACACACTAACTTAACGTTCTCTTTGGTACGACACACTGCACTAGTCTCCGTGACGACACACTAACCTAACGGTCTTTTCGTTACGACACACTGCACTGATAGTCTCCGTGACAACACACTAACCTAACGGTCTCTTCGTTACCACACACTGCACTGATGTAGTCTCCGAGACGGTACTAGAGGTTGTAGATTGTGACGAACATGACGCAAACTTAGATTTGTCTGGGATGAATCGAAGGTAAACATATTTACTACATCATTGACGTTGAATATCAATGATAATTCTTTATTAACTAAACTTGAAAAATCCCACGAAGAGGGGATTGCATATTAAGTAAACTGTCTTCTTGATTCAGCTTCATGTATGAAAAGACAAATGAAACACTTTAATCTTGAACCTAGTAAACCTGAATAAAAATTTTAGACAAGCGTGGACAGAAAGCAGGAAAGCTTAGGCGATGTCGCAGTGAATATAATCGTAAAGGTTGCTATAGACGTAGAGACATTTATAAAGCTTCTTACAGAAAGTCCAAATGTGATATTCGATAGTCAAGACTTGATCGACTAAATAACTCTCTAAACAGCCCGAAACTATCTGTATACCTTTTAGATTAGGCCTCAATGATTAAGTAACCGTGGAGGATATTTTTTTATGAAAAGACCCAACGATTATGTCCATTCTCTAACATTATTGAAGATGAATTCTATCTTATGTCTATTTGTCCTGTATATGAAAATATAGGAAACAAGTATCTACCACAATTGACACAATTGCCTTTATTTCATATCAATTTTAAATTATTGTCTTCCTTACTTTCCTGAGAAGAACCTTCAAAACAATACAAAGCAGCCCTATTTATTTACAAACCCTTTTTTTAAAGAAAAGAATTGGTTAGTTATAAGTTGATTATATATGCCGTTGTTAATTCGTATATCTCTTGTATATTGACCTATGGCCCTTCATGTCATAAACAATTGAACTGAATTGACACACTAACCAAATGTACCTTTCTTCAGGACACTGAACGTACGTACCCTTCTTCACGACACACTGAACGTACGTACCCTTCTTCACGACACACTGAACGTACGTACCCTTCTTCACGACACACTGAACGTACGTACCCTTCTTCACGACAAACTGAACGTACGCACCCTTCTTCACGACACACTGAACGTACGTAGTTTTTTGTCACGACGCCCACTGAACATGTTACTTTGAGGTTCAGCTGATGGAATCTTTGTCGCGCTTCACTGAACGCTACGCGAGTGTACACGAGTATAGACATGAACACCCAGCTCATATAGCCATCCTTGCAGGACGTGGATTCGATCAGTCATATAACAAAACATACTGTGTCTATAAACAAGCACGCCCAATCGAATGTTTCAGACTTACCAATAATGTCGTACCTTGAAGCTGTAGAGTCTGGTGCACGTCTCAGCGATGTGGGTCAGAAAGATTGTCTTTGTATCCTATATTCTAGTCAATATTGTTGTAGGTTGTCACGGTGTAACTTGTGCGTGCCAGGGAATGAATACACGACCACCTAGACATGATAGTGGAGGTCATTACCCATTGTTAGGAAACGGGTGCGACGATTCTTTTTTTGGAAAACCTTTGCCCCGGCGTAAACCATCAACAAGACTGTATGAGAAAGTGAGATGGCTTCAACTATCAACTTTCTCTCCACATGCAGCAATATTCCAGCAGCGCGACTTTAGTCGTGCAGGTTTGATGCTTAGGCAACACGATACTGTAGGCAACACGATACTGTGGGTGGTTAGGGAATACAGGCAGTGAAACTTTCTGTTGTGTTACCCATATTGGCTAAAACACAACAACGGCTATCGACAGAAGAGAGAGAAAAGACCATGATACAGATGGGAGCTTCACGTGGCTAGGTGGCCACACTTTCTGGCCGAATCGCTACTAAAATGACCAGGTTGATGACTCGATACATGGACACTGACTTAAAACACTCACTATATATTATGTCTATATGTATGGTTACATCGAAGATTGATTTCTCCACCATGTTTGGGATAACCTTATTAGTGGGGCGGTTAAGGCCAGGATTTTGTCAAAATTGTGCACTTTGGGTTAAAAGCACCAAACTTAGCACACTGATACATTGAACAATTCTAAACATTTCTGGATATGGATCCACCTCAGTAGTGCCCCCTGGTGGCCGAAAATCCAAGATGGACGCCAGTTAGACTGAAATCTCTAACTATGTCAGTCTATGCTCAACATATCATAATTATCTTGTCATATTCAGTATTTTATCAAGGATTGTTCTTCATAGTGCTGCATATAATTTACATCTAGTATGTAGCGCCCCCTGGTGATGACAAAGTTCCAAGATGGCCGCCAAATTTAGATTTCTTAAGAAAGTTTCAAATTTTTTTACACAATGTCAGTATTATTTGTTCAGAATTTAAACAATTCCTTGTTATGTGTTATTGAATGTTCTAGCTATTAATACCAAAATGATTTTCCTTGTACATTTAAAGTATTACTTTTTGTTATTTATAAAATAATTAACACATGATTAACATGAGAATACAGTATTGATCTACCATATTATGTTCCACAATGCTTATTGTTTTATAACTATGAATTTTAAGTTTGGTGCTTTTAACCCAAAGTGCACAATTTTTGCCTTAACCGACCCACTGCAGATGAATTGCACGAGGATCATGCATCATATTGCTGAAAAGCATGTGCAAATATCGTGCATGTGAACAGCTGCGTTTTGGTGTAAAGTTTCGTAAAGAATTCGGCAATTTCCACTGATTTGTATCCTTTATTAAACACATGGCAATAATCTTTTCAACGTTACGAATGTATTTTACAATACATCAGTTCATGTGCAAACAGTACCTTTAAACAGTATGGAATATTTTGCAAAATTTAGTTTAGAACAGTTGCCTGAAGTAAGTGTATGTATGTATGTATGTATGTATGTATGTATGTATGTATGTATGTATGTATGTATGTATGTATGTATGTATGTATGTATGTATGTATGTATGTATGTATGTATGTATGTATGTATGTATGTATGTATGTATGTATGTATGTATGTATGTATGTTATGTAATATTTATATACTCAAACACACACACACACATTGAACATGGTCTCCATGGAAAATTGCTGGAAACGTTTAAGCTTTATTTCATCTTCCCTGGAGATTGGAGGGCAAAACTTCTCTGTAAGGTTTACCCACGATACACCTCTGCTGGTAGACCATGTACTCCAAGACCTGTAACTCTGAACAGCGAGCCGTCCAGGGAGTCGATCACAGGAAATGCTGCTCTTGTAGGGTGCATTTTAAGAGTGGTCAGATAGAGCTCGTCCAGGTTCTTGCCGCCCCAACACACAGAGGTGATTCTTTTTGCATCAGGTATGTCCACCTTCTGTAGCATCTTACCTGAAGAATAAACGCAATTGTGCAACTAAATTACTTGACCTTAGGATATAGAATAGATGTTACTCGCGCTTTTGCAAAAGATATCTCCCATTTCATCTCACATAGGAAATGCACCTATCGCTTTAAAAAGACCTTCTTTGTAGAATATCATAATGTTTGTAGAAGGGCACGAAATACATATACCTCATGGACCGGAGATACAATCCGGCCTATTTGTCAGTTTCGATTAAACTATATCACCCTCCAGACCATATGAAAACCTGTAGGACAAAACTATGTTTTGATTTACAAGAATGTTTCAACCTCTCGCTGTTTCAGGGTATGCAAGCAGCATGTCTTGACCTCTGCCGGCATTATGTCCAAAATACCTCGCAACCAAATCTATCAAACCTAAGCTCAGGCCATTCCTCGCAGGTCCATAGCGCCCGGTCTGAAATTCAGTTTGGAGCCATTTTTTTCCAAAGCTCCACACGTTAAACAGAATGTCTCCTATTTGTACTTACTTATTTTGAAATGAATGACGTATAAAATTCAAATGAACAGTTTACTGAAGTAGTTTCATAATTATCCAGTTGTCGTTCTGCAGATAACTAGTGTGTTTGCAGCTTACCTGTTTTTGGCTCAATTTTAGCCACACACCCGGCACCCATACAGGCCACCCACAGATTACCCTCAGTGTCAATCGTCATGCCGTCAGGACCCAGTACGTCTTTGCTGCTCAGCTCGGGGACGTCGTTGAAATTAACCACAACGCGACGATTGGCTACAACACAGACCGTAGTGACTGATATTACAACAGTTCATGTAATCCTGCATGTATTCACTTCATAGTCAGTGTCATTAGTGTCGGTAAGATGTGGCCTATATCGTTTGAGTCAGTGTGATGTGGCCTATATCGTCTGTGTCAGTATGATGTGGCCTATATCGTCTGTGTCAGTATGATGTGGCCTATATCGTCTGTGTCGGTAAGATGTGGCCTATATCGTCTGTGTCAGTATGATGTGGCCTATATCGTCTGTGTCAGTATGATGTGGCCTATATCGTCTGTGTCGGTAAGATGTGGCCTATATCGTCTGTGTCAGTATGATGTGGCCTATATCGTCTGTGTCAGTATGATGTGGCCTATATCGTCTGTGTCAGTGTGATGTGGCCTATATCGTCTGTGTCAGTATGATGTGGCCTATATCGTCTGTGTCAGTATGATGTGGCCTATATCGTCTGTGTCAGTATGATGTGGCCTATATCGTCTGTGTCAGTGTGATGTGGCCTATATCGTTTGAGTCAGTATGATGTGGCCTATATCGTCTGTGTCAGTATGATGTGGCCTATATCGTCTGTGTCAGTATGATGTGGCCTATATCGTCTGTGTCAGTATGATGTGGCCTATATTGTCTGTGTCGGTAAGATGTGGCCTATATCGTCTGTGTCAGTATGATGTGGCCTATATCGTCTGTGTCAGTATGATGTGGCCTATATCGTCTGTGTCGGTAAGATGTGGCCTATATCGTCTGTGTCAGTATGATGTGGCCTATATCGTCTGTGTCAGTATGATGTGGCCTATATCGTCTGTGTCGGTAAGATGTGGCCTATATCGTCTGTGTCAGTATGATGTGGCCTATATCGTCTGTGTCAGTATGATGTGGCCTATATCGTCTGTGTCAGTGTGATGTGGCCTATATCGTCTGTGTCAGTATGATGTGGCCTATATCGTCTGTGTCAGTGTCGGTGATGTGGCCTATATCGTCTGTGTCAGTATGTCTGTGTCGGTGTGGATGTGGCCTATATCGTCTGTGTCAGTATGATGTGGCCTATATCGTCTGTGTCAGTATGATGTGGCCTATATCGTCTGTGTCGGTATGATGTGGCCTATATCGTCTGTGTCAGTGTGATATGGCCTATATCGTCTGTGTCAGTATGATGTGGCCTTTATCGTCTGTGTCAGTATGATGTGGCCTATATCGTCTGTGTCAGTATGATGTGGCCTATATCGTCTGTGTCGGTAAGATGTGGCCTATATCGTCTGTGTCGGTAAGATGTGGCCTATATCGTTTGTGTCAGTATGATGTGGCCAATATCGTCTGTGTCGGTATGATGTGGCCTATATCGTCTGTGTCGGTAAGATGTGGCCTATATCACCTGTGTCAGTATGATGTGGCCAATATCACCTGTGTCGGTATGATGTGGCCTATATCGTCTGTGTCAGTATGATGTGGCCAATATCACCTGTGTCGGTATGATGTAGTCTATATCACCTGTGTTAGTATGATGTGGCCAATATCACTTGTGTCAGTATGATGTGGCCAATATCACCTGTGTCGGTATGATGTGGTCTATATCACCTGTGTCGGTATGATGTGGCTAATATCACCTGTGTCAGTAAGATGTGGTCTGTATCACCTGTGTCGGTATGATGTGGCCAATATCACCTGTGTCAGTAAGATGTGGCCAATATCACCTGTGTCGGTATGATGTGGTCTGTATCACCTGTGTCAGTATGATGTGGCCAATATCACCTGTGTCGGTAATGTATCACCTGTGATGATGGTCTGTATCACCTGTGTCAGTAAGATGTGGTCTGTATCACCTGTGTTGGTATGATGTGGCCTATATCACCTGTGTCAGTAAGATGTGGCCAATATCACCTGTGTCGGTATGATGTGGTCTGTATCACCTGTGTCAGTATGATGTGGCTAATATCACCTGTGTCGGTATGATGTGGCCTATATAACCTGTGTCAGTAAGATGTGGCCAATATCACTTGTGTCAGTATGATGTGGCCTATATCGTCTGTGTCGGTAAGATGTGGCCTATATCGTCTGTGTTAGTATGATGTGGCCTATATCGTCTGTGTCAGTAAGATGTGGCCAATATCACCTGTGTCGGTATGATGTGGCCTATATCACATGTGTCAGTAAGATGTGGCCTATATCACCTGTGTCGGTATGATGTGGTCTGTATCACCTGTGTCAGTATGATGTGGTTAATATCACCTGTGTCAGTAAGATGTGGCCAATATCACCTGTGTCAGTAAGATGTGGCTAATATCACCTGTGTCAGTAAGATGTGGCTAATATCACCTGTGTCAGTAAGATGTGGCCAATATCACCTGTGTCGGTATGATGTGGCCTATATCACCTGTGTCAGTAAGATGTGGCCAATATCACCTGTGTCAGTAAGATGTGGCCAATATCGCCTGTGTCAGTAAGATGTGGCCAATATCACCTGTATATATCTTCCCAAGATGTCTTTGACATTGATGAACTGAACCCACTACAACCACCTTCCATTGAAAAAGCTGAGCATTACGAGATTGAAGTTCTTAGGTACTCTGAAGCCCTGCAGACTGGATATGAACAATCTCTCTGCAAATGTTCTGAAAGTCCGCAAGCCCTGCAAGGTCATTGTCGTACTTAGCAGACATCAGTTAAAGATTTCTTTAAACCACTGCAGATCAATGTGAATCAACGTTTCACTTGAATGACGTGTATATTCATTAGAGCAAAATATATTTTGCATTGATGTGCGAGTGTACATGTGCTATGTAACTGAGAAATAAAGAATGATCAACAAAGTAATGACTTCTTTTCTTTGAAGTCAAACTGTCCTACCTGGTTATAAATGCCACCCTGGATATAACGCCATATTGTCTCCTGGACAAACGGTGGCATTATAACCAGGGTATTATACTGTGATTAAATAGGTGAATATTTTAAGCACTTTAGGATTTTAGTGGTATATGGTCTATCAAAGTGTGAGAATGATGTTTCTTGTTTGACACACGTTGTTAGTATAGTCGGTCAGGGAAGACTGAAATGCTGGTTTCGATCACCACGACATTCCCCCATGCGGATATTTGTCAAAATAATACTAGTCTGTCTACTAGTAACTTGCGTTACAATAGGAAATATTAATTACATCCACAAACTATTAACAAAAACTATCATGAATAAATCAACAATATTTGTTACAAATACAAACTGACATAAACGGTCCGAAAATGCAGGAACATCCATTTTTTTCTAGCGGGCCAGGGCGCATCGGTCACTTTCACAACTAGATTTTGCTTACACTGAAAGTTAGTCTGACTGCACCCTTTACTGATAATATGTCACTGTGACACCCCGATAAGTTAAGTAAGTCAAGAACGCTCAGATTACCAGCTGGCTACTGACTGACAACCAGAGTCAAGTGATTGCAGTGGTGATGTCCCTTGTCGAGTTACGTGATCACCAGCAGCAGGAACTGTGGACTGTTGGCGGTGTGAGGTGTCTTACACAGGTGTAGATGCGTGACTGACTGTGATATAACCAGTCTATACATAGAATCAGAATGCCTCCGTGGTCTAGTGGTTAAACGTCTACCGAGTTGGGAGTTGATCAACCCAAATGATTGGTTGGTTGGTTGTTGTTAACGCCGCACTCAGCAATATTCCTCCTATATAGCATGAGCATCGATCTATGCAATTGGGAACCGATGGCATGTGTCAAGCAACAGCGAGCCTAACCACCCGATCCTGTCAGTCGCCTCTTACGACAAGCATTGGTTACTGAAAAATCAATTCTAACGCGGATCTTCACGGGTCCCATCACAAATGAGTATGAGTGAGTGAGTGAGTTTAGTTGTAATGTTGACTTGACACGATATACTCACATATTTTTCCCTTCTCAATGTCGTAGTCGTACGCGTACACTTCGCGAGGTGACGTGTCGATGAAGTACATGGTGTTGTTGTCCGGGGACCACGCCATGCCGTTGGAGGTGGTGAAGTTCTCGTCCTGCTTGCTGACACTTCCGTCAATATCCAGGCAGTACAGATTGCCTTTGTGAGGCGTCAGCTGTCCATCTAGTGTACCTAATGTGGTAAAAAACACATTAATTAACATCCTTCCCTAAATGCCGTAGAAACTAGACCAAACAACTAGACATTTACATGAATTACATGGGTGTGAACCCATCTACTGAATCTCTTGAAATTACTGAACAAATACGCATGCTGTTGTGTGAGCGTGTCTATGTTTGTCTGTGTGAGTGTGTCTATGTTTGTCTGTGTGAGTGTGTCTATGTTCGTCTGTGTGACTGAGTGTGTCTGTTTGTCTGTGTGAGTGTCTATGTTTGTCTGTGTGAGCGTCTCTTTGTCTGTGTGAGTGTGTCTATGTTTGTCTGTGTGAGTGTGTCTATGTTTGTCTGTGTGAGTGTGTCTATGTTCGTCTGTGTGACTGAGTGTGACTGTTTGTCTGTGTGAGTGTCTATGTTTGTCTGTGTGAGCGTCTCTTTGTCTGTGTGAGTGTGTCTATGTTTGTCTGTGTGACTGAGTCTGTGTGTTTGTCTGTGTGAGTGTCTATGTTAGGTGTCTGTGTGAGTGTGTCTATGTGAGTGTGTCTATGTTTGTCTGTGTGACTGAGTGTGACTATGTTTGTGTGTTTGTCTTTGTGAGTGTGTCTGTTTGCTGGTGTGAGTGTGTCTATGTGTGCCTGTGTGAGTGTGTCTGTGTGACTGAGTGTGGGTTTGTGTGAGTGTGTCTATGTTTGTCTGTGTGACTGTGTCTATGTTTGTGTGACTGAGTGTGGGTTTGTGTGAGTGTGTGTCTATGTTTGTCTGTGTGAGTCTATGTTTGTCTGTGTGAGTGTGTCTATGTTTGTCTGTGTGAGTGTGTCTATGTTTGTCTGTGTGACTATGTGTGGGTTTTCTTGTACTAGTCAAGTCTGCACCAAACATATTCCGATTAACGATGGACACCATGCTCGATACAGAGTGCACGTGAAATCATGGAGCTTACAGTCAAGTACAAGCGCCTCCAAGCATGCGATGTGACATGCTTGCCCAGATTCATCCTTCACACAGAGTGCAAACAGAGACAAGCTCCCTGCTTGTCTGGAATGTTTCAACAGATCGAAGACTTAATGAAATACTAGATAGAGCAATACGTATCAGAACAGACAACACGACGAGGCCCACCACAGTTCCAGACCTACCGTGGAGTGAATTAGCATCGGACTTGTTCGAATGGGAACATAGTTGGGTCAGGGGTGACCACTTGCTGGTAGAACAGCCAGGTCATCAACAATCATGTGCAGTGAAATTTCAATTTCACACGTACAACTCGCACACCTGGCTGTTCAACCAGCAAGTGGTCCTCCCTCGTAAGAAACAGCGAAAAGTGACAACAAAATAATGACCGTTTGTTAAATAACTTTTGTTATTCGGGTGTCCAAAATTATGAGACAAATCATCAGAGTTGGTGTGTCGATTTCATGTGACTGTGCAAATTTTGATTTTGTTGTATTTGTTAGATTTTGTGTTCGTGAGCAATTCATCGGTCTCAAACGGACTATACTGCTCAGAGATCATCCGGGTGGACCCAATAGCAGACAGGGATAGAGATGCCTTACAGATGTGGGCCTTCATTACACAGACCATAGCTTTTGAGCACACGTTTGAAGCCTAGGTATAAATATCAAGAGAGTAAGCGTGATTAACGTTTCGAATTGTGTATCCAGGCAGGATCTTCTGACCTGCCCACACTCTTCCTCTGGCGTCACACTTCCCGTCGTTCAGCTTGTTGTTCGTTCCAGGATCTACCTCCGCCAGTTTGGTGACCGTCTTAGTCTCCCAGTCCACTGACACGAACGCCTGGCCAGACCCCGCGACCAGTGCACCATTTTTCCGAGGAACAACGAAGTTAACGAACCCCACACCTCCGTCTGAAACAGCAAGTATTGATGTGATAACATTACCAAATATGCTCCCCGAGGCTAGGGAAGTAACTCACACAGCCGTCTGAAACAACAAATATTGATGTGATAATATTTACCAAACATACTTCCCGAGGCAAGGGAAGTAACTCACAAAGTCCAGTTTCACAAGGCTTGAATTTCTGAGTCTATGGATGGTGCTGGGAAAGCAAAAATCGACAAATGGTTCAGAAACTGCTCCGCCGATTTCGGGTGGCGAAACAACAGGGTTATGACAGATATTAACCAAATCTCTCCATGTTTTTAATCAAGGTCCTCAAGTAACTCGAGCCACATCGCCAGATAAGGTCTTATTATAATAATATACAATCTTAATTATCGATTAGATCATCTTGAAACCCGTGAAGATCCGGGTTAGAATTGGTCTTCAGCAACCTTTGTTTGTCGTAAAAGACGACTAACGGGATTGGGTGATCAGGTTTGCTGACTTGGGGCCCTTTTCACAAAGCGATCGTAGCGCTACGACTGTCGTAAGTCTCTGTTAAAGTATGGAAGTTACGATCATCTTAGCGCTACGACTGTCGTAAGTCATTGATAAAGTATGGAAGTTACGATCATCTTAGCGCTACGACTGTCGTAAGTCATTGTTAAAGTATGGAAGTTACGATCATCTTAGCGTTACGACTGTCGTAAGTCATTGTGAGAGTATGGAAGAAGTTACGATCATCTTAGCGCTACGACTGTCGTAAGTCATTGTTAAAGTATGGAAGAAGTTACGATCATCTTAGCGCTAGGACTGTCGTAAGTCATTGTTAAAGTATGGAAGTTACGATCATCTTAGCGCTACGACTGTCGTAAGTCTATGTTAAAGTATGGAAGAAGTTACGATCATCTTAGCGCTACGACAGTCGTAAGTCTATGTTAAAGTATGGGAGTTACGATCATCTTAGCGCTACGACAGTCGTAAGTCTATGTTAAAGTATGGGAGTTACGATCATCTTAGCGCTACGACTGTCGTTAGTCATTGTTAAAGTATGGAAGTTACGATCATCTTAGCGCTACGACTGTCGTAAGTCTTTGTTAAAGTATGGAAGTTACGATCATCTTAGCACTACTATCGCTTTGTGAAATGGGGCCCTCATCGTATCCCTGTTGCGCAGATCGATATACATGCTGTTGATCACTGGATTGTCTGGTCATGACTCGAATTTTACAGCGCGCTGCAATATTGCTAGAATGTTGCTGACAATCAACCGTAGATTGTCTTGACTGGATGCATGTGCAAGTAATATGATAGGTATGATCCCCCAGCAGGAGAGACATGTAAGGGACATCGTGATGGCGAGCCAGGAGATGTAAAAGTGGAAGAATGATAACTGGACTTGTGTGGTCAGTTACTTCTTTGCCTCGGAAGATGGAACTACATATTACTTTAAAACCAAGAATATATTCGGAACATGATCTTTTTTCTAACATACTTATGTGCAGCTATACAGTTACTGTATACGACTTGACAAACAAAACCAACTACTGCGCGGGATGATGTTGGTGTTGCTTTGTCAGTGTTTTACTGATGCCGTTTAATGTTTGTATATGCGGATGGATGTTACTGTCGGAAGCCATGAGTTATATAGCCTCACCTAAATGGAGGACGTCGACTTTGCCATTGGCGGGGTCATATCTATGAATATCTCCCTTGAGGATGTCGACGTAGAGCAACGTCTGTGTGGCGTCGTCCCAGTGGGGAGCTTCACCAATGGTGGACACGGCGTCCTTTAGAACTGTTTCGACCTTGTATGGCATCTCCGGTCAGACTTCACTTTCTTGTCTACATTCAAGGAGGATAGATACTTTACATATACAGATTTATGTTCCTGTTATTGATGCACAACAGCTTATACTGGGCCTAGTATGCCTGTATACATGCATGTCCCCGGAGATCACCTGTAGGTTTGTTCGTTAGTGGGGTGATTTACCTCACAGGCTGCAACATGTCAGTGACATTTGGGAGACGAGGCCGATCTTCCGCTCCTAGAGCCGCCTCAGTCGCCTAGCAACAGCGCGCTACCGTTACCGTGACCGAAATGTTGATGTGAATACTCAGTGCCATTAGAATCCCCCCATATATGTATAACATATTTTGAAATTTAACAGATTGTTATTACTTTTCAAAGTGGCAATGAGCCAACTCCGTTATTAACGTTATCGTAACAAAATCCGGCTATAGGAAGTCGTTGAAATGATGGCACAGTGAAGTTGTAATAGGTAGCATACTCACCTGTTGTGTCAAAATGTCGGATTCGTCCTTGCCTATGATGACGTGACTCGGCGATTTCACATGCCTAACTAAACCAACCCAGCGATAACACAGATGTGACACTACAGACGTATGTTGATTATATTTGTTTTGTTCGAGTGACAGTCGTGCAGTGATATATGGGACATGTTTACTTGGTTATGCAGTTGGCCCACCGATAGCCAGGGCACAAGGGCTACGTTTCTTCAGTATATATCATATATATCAAGCGTGGTCTTCAACATCACATACATTGTATTACATGTACTCGCAAAATTGCTGTTGTGACGTTAAGCAATATTCACTCACTCACTCACTCACTCACTCACTCACTCACCTATGCACGAGGCAAAGCTGCTGCACTATTGCCGTATGTTTGGATGCTCGCGTGCATGTCACGTGTGTCTTTTGTCGTTAACTGCTGCAGTCGTATATATTCCATATTATATTTTATGTTGGTACTTGGATCTGGGATCTTCAACCGGCCACCCAATCTTACGACAAACATCTGTTTCGAAACGGGGTGGCGGGCGATGGTTCTGTCGGTTTAGCGAAAGACTACCGAAAAATAAGTTTAGACTCACTATTGTAAATGTAGCCACTTCCTTCAGTCAACTTTTCTGAACTAGATTTTGCAAAATATTCCATACTGTTTAAAGGTACAGTTTACACATGAACTGATGTATTGTAAAACAAATTTGTAATGTTGAAAAGATTATTGTCACGGGTTCAATAAATCATAAAACTCAGTGAAAATTGCCGAATTCTTAACAAAACATTACACCAAAACGCAGCTGTTCACATGCATGATATTTGCACAATCATGCTTTTTAGTAATTTGATGCATGATCTTCGTGCAATTCATCTGCCGAAGGTTTGCAGTTGGTTCCCCTAAGTTAGTGGGGAAATTCATCTTCGATGTAACCACATATAAATGCATAACATATAGTGACTGCTTTAAGTGAGTCTAAACTTTTGATGGGTAGTATATAGGATCGCATCTGTACAAATGATGAAATGAAAAATATAGAAAGATCAATTGATTTCGTTTATGATCAGCCTGTGTGGGGCCTCCTCAACTCACAGCTGTTCAAAGATGACAAGCTGCTGGTATGGGGCATGCTGGCAAGTCACTGACGGCTATTGTAAGTGATGTTGGTTGCCATCCATGGAACACCAGCAGGCCAGTGGCGTTAAGGACCGCCAACGTTCAGGTCGACTTCGAGTAACAACTCCTAGGGAAGACATCACCTGCTCAAGTCAAGTAGCTTCCACATGGTCGTTTGTCCAACAGAACGGTCCGACATAGGCCGGGTGTAGAGTCTGACGACATATCCAACGTTCAGAGCACAAAGAGCACTTTGTCACGCTCAACGTCAGTGGAATTTGAGGTCATGGGGAAAGGTCCGATGGTCGGGCGAAAAAATCGATTTCTTTTGTTTGTGACTGATGGCTCTTGTTTGGCGCCTCAGAAACAATGTATGCACAACGGAATATCTTGGAGCAAGTACTGTTTGGCGACGGTTCGTGGATGGTGAGGGGTGCTTCTCACGCGACTGTAAACTTGACGTTGTGACGATCAGACAAAATCTGAATGGACAAGGGTACATCACTGACATCCTAGACAGGGTTGTTGTACCACATCTCGATGACCATCCTCTAAATATATGGAAAGTCTTCATGGACCACAGTGCTAGGTCACATCCTGCACTTGCCGTTGGTAATGTTTTAGCACAAGCCTTAGCAACCCTACCTTGGCTCACCGGGAGTAAAGATTTCTATCCCATAGAGCAGAATACGTCACTGACATCATCCAGTACAACATTGTGACGTCCTCCATCAAGAAAGAACGTAATATTCAACGTCAAATTCATGACACAGTCAGTGACTAGGAGGGACGGGGATGTCATCGCAGTTGGCGGAGGTATAGTAGTTATCAGCTCGACAAAATGAATATTTGCCATGTGTTCTTTTATGAATTTACTACAGATTTCTTTGTGCAGTTGATAAATGCCTTTAATTATTCCTTGAGGGTCAGTTCATCCAGATTAGTAAGTTAAACTGGGGTTTCGTTGCTTTGGTCAAAGGTAATATATTGCATGGTCAAAAGCATTATTCAACAGATTGAAGTGCATCAGCTATAACATGGAACATCTTATCGTTAATAACACCTGACAATATCCAATATTAAAATATCCAACTAGTTTGAGCTCAATTTGAGAACTGTGACAATCCTGCACTGTTGATATTCATGTTTCTGTGTATTCCACGCAGATAGCAAGTAAAGTGATATTGGTTTATATTTGTTTTAATCGGCGTAAAATAGGCTACAGTTACCCTTTTAATATGTGAAATTTTGTTTTCATAGCATACGCAACAACATGTAGTATTTTCGTGGGTGGTGATCATGTGGATACACCTATATGGGCTGCTTTCCGTTGGCAACAATTGGCCACGGGAGAGAGGAAATATGCTATTTTATATTTATTGTTTTCAAAGTTGAAAGTTCACTTCATTTGAAGAAGGATTTTGTGTTTATTCTCTTCATACCACCAAACATAACGCCCAGTTTCGATGGGGAAGATGTCTGCACAAAGGTTTTCTTCACTAAACTATTTTTGAAGATTAAAGTCTACTTCGTCAGTTCAGGACATGTAGAGCTGGTCATACGAATTTGACGATTTAAACTATAAATGGAATATGTAAAATACTTATCCTATCTCACGATATGCACTTCTCAGTGTTGTTTTCGACCATGGAGAAACGACCTAAAACAAAGGTCTCCAGCATCCTGTAACACCTCGCCCGAATACACCCTTGATCCATCGCGTGGTAGGTCAAGCAGGAGTACATCGTGTGAGATAGGATAAATATTATAAAAACAAAATTTACAGATAACATTTTTAAATTTGTTAATTTACCCTATCTCACGTCATGCACTTATCGTGAGGTTGTAAGGTGAGGCGTCTGTAGGTAGACGGCAACAGTGAAATGACTTGTTCACAGGGACACCTAAAGAATGGCTATCAAGTCCTAACTTGACACACGTAAGGAAGCAAGATACCAGGACTATATCACTAGAAAGATATGGAAAGATTTGGAGGTGAATTAAAGAAAAGAATGTGCCAATGTGTTCACGTTTTCGTTACCTCACAAATTGCTCTGGAAAGGTATTTCTGGAGAAATTTCTGGCAGAATGGGGTTTTCTGCTGAAATATCTGGCAGGATTTTTTTCCTGCAGTATTATCTGGCAAAATTGTTTTAATTCAGGAAAAAATAGGTTCTGAAATTTTCTTCAACAATGATGACAATAATTACATACCAAAAGCCGCCATGCTCTAATGCCTCCACAATCAGTCCACCCTTGATTTGCAGGGGATATCTAAGGACGGTGTCTTCGCAAGAAGGCGAGGTTTTTTTTGGCGTGTGAAAACGGCCCATGTTATTACACGCCAAAAAAGTCGCCTTCCTGCGAAGACATCCCGGCAATGCGCTATTAGCTAATCCATGTTACCGTAATTAACATCAAATCAGTATCAGTATCAAATATTGGAATATTCATTATGTAAAATCGAGAAATCCAGTTGAATTGTCCGTGGAGAAAAGTCCAGATCACGCAAACTAGCTGACTCAGGTAGGTACTCAAACACCTTCCACGAATTATACAACCAATTATTCTTTGAAGTATTTTAACTTATGGGAGGGTGAAATTTATTCAATGTTTTAAATATCCTTTTCTGACACCTGTTCAAAAAATTGATATTGTTGCCTCAGTTATTTTTACATTCATAAAAAAAACCCAAACAATTAACTAAACAAAGTACAAGTCACTTAAACGATGCAATTTTAATCCATTGTGATCAATGGGTGAGGCTTATTTGAGAACAAAACCGTATTGATTTGTTTGTACTTGAAATGTGGCTTTAGCGGCAATTGGTATTTTTCAAATGTGGCTTTCCCGGGCGGATACCATTCTCGCTGCGGTATTGTTTACCATCACTCTATGTCAAAACACCCTTCTAACCAGGCATGAAAGCTAGGTGATTATTTCTGTACTAATATCCTCATATAGCACTTAAAAGGGAATTCATGTAATGATTTGGACCAGTAATGTGCGAAAGATATTGCTCAGTTATATTTATGTTGTTTTCGCGTTGTTTAATACTGTGTGTGTTACGTGGATCTTCACCGATCAGCCTCTTGCACGGGACAGCTGAAAACATCTGCTCATTATGTTCTGAGAAAAGTGTGGTGGTAAACCGTGAACGTGCTGAACGAGACTGGGGATGTGGGCACATGATCTCTAGTATTGGGGGTTCGCCAGTGTTTGATCAAACACTTCAGACACATGGTGTGAAGAGATTTGATTGATAAGTCTGGGGAGAACTGTCTTTTCCCAAATCTTTAACAAAAACGCCAGATTTGACACTGGCCGATAGTGTTTTGGAACAGATGGATCCAAATTCGGTTTCTTCTGGAGTGACCTGGCAATCGCTTCTTTGAAGACTTCTGGAAATATGACGAGTTAATTATGCCAACATATTTGGGGCTGCTCAAACCTTTCCCTGGTGTATATTTGGTATGGTGTAATCAGACAAGTAATTGAGCGGACATTTTGGGGGTCAGTCAAATCACCTTTCTTTAGACCTACTGTTCGACCTTTGCAGAACCAAGGAGCACCATCCTCTGTATCCCAGAAAGAACTGAAACTTTAATGGTGTTTGGATACAAAGGAACATTACCTGTTTCGGATACCATTAGGCCCTAGCACCGTATTGGAATTGAACCTCTTCACTGCCTTTTTACGATGAAACACACAAATGGAGACTTTATTTTGTCATGTACATTATTATTATGCTCCTCTACCCATGGTTCCTCGAAGTTACAGTTGCCAGGTATAGACCCAAAACCTTTCAGAGGAATTCATGGCGGGTCTTTTCTCATCAGTGCCATTGTTTGCCTTCATTGTAGTTTATTTGTCATCTTCAAATTATTTTTCTAGTCCCACTTTCATTTTCTTTCACTCCAAATCTTTAACTTTGCCTTCAGGGAATCAAAAATCTTATTTACAGTTTTCTCTTTTGTTGTCACGTTTTGTCTTTTCCAAAATGACTTTTGACGATTAGTCATTGAGATCCTCGAGGAGAGTAACCTTAAACAACGTTCTCTCCAGGAGATATCTCTTCTTGTTTACGTTACCTTTGTTTGGCACTGTCTTCTTTTAATGCTTTTATTTGTTACCAGTTCTGCTTGAGTTTTATTTTGTCTTTTCGTTTGGAAACAGCATAGACTTCCTCCAGTGTGCAAGGGGCAACATTCGTGCAACAGTTTATAGGCATGTATTTGTCCCAATGTCGCCTTAACAATTCGTTGTTCTTTTCATTCAGTAACACAGTGATAACCATTTCAGGGCGATGTTCGTCCTTCGCCTTAACAATTCGACATTCAGGGAATTAATCCTCCCTATTTAGGCCTCGAGTCGTACATCATCTGGCCCTGTCTTTGTTATTATTTCATTTGAAAAAATAGTGTCGTACACTCCGCTGATCCTACTCTGTTGATGTACCAAACTACAGTTGCGTTGTGTGACTGAATCATGGTGCAAGTTGTTCGAAGAGACAATGGCGGACGGACGGAGGAGCCTCTGAAGAGGTCATTGATGCAGTTGTACCTGGGCCTAGATTTTCAAAGCTCTGTTTAGCGCTAAGATAGTCGTAATTAATGTTAAATGTACGGACGGAGGAGCTTGAAGGCATATCTTGTAGCTGCTAAAAGCTTACTCTTAGCGCTTGTTAAAAGCACTTACGACTCTTCGAAAATCTAGCCCTGGATGTAAGAGCCTGGGCCTAGATTTTCTAAGCTCTCTTAGCGCTAAGATAGTCGTAAGTTAATGTTAATGTTGACAGCTGTTGCCGCTGTCGTACTGACCTCGACTGTCTGACTGCCAATGGAACTTGCAGCTGTATCTTCGAATGCAATCGTTGTTGTAGGTTTCCTCTTTTTCGTGAATTTTTAAATGATAAAAGATATATAATAACCCTCAAAGAGTTTTATAATGATGGTAGAAAATCTTCTCTATCGAACAACAGGTTGTCTACATCCGTAGGCGACAAGAACGAGAACGACTTCAGCTTGGTGTCACCTTTACTACTGGGGAAGATGTCTGCTTGTTTGGGTGAGTGGTTACAAGAGGCAGGAAACTTTGTTTAGGTCATTTCCACTCCATTTTCAAAAGGAATAAGAGAAAGAGCACAATGTTAGATAGGATAAGTTTAAATGCATACTATACTAAGCAGCAAAAGAAACGTCAGTTTGGAATTTTCCTTCGCAGAAACGGATAACTGTAAACTCTTTTAATGTTTTGATTATATATTTTTGACAACATCTCCAAATTTACCTGAGCAAAGACATTCCTTCCCAAACTCAGAATGGAACCCAGGAAATGGTCTCAAAACGCAACCCGATCTCGGAGATGGTACAGTGTTCTCCGTGTTTTTTCATGCAACTCATGCTGCACGTGCTGTTCACATGAACCAGCCCTATAAAATGCACCCCCAAACCTGGTTGAAACATTCACAGTACGTCAGCAGGATGCCGCGACTCACGACAGCTCAGAGGAACCAGGCGCTAGGAAGACTTGAAGCTGGCCACACTGCACAAGTCGTTGCCAATCACTTCCAGGTCAACGTTCGGACCATCCACAGGCTGCAGCAACGTTTCCGGGCCACCAACACCAGAACAGATTGCCCCCGTACTGACAGACCAAGGGTCACCACAAGACGACAAGACCGCCATGTTGTGCGACAGCATGTACAGAATCCCTTCATGCAGGCATCCGAACCAGCACGTCAGACAGTTGGAACACTCGGAAGACCAATCAGTACTGACACAGTACGCCGACGTCTTAACAGCGGGAACATCCATTGCCGTAGACCTTACCGTGGACCTATCCTCACCCCTCGTCATCGGCGTGAACGTCTACAGTTTGCCCTACAACACCAAAACTGGCGATACAGGCAATGGAGAGCTGTTCTGTTCACAAATGAGAGTCGGTACTGCGTATCAGCTGCAGATGGCAGAACAAGAATATGGCGACGACGTGGCCAGCGTTACTCAGACCAATGTGTTATGGAAAGAGAGCCATGGGGAGGTACAATCGTCATGGTATGGGGTGGAATAGGCCTGAACCAGAGAGTGGGTCCTGTGGTGTTCCAGAACCATGGTCCAGGGAGAGGAGGTGGCATCACAGCGGTGCGCTACATCGACCAAGCTCTCAGACCCCACGTCATACCACATTGTGCCTATCTAATTTTGAATTCGTACTGACGGGTTTTTTTGCTGCTGAGTATATAATGAGATGCTCAGAGGTTTTTGATGAAAGCATATAGGGCTGCGCAATATAACCGGTTTACCGATATTTACCGGTTCAGACATGAAAACGATACGTATTGCGATACGCTGATCGAAAACCGGTATTTTGAGATGCATTCGGAAACTTCGTAACAGTCGGAAATCTTCGGATATTTCCGTTTTTTTTAATTGTTCTTTTCCCTGTTTCATTAGTGCCAAATGTTACTTACATTTTTATTTTGTCATGATAAAAACTTTTTATAAAAGGTTAATCAATCAGTGTGAATTTGTTGTGTTTTTGCTTTATAATCAAGCATTAACTCGATTATAAGTAGTTTTTGTTAAAGAAATAATCCTTGCAATATATTGCAATACATATCGCAATATATGCTTCCGCATCGCAATATATCACAATATGAAAATTCTCTACAATACCCACCCCTAAAAGCATACAGACAGCGATCGTCGGTGTAGCTACCATTATGAATGATAATGGTCTTACACATGATTGATGTTAAAAAGGTTGGGTAGGCCCTCAACACTATCTAAATAATAAACCTACCGGGCTTCCATGAAGAAACTGGCTTGCTACGCGCCTGGCGATATACTGTCATAAAAACGATAACATAAAGCTTACATTGAGGACTGGAGAATGACCCAAAACTGGCATATGGAAAGGTGACAGTTGTCTAATATATACTACACAGAAGTAAATCCATTCACTTCTGCCTTGTAATCTTCATCATCATCATCCCTTCCTACGATTACCTACCATTTCAGTAAACGTGGTCCTAGTCTGCCGACCCTTTCATATGTCTGGTTCATCTCTACACACACACACCATCTCAAACAACAAACTACACTTCATGTAATCTCATTTCTTTATTTCATTTTTATTAAAAAATATTGAAATAGTAAATCTGCTGAAACAGCACAATTCTTCCTTCAATCAACATGAGCAATTACTTCCTGAGCAGTGAACAAGATAACAAACATATAATCTTTACAAGACAAACATCCAGCCTATCATAACTAAGTCTGATCAAGTGACCACAACTGCACTGCAGACGCTTGTATTTGAGGCCTCACTTGTGAGGTGTTGGTCCATATAATCATTTCTTAACCAAAGTGTTTACCATGATTGTGAAATATTGCTTTTTAAAGGGATTACAGAATTCTATTGTGTTCTAAAATTGTTTGATATTGTTTGTCAGTAGTCTAAATACATTTTGACAAAATAACTAAAAACAATTAATTGAATTTCCTGAATTGTCGTGGAGCACATGAGAGTAGCCATTGTCCTGGGTTAATATTTGGACTGCACAACCAGAAGTGTCATATCAAAGGGCAATAACTCTTAGCCATCTTAATATTGTGACCACCATCCATCCATCCAGTGCACAAGTGATGCTTAACAAACCACGGCTGGGACAGTACACAACAAGGCAGACTCACCATTTCCTGGACAATGTAATTAACAGTTGGAGTCAAACATGAACTAAAGACTAAATACTATATTCAGATACTTTCATTAACTGTTAAATTCATATGTGGCAATATTCTTGCATTTGGACATCAGTGGAATGTATTTTTAAAAGCCCAAATCCAAAATAGAGAAGTTTTTAAGAGCAAGCTCTATCAAATAAATAACAGCATGATAAACATGGTAAACTGAGCACATCCTTGACAACACAGTGTCTCTTATCTCCATTCTGTTACTCTACATATAGCCACGACCCATTCATGGTCACAGCTTAGTTTTGAGCTGTGTCTGAACATACCGAAATACAAATCAAATAGTGTCATACAATGACAACATACTCATGAAATATTCCTGCTGACCCCAAACCAATAAAAGCCAAAACATGATAACACAAGGGAAAGTCACCCTTTCACTGACTAACCAAATGAAACATCGGTCATGAAAATGATTAAAAGGCCATTACGATGATTTGTAGAAATAAAGCTTGCATGATATGTTTTTCAGCGATGGCCAGAAAATTTGTTGGATTAAAAAAGATTAAAAAAGAATTCCCATTCAATCAATCACTGGTTTTATATTTTTAAATAATTTGCCATGTTTAAATAAGATCAATTTGAAAAAGAAGAAACTGAAAATTGTGACCTAAATCCTCTGCAACATTTGCACTGGAGATGGTGACATCAATATTAGGACAAGGTTTTGGTGACAAATAGGTCCTGGGTGTTTATCATAACAGACAGGAGATAAGCTAGACAGGATACTGCAGATGTACTGCTACTGTTTCCTTGGAAGTACCACTGTCTGGTAGAGGACATCACCATTGGCCTGCATGTAGGTGACGGTCATGTTCTGAGGGGTGGCCTCAGCGTACACGAAGCCCCCCTTAGAGAAGGCATCAGCCCAGTGGAACTTGGAGGTCCCGTCAGGTACAGTGTCCTTGTGGGCGGTACTGGGGTCCACAAAGTTGGCTGACCCAGACAGGATGAAGTCCAGGGTCAGACCGTTCTTCGTCTCTTGTAGATGCTGGAGGGAAAATATGGGTAACATCAACCTCCACACAACATGTTTCATTTAACGGCTTTTCAACAGATTTTCAGCAGTTCATGTGCATGTAAAGTCTGTTAATTGATAAATGTCGGTCTCAACATGCAGTATCTCATGGGGCCGAACTCGCTGTCCTATTACACTGGAAAATGTCGATATAACACACACTGTTCTAATCGCTTACAAACTTATATTTCAGAGGTCCTGACTTACAAACTTAATTATCAATGAACCTCTTATTCATCCCTCCTCAATGGGCTGTTAGCCCTGTACATATGTGGGTTACCTGTAGGTTGTGGTCATGTCCACACATGTGTCCTTTAGCCCTGTACATATGTGGGTTACCTGTAGGTTGTGGTCGTGTCCAAACATGTGTCCGTTAGCCCTGTACATATGTAGGTTATCTGTAGGTTGTGGTCAAGTCCACACATGTGTCCGTTAGCCCTGTACATATGTGGGTTACCTGTAGGTTGTGGTCATGTCCACACATGTGTCCGTTAGTCCTGTACATATGTAGGTTACCTGTAGGTTATGGTCAAGTCCACACATGTGTCCGTTAGTCCTGTACATATGTAGGTTACCTGTAGGTTATTACCTGTAGGTTATGGTCAATTCCACACATATGTCCGTTAGCCCTGTACATATGTGGGTTACCTCTAGGTTGTGGTCATGTCCACACATGTGTCCGTTAGCCCTGTACATATGTAGGTTACCTGTAGGTTGTGGTCGTGTCCACACATGTGTCCGTTAGCCCTGTACATATGTAGGTTACCTGTAGGTTGTGGTCGTGTCCACACATGTGTCCATTAGCCCTGTACTTCTGAAGCATGGGCAGGAGCCCATCAACCAGGCAGTCGGTGGGGCCGTGCTCCTCGATGGAGTACACTGGGAAGTGGCCAGTAGTGAACAGATACGTGGCCCTGGAACAGCAGCACAACACATTATGTTTAAGTTACCCAGACCAACATATAAATTGTAAGTTATGTATCTACCAACGCTGTATTTCAATTGTATGTTGTTTATCACCCAGCATTGTATACTAATAGTGTGTCCCCATATACTCCTGTATTTCAATTGTATGTTGTATCTCACCCTTACCTGTATATTAAATGTATGTTGTATATCACCCAGCCCTGTATATTAATTGTATGTTGTATATCACCCAGCCCTGTATATGAATTGCATGTTGTATATCACGCAGCCCTGTATATGAATTGTATGTTGTATATCACCCAGGCCTGTATATTGATTGTATGTTGTATATCACCCAGGCCTGTATATTAATTGCATGTTGTATATCACCCAGCATTGTATATTAATTGCATGTTGTGTATCACCCAGCATTGTATATTAATTGTTGCATATTACACAATCATTGCACATTGCTTTAAATACAATCACATTATATATATATATATATATATACTAAGCAGCAAAAGAAACATCAGTTTGGAATTTTCCTTCGCAGAAACGGATACTAGTAACTGTAAACTCATTTAATGTTTAGATTGTATATTTTTGACAACATCTCCATCTTTACCTGAGCAAAGACATTCCTTCCCAAACTCAGAATGGTACCCTGTAAATGGTCTCTCTAAAACGCAACCTGATCTCGGAGATGGTACGGTGTTCTCCATGTTTTTCATGCAACTCATGGACCAGCGCTATAAAATGCACCCCCAAACCTGGTTCAAACATTCACATTACAACGTCAGCAGGATGCCGCGACTCACGACAGCTCAGAGGAGCCAGGCGCTAGGAATACTTGAAGCTGGCCACACTGCACAAGTCATTGCCAATCACTTCCAGGTCAACTTTCGGACCATCTACAGGCTGCAGCAACGTTTCCAGGCCACCAACACAACAAATGATCGCCCCCGTACTGGCAGACCAAGGGTGACCACAAGACGACTAGACTGCCATGTAATGAGACAGCATGTACAGAATCCCGAAACAGCATGCCAGACAGTGGGAACACATGGAAGACCAATCAGTACCGATACAGTACGCCGACATCAAAAAATGTTTTTGATCCGCTTATTATGTCCATTTCTGTAATGATTTGACTACAGTGCCTATCTAATTTTGAATTTGTACTGATGTTTTTTTGCTGCTGAGTATATTATGTTGTATTGGCAGTTTTCTCACAAATACAATACCCCCCGGGTATATACAATTATAGCTTTATATTGTGATTGCAAGAAAACTGTAAAGAAAATTAATACCAGTTCTCAGGACATTAAAACAAACTGGCAAAGGTTACCATAGAAACACAACTGCATCTACTTTTTAAATACATACAGCTGGTTAACTGGCATGAATAAATAGATAAGATATACCGTAGATATCCACTGGATAACATGAAGCTGAGTTTCATGATTTACAACTGTACTAAGTTTCGTCACCCTGTCTGGAAAGTTACCATGGTGACGACCACAAGTTGCTTCTGATTGGATGAAGGGATAAAGTTACCAGCATTGTACTTATCAAGCAATAATTCATTAAGGGAGGCTGCCTGCCCGCAACATTTTTTCAAAAGCCATTATCTGCAAACCAATTTTTTTTATTTTGTAAGCCTTACACATCACCCATGCTTCTGTATTCTATGTTGTATGTTACTGAATTGTTGATCTATGGAGCCATACATTAGGTATCGCCCATGCTTATGTGTTCTATGTTGCATGTCCCTGTTTTGTTGATCTATGGTGCCATGCTTATATGTTGTATCACCTACTTGCTGGCTGCTAGTGTCCTGTCAATCCACTGCCACTGAGTTGCTGCAAATTCAGCATCTGCTGGCCCATGAGGCTGCAGGCCATGGAAGTCATCGGCAACGTTGCCACACAGCGTCACTGTGTCGGTCATCACGAAGTCTATGGTGGCATCACTGTTGGGGATGTCGAAAGTCAGTGGGTAGAAAAAGTCGGGATAGTTCCTGAAAAGAAAACATCATTTCTAGAATACCCATGAAAATTAAATTGCTACACAAATTATTCATTACTAATGTGTAACTTTCATCAAGGGAATGTGTAACTTTCATCAAGGGAATGTGTAACTTTCATCAAGGGGATGTGTAGAAAGGAAATAACTCCAACTACTATGAAGAACATTAACAGAGTTACAAAACCATGCCATGTCGTACATGCCATGCTGAAGAAATCATGGCAATAATTCACACACCATCGCCTGGAGACTTGAGAGTAGGCAATCTGTGCTGACACGTTGCCATTGTGGTCATGGTTTCCTGCCACTAAGTACCATGGGACTTGCAGAGACGGCGCTGTGTACACTTGCTCAAACGTGAACTATTTCAAACAATAATGTCATGTTAGAATTATTGTTCGGTCTGTCACATATGATTATATCTTCACTGTTCAGCTGGTAAAGAGACTCAAGTGTAGTAATAAATTTGAAAATTACACCCATTCCACTTAACTGGTCCATTCAAGATCATCATATACAACACATATTAAATTATAAATAAACTGATTTGAGCAAAGTCCCTAGGGCACAGACCAGGGAAACATGCACAATATGAAACAAAGTTCCCTTGGCAGGTTATTTGACACAAAATACAAGTCATCTCTACAAAGACATAACTTTACTGTTGAAAGGGTAATTGTAATTGTAACAAATATTTTTCATGTTGAACATGAATTAGGAATTCCAAAATAGGCTGCAGACTTTGAATCAATTGTCAGCATCTCAAAAGGCTTAAATGAATACTCGATGACAATACATTTTACATGTTTGAACTGGAATAGCTGCCTCAGAGCTCCAGATAAGATTTAGTTCATGTGGGTACTGTACCCACTGTATTTTTTGGGAGTGGTTATTATGAATGTTGAGTGGGTATTTCATTTTCCGTTACCCACTGCTTTCAAATATGTGCGTATTTCAGTCACTTTACTCACCTAAGTATTACGTCATTGAGTAAGTTTACTAAGCAGGTATGTTCTGCCTTATGTCATACCTAATCAAAACCAACTTAAATATTATGGAAATTATTTCATAAAAAATCACTCATCCTATACTGACATTACAACAATTTGTACTATACTAACAGTACAACTTGATAGCAATCGATGTCTTTTTCATTACGCAAGCGATTTCTATAAATATATTCCGTACGCATTTGTTTTAAACTTTTTGCGTATCTAACATTTTAAATGCGTAATTGGTACGCAACAATTATTTTTCAATGCGTAATTCTATGCGTATTTTACCCGGATACGCAGCTTATCTGGGCCTCTGTGCCTTGTACAAAAGTTGTATTTGTTCAACTTGCAAGTGGCAAGGTAGCACCATCTGCACTAACAATTATATCGCCTGACCTTGAAGCGAGGGTCATCAACATCCTTCACACCATCATAGTAGAAATTATCGCCGAGCTCCATGATGAATGAGACTCCGTACTTGTCAGCAATAGCGGCCATCTCCTGTGATGTTCCAAGTTCCACAGGAGTTATATATGGGTAGGTAGGCAGTCCTCCCATGTCCCCAATCACCAGGAAGCGCAGGCTCTCAACAGCCAAGCTCCCTGTACATAACATTCATACGAATAATAGCACATTAAGACAAACTTGTCATAGCATGAAGTACTTCACAATACATGAACAGATTAAGCTCTATTTGTTTGACTATAACCTAACACAAGTCTAACCGTGTCACCATACTGTACCTCCTTAGCCTTAAACTGTCCCATAGTCACAATTCAACAACTATGTTGAAACAGATGTTTTTACCAAATGAACATAAAGAAACATTTCTTGTCCCTCAATTACAATTTGTACATTCATGTCTGCTGTAATAATGATATTCAAATCTAAACATTTTCAAGATTAAAACAAACTAGTTACAACAAGAATTATAAACAATATACATATCAATCTAGCATCCTGTTTTCACCCATGCTCCCCAGAGTGGTGATCTACCTTCAGTTGTTGGCGATCCTCAGCCCTTTTTATATTGTATTGTCCTAATCTGAAATCCTATTTTAGAGATACAATGTATATGCTAGTTTTATTTCTTGATATTGTGATATTCTAGTCGGTTTTACTGTCCTTCGATGACAGGTTTTTATAATTTACCATAAATTACTATGTATAACAATTAAATGTTCTTGTCACGATATGGTTGAAATATTGCCGATGTGACGATAAATTATAACTCACTCACTCCTGTTTTCACCCGGGGGGAGATTCATTCATCTTTAATTGTGATTATCATAGGATTATATTGGCTTGAAACCTGTGAGCAATCCATGAACAAGCATCACTTTGACCAGATAATTGACACTAAGGTAAAGGCTTCACAAGGGCTTCAGGGCTACAGGATGTGCAGATGTAAGTACTGTGCAACACTGCTAGAAACTTCTGTTCAAGCAATCAGTATAGTTCATATAAAGAGAACATATTTAATGCATAGACAAGGTAGAGGCTGGTTTTTCATGTTTTCAGGATGTGTCTGTCAAATATAGGATGTGATCACAATTATAATTCCATAATCTGTTAAAACAAAAGTACATGTGTTGTATGTGTTTGGTGTTGGAATGTGAGAATCTGTGTTCTTAATGGTTGCAATTCCAAGATACACACAGAGATGACATGACTGACTTATGACCTGAGCTGCACATGCGGTGTTAACGTGGTTAACCACCCATCATAAAAATATGTTAAATAGTGCATGACAAACGGAAGTTGATGAAAACTGTTGTGACAACAGTGCTACAAGTTTAGTGTTAAAACACACGCAATAATGCGAACTATTTATTATCTATCTTTTTGTTTGTTTTGTTTTTGTCCATGACACGGCACGCACCCCTGGGCACTCGCTCCCTCGGCTCGTTACACCGACCCGCCTACTGACAACTACATGACGTGTGTCGAGGCCAGTTTAAATGACTATTCTGGTGTACATGTCAATATCAACAAAAGTTTACCTGTAACACAGAGACAAAGAACAGACACGATGCTAGTTATTCTTGCCATGGCGTCTCTTCAAGTGCTTGTGTAAATGTGGCAAAACTCACACACTAGATGATAATAGGCTGTCAATCATACACTTGACAAAGTTCAAAATCCAAACTTGTTTACGGACAGTCACGTTACGTGCGCCATTTTGGACATCACATGGTGCGGTCACGTGGTACAACATTTGTCCTGTATTCATGTCCTTCCGGAAGGTTACGGAAAGATGCGAGCGATGACGTGGCACAAAGCGCGCCCTTTTCAAACAACTGTCATGAACAGTAGCTGATACAGAGATTTTGTGGCAGCGCTCTCTAGATAAATGCTGTCTGTATCGACGTTCTATAAGCCGAGATGAGTTATAACTAACAGAAACAGTGCAGCAGTAAAGCAAGTCTGTTGTTGTATCCAATAGGCTATCGGGCGGATGGATCAAATACAAGAAACAAGGGTCAAATGTTACAAGCTGTTTAATATTGAAAATGCACTAAAATAGACCAGAAGTGCATGTATGAAACTGGCTCACTTTGTTTTAACTGGAAACGGATTATATTCATCATTCATCGTCATCTGACGGACAGTTCTGACAAGTGGAGAATACTTGTCAGACGTTCCCCCAAAGTGAGATTTATCAGTCACCATGCAATTGCAAATCACCATCTGGTTCTGACAGAAAAACGTTTCGCCAGAGACAGGAAAAGATGATTTGTTTCCAGTGTTCGTGAATCTAGTCTAGTTTGCAATGCAATTTTACTGCCACTCTGATGGCCTAAACTATGTTGAGGACGAGCTCTATGTCTTACTTATCTGTGGTAAATATTCTGAAATAAGAAAGAAGTGTTTCACAACCCACCCATTCTCTTCCCACAGAGGTTACTTGTCATATCGTCCTACGAACCTCTGTTCTAATACGGCCATATTTCCCGGTTCTCGTAAAATCCCCTAGCGGCAAAATATCGCAACACGAATTTTCTCCCTTCTTTTTATCCAATCAGAAAACGTGATACATCGACTTAGATCCAACTTGACTAATTCAAGTAAAAATGGGACCACAAATATCCAACTTCTCTGCCGGGGATTTGTGTTGATGTGACACACAAGACATTTAATGGCAAGCTTGTCCGTTGTCCTCGAGATCCGGCATTACATGACTGAGTTCTGTCTAGAAGAAACGTTTGCGCATCGCGCAGGGGAAGAGGTTCTAGTTTTCCCGAAGCATACGGATATTACCGAGGCCTTGCGAAGGATCACTTTTGAAACAACGTCGCTGATTGCACAACCAAATCTGATTGCAACCAATCACGAATCCTGAACACTCGCACCATGAAAGGGCCGTATTAGAACAGAGGTTCGTAGGAAGATATGACAAGTAACCTATGTGAGAAAAGAATGACCACCAATACAGATGATTAATCTTGCATTTCAATCTTTACCCTATATCCAGCATGTATGCACAGGGGCGGATACAGCTTTTTGAGAAAGGAGGGGTGCACACTATTGAAAAAAAGGAGGGGTGCACACTTCATTTTCACCCGAGTTTCAATGCTCATTTAACAAACTTCCAACACAAAAGGGGGGTTGTTTGTAAACAAAGCGTGAGATCAACGAGCTTTGTTGGGGATCTGTGGGAATGTCACCACAAGTGCTTTCCTAAATCTCTAATCTTAAACCCGATTTCCTGCATGTGATATTGATAAAAAATGGATAAAATTGTAGTAGGCAAAAACATTGTCTATTTTGTGTTGATTTTGGTAATAGTTTACTTTAAAGTATATGTTTCATGTATTACCTCCTGAATATTCTAATGCATGTAACAGGTTTTTTTTATACCGATGTAAACTGAAAGGGAATAATATTAGATTACAAGCAACAAACAGAATGACTTGAAAATCTGGATCTTGATCCACGAAGCGTTCGTAACTGCATAGTTGCCAGAGGCTTATGATAGTTGCCAGAGCTACGAACGCTTTGAGGATCGGGCCCTGATTACTACATCGCACTATAATATGCAAGAAGTTGTCTTCTATAATTTATAGGCGTACACTTTAATGTTAACAGCAACATCATCATCATCTAAAGTGATAACGTATTTTTAAAATATATTTACATACATAGGAATTACCAGAGGATTACTACCAGTCACACTTGCAAAGAGAAAAATTAAACTTCTTTCAAAAGAATCCTTCACAAATGTAATCAAAACACTCCAGATACCACTTTATAACCATGGCACAGATTAAATCTCGTTCATATGGATCCCATCGAAAAGATGAGATATGATGACAGAACACATGGGTCCAAATGCAGAACTAATCACATGGACCAAATCACATGGGCACGAACATATAGAACCAATCATACAGAACCCGATCTCATCAATACATCCTATGGATCCTACCAATCAGATTACGATTTTGGGCCTGGTAATGTTGACACACTTTTCCTGCAATGCTTGTGCCAACTGTTGGACGTTCTGCCGCTGAGGAAGACGTCACTACAGACGTTGATCAAGATTATCCTATAAATGTTCCATGCATTTTAGTTCTGGAGACCTCGAGGACCATAACTTGGATAATGTGGTTCCCCAGAAGGCCGTTGTCGGTCTTCCGTGTGAGGCAGGGCGTTATTGTGTTGAATTATAACGTAATGAAAAGGTGTTGCAGTCGACTAATTTCACTCGTGTAACGTGGTGACGTTAAATAGTTTTGGGCGTGTACCAAGACTGTACTTCCGGTATAGAAGATGGCAGCTCACACATTACACCTTCGCCACCAACCCGTCCACTGCCTGATTGCAGTTTGGACCATGTTGTTCCCTACGAGCAGAAAGGTCTTCAGTCTTCAGTTGGTCTCCGTCGCTGTTGTAGGAATTAGTTTAGAACAATTCCCAGTTTAAAGGCAACCCACAGTTTAAAAGCAACCCACAGTTTAAAGGCTGCCACTTCAACAGTTTATATATTCATTGTAGGATAGCCAAGGGTTTTCGTTCTTGTTTAAGTTGCGGTTAGTGATGAACCGGAAACTATTCATATTTTGGACCGTCTGTCTGTCGTGGAGGGAGTTTTAATGAAAAAGAGCTACAGTAAACACCAATACCAACAAGAAGCTGCCCGATATATAGGAAATAACGTTTACACCGAATTCATTTACTCAGTCACATGGGTAATGAAGAAATCGTTGTCGACAATGGTTGTCATGGAGACCAGCAAAAATACCCATGTCGTTTTGCTGATGTTCCACCCCAGATAATGGCGGAGCTGGAACATGGCAAACAATAAATTCAGGAATGGTAGTTCACTTTGTTTTAATCACATGAAAAGCATAACGGTGTTAGGGAACACACAAAGAAACAGATTAACAGATAATTAACAGATTAACTCTTACTTGTTGTTTAACGCCGCACTCGGCCACTCAGCAAACATACAAACACAACTTATACAGTATACCTGTATACTCAATACTTGAAACGTCTTCGGAAACAAAGCTAAATATTCCATCTTTGTCAACGACCTCTGACTTGGCATCATTAGATATTTCTTTAACGCCCTCTGTACAAACTTTCAATTCAGAAAATATCCATTTCTACACTTGTGATAAGTTAATAATGAAAATAAGCACCGCCAGTTATGGCCACCTTAAACTAGTCTGGGAAACACTGACAACCTTCAGGTACCAAAGACATCCCGAATGTTTGGTCGATGAAAGTGAGGCGCAGAAGTGACATATCGCTGCTCCTGTTTCGGTACCATTTTCACGAGTATGCAACGGACCGTTGCCAAAATATCACAGGTGATGAAAAGATATGCCACGTTTACCTGCACAACAGGGAGGGGATGTCGTACGTATGCGGCCATTGGTTCCAGAGACACGCACGCAGTTCATCTGTACACTGTTAGACTGTTCGATACTCTCTAAGTGTCTCTTTATCATTATACCTGCATTTTATTGCCCTAATGGTCCCTGGTATAGTTTGAGCAATTGTAATACTGTGTTTGTTCATACATAAATGGAGGTTACACCATTCCTCCTCACCCGTCAGTAGTACCGTCAGTGGTTCGCATTTTCCAAAATACCATTTTAAGTGTATATTTTAGTTGTTAGCCCCCAAAGCGAAACTATTATTTCTTAGTCCCTTTTCGTATGAATACAAATTACGAAAAGCTACGTTACATGGATTAGATAAAAGTTGTACCACACTCAATGAGTGACTGAACAGGGTATATAAAGTGTTATAAAGATGAACTCTTGCCGGGAGTAATAAAGTTATTGTACCGAACTACATTGATTTAGTCCGGTGATGTTCGTGTTCTTTGGCATCAATGAACTTTAAATAAGTGCTTATCATTTTAATATTTTGTATTTTAGATCACGTTAAATATTTTAAAGAGAAATCAGCACAAAAGTTCCATATCACAGAGGATTTCAGAGAAAAATACATTTAAAGGATTCTAGTTTAGGAAAATCACCAAAGTCACAAAGATTGGTACTGGAATTCGTTAGAAACCTATACATGTATAGCTTATTTTAAAGCAAGTTTTGTACCTTGAGACATTGTTTGGTATGTAGATTTACATCAATCAAAAATATCTGAGACACTGTCTTGTTCTAAATGTGTCTTTACACATATTAGTCTCCATATTCCTTTTAATATTCTCCTGTCAATGTTTTACCTGTTTCTTGTGTCTGTTTTACAATAAATATAGAGTCATGGATTGTTGACTGTGTGGACAATTTGAGCTGAGCTCAGACTGAAAGTGATATCGTAATAATAAGCTGAACTTCTCCATTTACATACACATGTATGGACAGCTCAACACAAACCAAATTCAACACTTTCAAGTGGTTACAATAAAGGTTTTACTGTCTGTGTAATCCACTCCGTTTTGGTGAATCTGTTTGGTTTACTAGAGCAAATCACTTTGCGACATACGGAACAAGCCGACAGTTCAGCACAAACCAATTTCAACAATTGCAATTTGCACTGTTTGGATCGTGTTGCAAAAAATGCCCGACGCATCACTCTACCTGTCAATATCATTGCGAAGAAAGTATGCCATCCCGTTGGTGTATTTATTAAAGCTCAAAACACATTTCAGTAATGTGACACAGCACTGTAGCATTTTGGCCATATTTAACATAAAAATTACCTCCCTTGGAATAACAACTATGTACATCTCATTTATACAACATTCTTTAAGTCTTGTATATTTCATTTATGCAAAATTGATTAGGTCTTGTATATTTCATTTATACGAAATTGATAAGGTCTTGTATATCTCATTTATAAAAGATTGATTAGGTCCTTTATATCTCATTTATACAAAATTGTTTAGGTCCTTTATATCTCATTTATACAAAATTGATTAGGTCTTGTATATCTCATTTATACAAAAATGATTAGGTCTTGTATATTTCATTTATACGAAATTGATTAGGTTTTGTATATCTATTTATACAAAATAGATTAGGTCTTGTATATTTCATTATACGAAATTGATTAGGTATTGTATATCTATTTATACAAAATTGATTAGGTCTTGTATATTTCATTTATGCAAAATTGATTAGGTGTTGTACATCTCATTTATACAAAATTGATTAGGTCTTGTATATCTCATTTATACAAAATTGTTTAGGTCCTTTATATCTCATTTATACAAAATTGATTAGGTCTTGTATATCTCATTTATGCAAAATTGATTAGGTCTTGTATATCTCATTTATACAATATTGATTAGGTCTTGTATATTTCATTGATGCAAAATTGACTAGCTGTTGTACATCTCATTTATACAAAAATGATTAGGTCCTTTATATCTCATTTATATAACATTGTTTAGGTCTTGTATATCTCATTTATACAATATTGATTAGGTCTTGTATATCTCATTTATACAATATTGATTAGTTCTTGTATATTTCATTGATGCAAAATTGATTAGCTGTTGTACATCTCATTTATACAAAAATGATTATGTCTTGTATATCTCATTTATACAACATTGTTTAGGTCTTGTATATCTCATTCATACAAAATTGATTAGGTCTTGTATATCTCATTTATACAATATTGTTTAGGTCTTGTATATCTCATTTATACAATATTGATTAGGTCTTGTATATCTCATTATACAAAATTGATTAGGTCTTGTATATCTCATTATACAAAATTGATTAGGTCTTGTATATCTCATTATACAATTTTTTTTATTTTTTTTATTTTTATTGTTCCCAATGTGATAAGTACAAAAACATGATGAGTTCAAGCATATAGAGGAATATGTGCACATACAAGCTAGTGGACTCAATAGCGATATAGTACACTAAGTGCATTGAATATCAATGTTAGTGATATGTTCTTTGTTTAATAGTCATTCAGGGTTAAATTCAGGGATGAGAGGAAACCATTTGACTAAAAAGCTTTCAACATTATTATTTCTTCTGGCGATGAATGATTCAGTGGTAAATATGTCTTTCAATATCCTTAAGTAATTATCAACTTTTGGAATTGTTTTTGTTAAAGAGCAAGTGTAAATATATCTCTTAGCAGATAAGATTATGTGGTACAATAATGGGTTCTTACCTAAAAAGCCAAACCAAATCAAAGATTTTGTCAAATTAAGTGTTTGGATACGTTTCGTAATCCACTGTTCAAGTTTCTTCCAGAAAGTTCTGGTTTCATCACATTCCCAATATACATGGCATAAAGTTTCAACAGAATCATTACTCAAAGAACATATTGTATTGTCCATCAGATTCATTCTAAAAAGTTCTTTTTTGGTATAAACAATTCCGTGCAGAAATTTATATTGAAAATCTAACAGTTTCACATCTCTTAAATTTTTTCTACAAGTATGAAAAATCAAATGCCAATCAAAATCAATACAGTCAAATAATGTTTCCCATTTTTGGCACATGTGAGGTTTAACATTTTCAGATAACAATTTATCATAAAATATTCTTGAACCTTTTCTTGGGGATATGAAATCCTTTTGGAGTGAATTTATTGTGAGGTCATTAATGTTTATATATCTATATTCCTTTAAAGTCTTTTTTCCAAGGTTCAGGTAAAATATATATAACATATCCAAGATCTAAGTGAGTACCTTTTATATCAAATTTAAGCTTCAATTGATCAAAGGATATAAACCCATGTTCATCACAAAGATCTTTGATCGTTAAGATTCCACTTTTAGCCCAGTGACTAATGATGTGATTTGAGTTTTTAAAATTGTTATTCAACCATAAAGGTTGGGCTAAAATTTCGTTAATGTTCTCTGCATCTATGGTATTTTTTATACAATATAATTTCCATGCTTTTAATACGTCTTTCCAAAAAGGATTATCAACTGCAACTATATTCTGAAAATTTGCTCCATATTTAAGCATGTCCTTAAAAGGAAAATTGCATGGGTTATCCGGATTTGTTTTTTTTAAGTATAGTTTGAGTGTAGATAATTTCATGGCGTTAACAAAGGTTTTAATATCAATCATCCGTAGCAACCCCCCTTTGTAATCTTTTTTTAAAGTGCTCCGTTTGATTTTGTCATTTTGTCAAAATGAATTTAAAAAATACTCTCTAAAATGCGGTGAGAAAATCATCTGGAGGGTTAGGTAAAGTGTTAAAAATATGAACTAATTTTGAAAGAGCCAATGTCTTAATAACAGTAATTTTCCCTATCAGCGTCAAATGTCTTTTTCTCCAAGTTGCTAGTAATCTATTAATTTACAAATAATTTATTCATTATACAAAATTGTTTAGGTGTTGTACATCTCATTTATACAAAAATGTTTAGGTCTTGTATATCTATTTATACAAAATTGATTGGGTCTTGTATATCTTATCTTTAAAAGACATATACAAGTGGATATATCTAGTTTGCAGTTGTCATAACATCTCCGATAACTTCTACAAGATCAGTCATTGGTGAGGGCATCTTCGTTAAGCGTGGCTTAATCATCTTCATGTTGGACATCAGCTATAGCCCTCAGATAAACCCCTTCATCGTCTCTCTCATTTCTGTGTCCCTCACCGTCTGTGTCATCTGTACAATTGTATGCCGGGTTAATTGCCCCCTCTGGTTCAGCTGGAAATAATCTCTTCACATGTGTAGTTGTGTCATCTGTACAATTGTATGCCGGGATATCTGTCCCCTCGCGTTCAGTTCTCTTCACATGTGTAGATGAACTGCGTCTTGTGGGCCTCCGTCTGAAAGATGGCGATGTTCTCGAGACCGCAGAGGATGAAGAACGTGGGAAATGCCTACATGTCATCCACTCCTGAATTCGACTTCTTGCGCTTTTACGCCCTCGACGAGGCCTTAGCTGTACTCTGTCATCACGCGACTGATCACCTGGGTCTGTCCTTGAGAAGAGATATTCCAGCCTGACATCCTCTGCTCTAGCGCCCTGCATGTTGCGTTCAGATGTGATTGTTTGCCGTATCTTTAGTGACTCATACAGGTTCGCCTGGCTGTATGGGGCGTGTTCATAGTCATGATAAACATGGTCTTCCGGGGGTTCATTTTGATTTCTTTTGAAGATGACTTTTAGAGTTTTTCTAATTTTTTCAAGCCTCTTCCTGGGTCTGGGTCGAGACCTTTGACACGGGACAGGTGGACCTTCTGAAGGTGGGTATTGGTACACCACTTGACTCAGCTCAATCCTTCTCTGGTGGGAAGCAATGGCATCACGGAGGCTAAAAAGGATGTAAATATGGAACTTGAAAACACAGTGGCAATAGAAATAACTAAGCATGATCTAATCAACCCTTCAATATATCAAGGCGAAGTAAAGACATTCGGGGGACTTCTCCTTTTATGTCTATATCTTTGAGGTACAGCAACCATGATCTTCCCAAGAAGTTTTTAAAGAGTTTCATACGGCTATTGTATCAACGCTGTATGGTCATGGTTACAACTTCCAAGGACAACAAACTATACAAACACAACAGATTCATGGCTGACATCACATGAACGTATCAAGGCTTAATCCTCCAAGGCTGGGGTATATGTGCTGTACGCTGTCAGAGTGCACGTGAACAAATTAAGACATTGAATGTTCTTTCTTGGGACTGAAAAAATGTTAACGGGCACATTAAGAAAAATGACTTTGTTGATTCAAAAGTGAACCGTGACAAGAAAAAGTTAGAATGAAGCTTTCTTTCCTATTGTTAAGGTAAGGGCTTTAAATTGCTTGTTACAGAATATTGTTTCAGTCAGCGTTTCAAGCCAAACAAAGCTGTTTATCTTTGTTTTGTCTCTTCCTTGTCGATGTTCCTAATACAACCCAACAACACAGACTTACTTGTTCCGCAGGACCTGAACAACCATGTCGATAGTGGGCCTCTGAGATCTGTCTGGATGCCAGCACCTCTGCAATAAGGTATACAACCATTCGGGACATTGGTCTGGCCTGGTGGGAAAGTCTCCGTTCTGTTTAGCCATGATAAGCTGTGGAGGTCAAAACATCATCATATCATTATCATAATGGCATCAACAAACGTGGTAGAAAGGCCGGATGTTGTCTCCTAGCAGGAACAATTTTCTGTAGATTTGTGCAGAGATGAGGTGCTACCTGCTCCAAAACCTTTGCATCTGTTTCCCGATATGGAAGTTCTTATAAACGAAGACTCGTGCATTGCATTGCCAAACTGTTTCCAAAATTTCCTGAAGCTACACTTAATGTGAAGTATTCTTTTCTGTTTCTTGATCGTGAATATCATATGTTATCAGGGAAGGTATTCGTTGGACATGGTTTGTACGATACGAAAACATACTGCCTATAATCTCTAGCATAATTATTACTACAGATGTCAAAGGCAGGGTCACCATCCACATGATTTAGACAGACACTAAAGCATAAGTGATGGAGGTGTTATAAAGTGAGGCCTATACTTCCTCCTTTAGATATGGCATTGATTCACGCTATCGATACAATTGATGTACAACTGAATTCATGCAGACCTCCTTATTCTTCAACATGCAGTAAGGGACACGGAGGATCTTCGACCTGGATGGATTTATGCTGTGCAGGTCATACGACTGAAGCACCTCAAACGTCATCATGGCCCACATGTACACGTCTCCAGGAGCCGAGAAGGTGTTTTCAATCAGCGTCTCTGGGGCATGCCTATTGCACAATGCGATATTGTTGACTTTATTAATGAAAGAAGGCAACTTTGTACTTGTACACTTGTACTTGCAGTTAACCAGTTATTTCTACTACTACTTTAATAATGAATGCAGGTTTGTGTTTCAGTATATTGACTGTTATTATGGGCCCAGAAATATAGACTGTTATTCACTGTAGTAAACACAGGATCAAAAGAACCTGTCCGTTTAATTTCAGTGCATAGCTGAAAAGTTCCCCGACCAAAGTATTATAGAATTCTTCTACATGCTTAGTTTATAATTAATTTAATGGAATTAAAAAACTTTTTAAAAATATAAAATCGCAACATAATACACAACTGGTCATTCGCACCCTACACATCCTATTTTTGAAAATAGACGAAAATGGCGTATTGTTGGGCACCAAATTACTACATGTTAGATATAGTAGTGTATTACGTTTGCAAATCCACTTGTTACCCCAGTTTACATTAATCTGTTGTAGGAATGAGGGATAATTTTTATCTCCCCAACAAACTAACTTAATGAATGACTTACCATCGTTTATTCTCTCTTGGCGGCTCTTCCCTGCTGACGACAATGTCCGATCTGTGTGAGAGTTGCTTCATTCGGCAAATACGACTGACGTAAACCTGGAATATATTTCATTTGGAATCAAACTCAAGCGAGAAACAAATCAGACACGACCATGCTAAAAAGCAATATTATTATTATATAGTTAACTGTGCGAACATGGATTTAAAATTTAAAACTTAATGGATAGATAAATCAAAGAAGCATTAAAGTTTACAAGGAAATGGCCGTAAGGCCACATATAACATATTCCTGTTTCTCATCACTTTTCCCAAAAAATATTGGTCGGGCGGGTGGATTTTATTTTTACATTATATTTTCTTGATTTCTGCGGAAATTTACACCTTTCCTTCGATAGAAAATCAAAACTTAGAAGTGTGAAAAGCTTCAATTTCTCGAGTGTAAAAAAATTAATAATCTTAGGGTCGGGTCGAATTTTTGGGTCGGGCGGTAATGAGAAACAAGATATTTTTATATAAGGCCTTACATACGCATATTCTGATTTCGGTTTAATTCATAAATTGCTGAGTGGTATCATATACACGCTCTCTTGAACAGGTGGTTACATGACTGTACACGCACGCCTATCACAGAGCCATTATTGATCTCTCTGAGACTGACATGCCACCAATAGCCAATATGTTGTTACCTGAAAAGCATAAATGATTTTACAAAATAGATTCTCACTTCACCAGTTGACCGGTTGACCAAGAAGTTTTTAGCTCTAAGATCATTGTGGAGCCAGTTCTTCTCATGGAAGTCCCGAAGTGCCTCAGCTACTTGGTAACATAGGTGGATGTATCGCTCTATGAGTCCATTGCACCCGAATAGAAAATTGGTGTCAAGGGCATGGGTCCCAGCAACATCATCAAGGGTGTCACAGCCTGGGTACAGTCGGTGCTGATGGCGACGACAGAAAACAGAACATTCCTGTTATTACACTGCATAAAATACTTCTCTTATATAAACCTAAACTGCCTACAGTCCGTTTGGCTCAAAAGCGGACCGATGAATTGCAATCTAACTCGAAAACTAATAAACATAACATACTCAATGAAACGCTGATCATAATCAAAACATCATACCCACTCTGTGAGGTTTTTGCAGAATATTTGTCCTAAAAATAAAAAAGTTGTTTAACAAACTATCATTAGGCTGTCCCTTTCTCTGCACTCCTCCCTCGTAACAAATAGTTAACTGTGTCAATATTTTAATGATAGATTGTTAAACAACTTTTTTATTTTTAGGACAAATATTCTGCAAAAACCTCACAGAGTGGGTGTGATGTTTTAATTATGATCAGCGTTTCATTGAGTATGTTATGTTTATTAGTTTTCGAGTTAGATTGCAATTCATCGGTCCGCTTTTGAGCCAAACGGACTATACTCGCTACAGTGGATAGACTGGCCTACCAAAGGTTGAAAGGTTACCCCCTGATGGCCGTATCCTATCAGAAACCATTGGAAGACAGTTCATGTAGTTACATAGCCTGCCATCTGGCATTAACAGAAATGTGGATTTTAATGTGTCTGTTTTTCCGATGTTACTGACTATTTGATTACCATGAACAGTTGGTGATAAGAAGTATCATGTATTTATATTTCAACCGAACAAAGTAGCCAGAGGCCCTTTGATCTTTCGTCGCCGCACACCGCCACACCTGTAAATAGAATCCAGGTCCATAAGGCTCTGTCTTCGTGTCATTGCAGTCTCCGATCTGGGGAAAACCACCAGCAGTCAACTTGGGAAGGCTATCCTTCACAAACTGCTCTGTCATAACCTCCTTGACTGTGATTCCTCCAGTAGGGTTTTGTTCCTGCAAACAAGTCAAAACATTGATTACACAACAGTCTCGTTTCCTGTTGACTGGGTTCCGTCCTATTGCGCAACCTAGTACAATAACCAGTCCAGCATTTTGAGACCAATTCATTTTAGTGGATACCTAAATATTAATCAATATTATTTGATACATCTAAGCAAATGTTTATTGCAACACTACGCTCCTTATAACCCTTGCAAACATGTCGTGCAGCGAGCACTGACAAACAGAAACCTGGAAATCGTGGAAATCTCAAAACGAGGCTCTGCCGCTAGAAAGGTTTGGCGGTGTGGTACGAACCTGACATTATATCAACCACATCGTGCGTTACAGAACTACACCGAATAAGCGCAAGAAACATATAGCAGGTGTAACCAGTGAGCCAGATGCATTGTGAATCATTTTACGACCTCATCAAACTGGGGCAGTCTGTGAGGTCTTAGTTAAGGCCATGCTACACCTCGCCATAAAATATAGAAATACAATGTTATTAAAGTTTAAAATTAAAATACATTTGTAAATACCATTTTCTTATGAAACAAGGAATTGGAATTCAGCGTAACCATAGTAGTTCGTAATGTCACTTTCACACGAGAAAATTCGTATCGACTGAAAAGTAGGCCATTGTCTAAATAGGTTAATGAGACTCATGTTTCGGTTTGCAAGCAAGGAGAAATTATACCATATATAGTTTCCAAAAGGCATACTCGTAACATAAAACAAGGGAAATGTGTAAATATTTGAGATAGACCTACCAGTATGATGTCATCCGACGCCTTCAGTTCAGCCTGCGTCACGACAGGTATCGTTGAGGCTCTCCACTCATTCCTCCTCATGTTCACATATCCCCGTTCCTTCACTACAATGTATTGTGGCCAGTATTTATGTGCTTTCATGCAAATAATTACAAAACAGACGATCGTTGCGGAAACAACATGTAATTGTGATTTCAGATAATGCTTAAGCAGAAAATATCAATATTACACGTGAACCAATCGTAGCATGAAATAACTGAGACTTGAAGCAAGGCGTGAGGAAAACTGAAGTGTACACAGTTAGACAAAAATACGTATAACGGAGAATAGTTTTTACCTTTTCTAAATTCATGAATGTATCTTGGAACTCCCTAAAAAACAGAACAAATAATTATCCCTGTACAATGTCAGCATGTGTTATGAATATATGCATAATGAATGCAATACTCTCCAAAATACATAGGGTGATGATGTCGAGCAATATTCTAGTCATCACCTTCAGCTGTATGTCGAGTAAGATTCCAGTCATCACCTTCAGCTGTATGTCGAGTAAGATTCCAGTCATTACCTTCAGCTGTATATCAAAGAATATTCTAGTCGTTACCATTAGCTTATGTCGAGCAATATTCCAATTATCACCTTTAGCTGTGTCGAGCAATATTCCAATCATCATCTTTAGCTGTGTCGAGCAATATTCCAATCATCACCTTTAGCTGTGTCGAGCAATATTCCAATCATCACCTTCAGCTGTATGTCAAGCAATATATCAATCATCACCTTCAGCTGTATGTCAAGCAAAATTCCAGTCATCACCTTCAGCTGTATATCAAAGAATATTCTAGTCGTCACCTTTAGCTTATGTCGAGCAATATTCCAATCATCATCTTTAGCTGTGTCGAGCAATATTCCAATCATCATCTTTAGCTGTGTCGAGCAATATTCCAATCATCATCTTTAGCTGTGTCGAGCAATATTCCAATCATCATCGTTAGCTGTGTCGAGCAATATTCCAATCATCATCTTTAGCTGTGTCGAGCAATATTCCAATCATCACCTTCAGCTGTATGTCGAATAATATTCCAATCATCACCTTCAGCTGTATGTCGAGCAATATTCCAATCATCATCTTTAGCTGTGTCGTGCAATATTCCAATCATCACCTTCAGCTGTATGTCGACCAATATTCCAATCATCATCGTTAGCTGTGTCGAGCAATATTCCAATCATCATCTTTAGCTGTGTCGAGCAATATTCCAATCATCATCTTTAGTTGTGTCGAGCAATATTCCAATCATCACCTTCAGCTGTATGTCGAATAATATTCCAATCATCACCTTCAGCTGTATGTCGAGCAATATTCCAATCATCATCTTTAGCTGTGTCGTGCAATATTCCAATCATCACCTTCAGCTGTATGTCGAGCAATATTCCAATCATCATCTTTAGCTGTGTCGAGCAATATTCCAATCATCATCTTCAGCTGTATGTCAAGCAATATGCCAACAGTTCGAGTCCAGTCTACATATCCTAACGTTTCTGGTACAATGGAGGTAGCTCTAGCTGAGGAACATCTCAAGAATGCTCACACAACATGGTTGAGCAGAATTACAAAGGTCAAGGCTTCATATAAGTTTTGAAAACGTTACTTAGCAGATAAGTGGGCAACTTGAGTTTGGTGCAGCAGTGACGAAATTTCCAGTAACCTTACTTCTGTAGATGTTCAGCTATTTTGATACCGATTGATATATTTTGGGTCATGCAGATATCTCTTATGATTACGAAGAGGGATTTCTTGCTTTCATTATGTAACTGAGAAGAATGAAACTTGTGTAACACCTGTTTATTAAATACTTCACTCCTGAAACCTAAAGTTGCCCACGCTAGCTGTTGACATTCTTGTGTATTACCTTCTCGGGCACATGCTTCCGGTCTATTTGTTGTCTAGAGAGTATGGGGTAGTACAAGTCTTTCTTTACTATTGCATCAAATGGCGGGTCCGCTGTCTCACCTGCAAGTGTTGGAGAAGACGTCGTACATGTCCCTGATTTTTACCATAGATTGTTAACATTTTAAAGCCAAATATAGTTGCAGGCAACGATGAGGGCACCTTGGCTTTAGTTCTATCTATTGTATCTGAGGGCTGGAAATCATCGTCCAAAACGGAGCCAGAACACGTTTTTGACAGGCGACCGGGTCTTCCAAATACAGCCGGGGTCGCGGGGGTGATTTACCTTTTAAGAAGTTCCGGAGAAGAAATAGTTCCCTCTTTAAAAGGCTGTATCTCAGTTGTTCTTGGGTCTACGGTCAAAACAGTTAGTGTTCGGGAATCACCAAGCCTTCATCTACCATACTGGCACATTTTGGGAGCAATCTACTCAGAAAACTGTTTTAGTGAATTGAGCCGTCCAGGCACAATTGTTGGGAATTCGATTGTGCATCTGTACAAGAGATTTGGAAGTGTTGGAACAATTAGTTCTTGAGATATTTGCTGTCACACTTAGAAATTTTGTAATTAATTTTATCTCCCCTTTGCTTTTTGGGCCTAAAGCCTAGAGATTTTAAGGGGAATATTTACACCTCGGTGCGCATCTGTGTGGTTTTTTGTAAGCGATTCGGAGCATTGGTTTAGGAGTTATGTTTGGTACAAAAATAGGCGGAATACTAAATAATAATGATAATAATCCGAACGATTACAATAGGTCTCCTGCCTAGAGGCAAGGAGCCCTAATTACATGTGACATAAATGTTACAAGGAAAGACGAAACCAGACGAAACAGTAACTGTAACGCGAGCAAGGATCTTCATTCGATGATACACAATCAGTCATGTCTATCTAATTTACATGAAAGTGTCCAGTAAGTCTACAAGTTCTACATGCACAAATATTAACTGCGTGTGTGTATTCCACTGCTACGTGTCTTCATTTCTATTTTATTGCAAGAATGGATAAGAATATCAAATATCACCATATATGGGATCCGGCTTCACTTGCTCAATATATTTCAGCAGTTCGTCTCTGAACACACCGAGCTCAATCCGTTCTTCAGTAACCTTTCTCATGCAGCGGCACAACAAAGTGTACATCTCGTCTGGGATGCAATACCATTGGAAGGGGAGAATATTTTCGAACATCACCTACAGATCAAATACATCACAAAGAGTGAGGCCAGGCGATGTGCAACGTCAAGGGTTCTACAGATCCAGAGGATATGATAGTTAAGTTAGTGCAACGTCAAAGTTTCTACAGATCCAGAGGAAATGACAGTTAAGTTAATGCAACATCAAGGGTTCTACAGATCCAGAGGATATGACAGTTAAGTTAGTGCAACATCCAGGGTGCTACAGATCCATATGGAATGATTGTTAGTGTCATTGCAGCCACTGGATGTGCTCATGCGAACTACCTTTTTTAACATTTGGTTTTGGACTCTTTACATGAAAATGTAGGGAAGACAGCTAAAAGGAGTGATTAAAAACAAAAGAATAAAGAATAATTCCTAAGACGAAATTTACTTTGAGTAAGTACTTGCCCCATGATAGATTTGGACCATATATTTATGTGTCTGTAACTCAATCTCGTCTTACAGCTGCAATCTAAAACTGTTATTGAACTGCTAAACAGACTATGGTACAATTCTCACTTATATGAACACATCGAATGACGTTTTTCAATAGTTTGTACTTGTTTCATGAATTATGCAGTTTTTGTTGGTGCCAAAAGGGACCTTATCACACATTGAATTGCACCGCGATCACATGACTGAAATATGCACATGAAACACGTTTCATTACACCATCAGTTTAATGTAGTCATAAACATGGTCGTTACCATCCTCATGACTTCCTCCGTGCTGTCGTTGTAGTATTCTGTGAAGGGGTCACAGCCATGGGTCCACAGACAGTAGATGACGAGGCCTAGCGCCCAGATGTCTGACTGGGGAGAAAACGCTCCATCCAGCAACGCCTCATGGCATGTCCACCGGGTTGGGATCTCTCCAGGGTAGAAATCTACATGATGCAAATAATGTTAACGTTGATTTTTAAAAGGATGAAAAGGGTGGACACGGAACCGGAACATACGCATTTGATAGCCCAAGCATAATCTCATCATGAAGAAAGATTAACTCAATCAACTCTATATTGTGTAAAGAAGAGCATTATTCGAAAGAAATAAAATCCACACACCTCTAACAACAGAACTATCTGACTGGATGCTACAAGCCACACTAAGATCTCCTATTTTCACTGAGTTTCCAACAAGGAACATGTTATTCAGCGTGAGATCCCGTAATAGAACCTTCTGCTGGTGCAGCGCCTTCAGTCCAGATGTGATTTCCATGAGAAAGTCACACAGTTCAAGGTCTGTCAGCCAGTCAATGCTCATCCTCCGTTGTAGAACGTGATGCTGAAGTGTCCTCTGTTGGCAGTCCTCCACCACGTAGTACATGGGAACTGACGTCACGTTGTAGGCGAACAGCTCAACCAGGTTTGGATGGCTCTTCAGTTTGCGCAACATGTCAAAATTGTGCATTCTATCCCGCATGCTTTGATCAATGTATTTGTAAAAGTCAGGACAATAAAACTGGTTAAAGTGGGGTTTGTGTGCATGAATGAGGACCTTCTGTGTACCCATGCGTCCTTTACAGGTTCGGAATGGAGGACTGCTTTCAATGGCTTCGTCATCAACATGCAGTCCAGCATAAGCCTGGCCTCTCTCAATCTCCTGCACAACTATTTCTTGTAACATAAGCTCGTCAGAACTTTCGTGTATGACACGTATTGGCTTCCTGACGGACATTCCTGCATGCCACAGTAGAGGTAATGTCTCCTGGATGAGACAGTGAAGTCGGTTTTCCTGACACGCTCTGCTGTGAGGGCCACGGATACAGGTCAACAGCCCTGGGCGAGACGATGTTCTCAGGTCCTCTATTGTTCTCGTGATCAGCTCAGTCAGGTCGGTCTTCCAAGTTTCTTTCAAATCACCAATTTGAACGTCACCTAAAACACGGGGAGAGATTTGTTTATTCCGAACAGATCAACAGACACAGATCACTGTGTTTTATCAAGCATGACCCAACGGTATATGTTAGACGTATATGTTAGGTCTTATACACGTAACTCTGCCTTTCATGTGTCCGTTCCACTGCATCCTTTACTGTTTTGAACCTGGATATGCATAATTTTATATTTTCACCAAATATATATCTTTTGCTGTAACCAGGATGTAACGCCCGAAATCCTGTTCCACTGTCTTTGGTTAAATCTAGCATGTCTGCGTAAAAGTTGAAAATGATGAAATTGCGCCAGGATAGATCCTGTGTATGGTTGTCTAGCTTGGATACCTTCGGCGTGCATTCGATTCCTGATAGTCTATACCACTAAACTATTTTGTGCGTGGATGACGTAACCTGATTTCTAGGTGTGACGACACTCATTTCGGTGTGACGTTACAGTCGGAGACCGAGCAGTTTGGCGATCTGCAACGGTGCCCGCCCCTAACACACGTGTCCTGAGACTCGTGCAACTGCTGTTTATGTCGATAAGCTGCAATGTAACAGCGTGTGTTTTCAGACGTAATTGCAATAAGACTGGCGGCACACATACAACGCCTGTTGTACATAGAGATAAAACTGATATATATGTGTGGTTTAGTCACCGTCAGGCTTGCTATATATGTTGATATATGTTATCGTATCCTGCCTAAGTAGATGGTCATCATAACAATGACGGGATGCTGTGATAGAGACCGCCAGCATAATGCTGAGTGTATCTGAACAACACACAGACAAACGCTACCTGTATTGAAAGCTGTGATAGAGACCGCCAGCATAATGCTGAGTGTATCTGAACAACACACAGACAAACGCTACCTGTATTGAAAGCTGTGATAGAGACCGCCAGCATAATGCTGAGTGTATCTGAACAACACACAGACAAACGCTACCTGTATTGAAAGCTGTGATAGAGACCGCCAGCATAATGCTGAGTGTATCTGAACAACACACAGACAAACGCTACCTGTATTGAAAGCTGATAGAGACCGCCAGCATAATGCTGAGTGTATCTGAACAACACACAGACAAACGCTACCTGTATTGAAAGCTGTGATAGAGACCGCCAGCATAATGCTGAGTGTATCTGAACAACACACAGACAAACGCTACCTGTATTGAAAGCTGTGATAGAGACCGCCAGCATAATGCTGAGTGTATCTGAACAACACACAGACAAGCACTACCTGTATTGAAAGCGGTGGACAAGGAATGAACGCATCCCGTCACCAGCAACATTCTCAGAGCCTGGTTCTCACGAGGACATCGTCTCTCAAGCAGTGTACAATGTATGAACTTCATGTATGACAGAGTGTTTTCGCAGCCAGGCACCATCGTCTTGAAGAAGAAACGTCCATTATGAATGGCATAATGAAAGTATAAACTCATGGTCAATAATATTTATATTTATAATATTTCATTGGAAAATTTACAATGCTGAATAAAATAACTAATTATCTGCGTATTCCAACTTCATTCAGTATTTCTGTTTTAGTCTTCTCTATCGTTGTAAAGTAAAACTGTATACCTGTTTCAACAAGGAGAAGAGATGTGTGAATTTGTCACAGAAGTGTGCTTTTTTCACCAGGGTTAAGGATTCCTGTTTATTCATATGAAATGCATTCTTGACTTCACTGCCGAAGGCCAGGCCACTCTTCCGACGTAAACGTTTAGGAAACACTTCGTGGTAATGGAGCATTGCTTTGAGGAGATCATGGGTTGCTGTGCACCTCTTTTCCTTGATTAAGTCTTCAATGCTGTCCTTTCTGGTTGTTGATATCTCACTCAATTTCGCCACAGTTTGTTCCGACCTATCAGGCTGACATAACAGGCAACTGAACAGCATGAGGTTGAGGATTCCAAGGTCAAACACGTGATCCTGGTGCTGGCTCAGACTCTTCCAGACGTTCTCTTCGACTGAGGTAATTTCTTCAACATTGACATTGTCTTCACAGGCATACACAAACTGTCGAAGACAGGTCAACACAACTTTCCTGATGTGTTCGTCGTCCAGCACAAGAAACTTAGACATTTCAGCCATTTTAGTTTGTGTTTTGAGTTTGTGGATTTTCTGTGACAGAATGCACTTTTTTATTTCGTCTTGCAAGTTGGGCGTCTGCCATAGTGAGATAAGTTTCTGGGAACTCCACTCGCCCATGTCTGGGTCTAAAAGATTGATCAGAACATCTTCAAAGCAAGGTGTATTGGAAGGATGAACAGGAAAAAGGGTTACAGGTCATTCACGACTAAATAAAATGTAGTTGAAACTACGTTAAACGTTAATTTCCTCATTTATTCTAATCCCCAAGACCTCACTGGACTGGTAATATCAACTCTACAAAACAACTTTTTGTTTTTAGGCAATTTGCTACAAGAGATGCATACATAATATCAGTACGAATACTGTGGATTCCGGGAGAGACTCAACCCATTAAAAGTACTACAATCTGTACTTTTACTGAGAAAGTGTAATCCGATATATAACATGTGTTACATTTGACCACTTTCTAAATGGCATTGTGCATTCATAGTATGAATTAATAATTATGCAAATGAAATATATATTGATCAAATACCTAAACATTTCTTTGAATATTTAAAACGTCAAACTTCAAGTATGAGTCGCGGAATCTGTCTGTATCAGCTAATGTTTCCCTAACATTAAAATATATTCCTTACTGTACTTTTATCTTTAAAACCGGAAGTCTGTACTTACTGCTCGGGTGAATGTGTCGTGCCCTCACTTGGTGGCCTCTCTGATCTTGGGCATTGTGCTTCATTGTTTTTGCATTTACAAAATGTCCCCTAGGTTGTTCGACAAGGCCAGGCTCCTCTTCAGTGTCAGACAGCAGGTCCGTCTCTGTTAGGAAGCTGTGTGTACTAGGAGGGTACAGTGAATCTGGAAGTAATTGAGATGGCTTTTCTACGACATCGAGCAAGGTGGGGATATGCACTCAACTGACTGAGGTCAAAAGATGTGATCAGGTTATGAGAGTGTATGAAACTCCCATTGTATATCTTATCTAATGTTTAAGTGCATTTATACAATTCCAGGCACATTTGGTATCTAAACAAGTAGTGAAGTTTACACGAGAACATGTCTTATAACTACCTTCTTCTTCTTCCTCCTCTTCTTCTTGTCGTCCATCTTGGGCGACCCCTTTACGTGATGTTTGTTCTGATCGGTCACTTGCATCAGCAATGGTAAGAGGTATGTCGTGATCATTGCGGAGAGTGTTGTATTGCCCCAGGCGTGATGCAAATCGTACCTTAGGCTTTGATGAATTGCTGAAAATCCACAAATGAATGTTGTTAAATCATCTTTGACATCTTACGTCCTTTAAATAACGGTATGGTGGCATCCACACTGCACGTCCATGTTAGAAACCAAGCATTCACATAACCTCTTTGAGTGGCATTTGGACGCTAGTATGATGAATGGGAACAATTTTGTATAGATAGACAACTTCTATTGCAATAGATGTGACGTTTCGGTGTAGATACTAACACCGTTAGCAACCATATCCACTACTGTCATGATATCCACATCTACTTCTACATCCACGTGCACCTCCACTATCTCTTCACCCTCATCCCTATCCACATTCACGTGTATCTCCACGCCGTCATCCACATCCACACTTATCTCTTTACCTTCAACCCTGTCCACATGCACGTGTATTTCCACGTCCACCTCCACGTCCACGCCGTCATCCACATCCACACAACATCTGTTCACCTTCAACCACTCTGTTCCACAACCCTGTCCACGTGTATATCCACGTCCACATGTACCTCCTCGTCCACGCCGTCATCCACATCCACACATATCTCTTCACCTTCAACCCTGTCCACTTGCACGTGTATCTCCACGTCCACGCCGTCATCCACATCCACACCTATATCTTCACCTTCATCACTATCCACATCCAGGTGTATCTCCACGCCATCATCCACATCCATACCTATCTGTTCACCTTCAACCCTGTCCATATGCACGTGACTCTCCACGTCCACCTCCACGTCCACGCCTTCATCCACATCCACACCTAAATCTTCAACTTCATCCCTATCCAAATCCAGGAGTACCTCCACGCCGTCATCCACATCCATACCTATCTCTTCACCTTCAACCCTGTCCACATGCACGTGACTCTCCATCTCCACGTCCACGCCGTCATCCACATCCATACCTATCTTCAACTTCATCCCTATCCAAATTACTCCACGCCATCATCCGCATCTATACCTATCACCCAACCCTGTCCACATGCACGTGTATCTCCACGCCGTCATCCACATCCATACCTATCTCTTCACCTTCAACCCTATCCACACCCAGGTGTATCTCCACGCCGTCATCCACATCCATATCTATCTCTTCACCTTCAACCCCTGTCCACATGCACGTGTATCTCCACGCCGTCATCCACATCCATACCTATCTCTTCACCAACTTCAACCCTGTCCACATGCACGTGTATCTCCACGCCGTCATCCACATCCATACCTATCTCTTCACCTTCAACCCTGTCCACATGCACGTGTATCTCCACGCCGTCATCCACATCCATATCTATCTCTTCACCTTCAACCCTGTCCACATGCACGTGTATCTCCACGTCCACGCCGTCATCCACATCCAAACCTATATCTTCACCTTCAACCCTGTCCACATGCACGTGTATCTCCACGCCGTCATCCACATCCATACCTATCTCTTCACCTTCAACCCTGTCCACATGCACGTGTATCTCCACGCCGTCATCCACATCCATATCTATCTCTTCACCTTCAACCCTGTCCACATGCACGTGTATCTCCACGTCCACGCCATCCACATCCATACCTATCTCTTCACCTTCAACCCTGTCCACATGCACGTGTATCTCCACGCCGTCATCCACATCCAGATCTATCTCTTCACCTTCAACCCTGTCCACATGCACGTGTATCCCACGCCGTCATCCACATCCATATCTATCTCTTCACCTTCAACCCTGTCCACATGCACGTGTATCTCTCTCCACGCCGTCATCCACATCCATATCTATCTCTTCACCTTCAACCCTGTCCACATGCACGTGTATCTCCACGTCCACGCCGTCATCCACATCCATACCTATATCTTCACCTTCAACCCTGTCCACATGCACGTGTATCTCCACGTCCACGCCGTCATCCACATCCATACCTATCTCTTCACCTTCAACCCTGTCCACATGCACGTGTATCTTCACGTCCATGCCGTCATCCACATCCACACCTATATCTTCACCTTCAACCCTGTCCACATGCACGTGTATCTCCACGTCCACGCCGTCATCCACATCCATACCTATCTCTTCACCTTCAACCCTGTCCACATGCACGTGTATCTCCACGTCCATACCTATCTCTTCACCTTCAACCCTGTCCACATACACGTGTATCTCCACGTCCACGCCGTCATCCACATCCATACATATCTCTTCACCTTCAACCCTGTCCACATGCACGTGTATCTCCACGTCCACGCCGTCATCCACATCCATACCTATCTCTTCACCTTCAACCCTGTCCACATGCACGTGTATCTCCACGTCCATGCCGTCATCCATATCCACATCCACAACTATGTCGTCACCCCCATCCCTTTCCACATCCACTGCTACAACCACGTTGACATCCACGTCTACGTTGAAATCTACACCCACACCTACATCCACATCCACGTCTATATCCACATCTTGTATTGCATGCACTTCAACATCCAAACCGAAACCCATGTATTGTGAACTGTAAAATATAGCTCATGAATTGTTACACATTGAACGAAAAATATTCATGATCCCTAAATAGTTTCTTCAGTGTATATTATTTTGTTGCTTCTTGAAGATCCGAATTACATTAACATCATAATTCAGAAAGTAGTACATCGCAGTGAAATACATACGCGCCCATCTTGGATAGTGTTACAAGTCCTGTCACCCTGGTACTCGGGAATCTGCAAAATATTGATAAGAAAACATCTTAATCTTTGGTAGTGATCGATGATAATAACCTCAAATTTAAGTAACAAGTAAACTCCTATGGTCTCGTCACTGCATGTTTGCAATATTCGTTTTCACAACTCAGTAGATAAGAGCATGAATAGCGTTAATGTTACACAATGCTATCATCTTAGGGTTTGTGGGTCAGAATACACGGCAGCAGTGTTCCCACATTACACAAACATGATCACAATCTGCCCATTGGACAAGGATCGCGGTACATACTGAGACTTTACAAAACAGAACGAACAGAAATAGGCCCCAGCGGAAGAAACACGCTCGAGTTGTATACCCCTGACCGACCATAATTTTAGAAGTTCCTGATGTCGTTGTTTTAGCTTCAAAGATGAACATACGCTTCGGTCCCACCGATCAGATGGATTTTATTTTACATTAAGGGGGCATACAGAGAAAATACAGTGTCTTAATCTGTACAGGTGTTGTGGTAAAGCGGACCTAGAGTGGCTTCTTGTTTCAAATATGGCGCATCGGTTACAAAAATGAAGTACGAGGTAATTCCCTATTTTGACATGTACCATATATTCTCGTGCTCATTCCGGGGCACCGCTGACTCGATTCAAGGCAAGATTCTGTGCATGGACATTACGGATAGAAATGGGCCTATTTCAAACAATTTCATAATTATCATTTTTCATGACGCTTTCTTCATATACAGTGTCTGATCATGGGTGGAACTCCGAAGACTGTAACAGAAATATCAAGCCACTTTTTCTTTTTCAGTTCAGTCCTACATCCTTGGCTTGATTATCAAAATTGTGGAATTGTATTTTCATCATGAGCCTTGACATTCTTCTCAAAAGATAATCCACGGTAATCAAACCACGCCTTCCCAACTGATGGATATAAGTTTCTGACATGACTCTCATTGTTTCGTCTAATCATTTTATATCAGCCTGACCCGTGAAGATCCGGGCTAGAATTGATCTTCAGTAACCCGTGCTTGTCATAAGAGGCGACTGACGGGATCGGGTGGTCAGGCTCGCTTGACACATGTCATCGGTTCCCAATTGCGTAGACCGATGCTCATGCTGTTGATCACTGGATTGTCTGGTCCAGACTCGAATATTTACAGACCGCCGCCATATAGCTGGAACATTGCTGAGTGCGCACAACCAACCAGCCAATCAATCACGTAAAAGAGGTGCGTCAACAATGTTATGGATCTGTCCTGGCAGGTCTAGAATAATAAGGTTTGTTAAGCGAAAAAACAAGTATGAATACCAATAGTCAGAAACTGATTATATTTGGTGTAGTGAGTGGGTGAGTTTAATTTTACGCCGCTTTTAACAGTATTCCAGTAATACCACGGCGGGGACACCAGAAATTGGCTTCACACATTGTACCCATGTGGGGAATTGAACCCGGGTCCTCGGCGAACGCTTTAACCACTAGGCTACCCCACCGCCCATATTTCGTGTAAAGGACATTTAAGGATAACCAGGAAGAGCACCCGTCCACGCGACGGCGACCTGTAAACATTCCAGAAAATCAAGTAAAAATCCAACTGTAAATTTTGCATTACGACTACTGTGTAGAATTGCAGAAATTCTGCTGCTCACAAGTAAATACAACGTTTGGAAATGGGCTTGTTTCCCAACACAGTAGGGTATGAAACATGGTAAAGGGATAGAGAATAAAAACAGTTGTTATTCATAAAACGTGTCATGTATTCATGTTCGTCCAACTTCTAAATGCCTTTCAAAAACTTCACAGTAGGATCTGTTTGGGATAAAACATTTCTTTTCTACTAGACTTTAGTGGAAGCTAGTGAGCTGTTTTATGAAATTCGAGGACTTCAGTCCGCCAGCAAAACCATGGACCCAGTAAATATGACACGTCAGTGCAAAGAATACCCAGTCTTGTCTTTCCTCGGAAACACTTCCATTCCATTCCATTCCATTCCATTCCATTCCTAAAATCATCGCCTTGAAAGTTGCCTCTTCTAAAAGGAGTTGTTCCGGAGTTCCAAGTGCCTCTATGACTACATCTCAATAAATCATTATGTCTTTGGAGCATTATCCCTTTTGACACTAATGTGATCAGTAATATGTTGACGAATATACTGAACTCGTTCACGAAATGTCAAGCTTGCATATACAAGCACAGAACTCGGAGATTAGTAACAAAGTGCTTCTGACTCTCTTGGTAATGCTGAAGGCTGCAGTGTTGGGGAGTATTCTCCAAAAAGTTGCTTGTCAGTTTGACTAGGAAGCGCTTCCTGGGAGAAGTCCCTCTCGCCGTATTATCTGTACGGGGAGGTGTGAAAGTAGACCAAACTTAGAGGCTTGTGCTCAGACTTTCAGAGAAGACAATATTTATAGACAGGTGCTGTGAAAAATACGAAGATGCATGACCCAAACCTTCAAACCAATATGGCCCCCAAACGCCACACGAGACAAGACAAAACAAGATTTTTATAAGGTCAAAGACTAATACAATTAGGCTCGATTGAATATTTGCCTGTGCACATGACGTGGTACACATATAGACAACAATCATATTATCATTATTATCATTCTTATTGCCCAAGAAGATACGTGTAAACGATTCACAAAAATCCAATTTTGTTTCTTTCACTAAAGATATGATAAATACACTTGGACGAAAGCTGGAAATCCCTTTCTCTATTAGTAATTGCTGCGATATCTAATAATATTGTGTCTATAGTCTTGGAATTCTTGAGTTATCTGGTCCTCAGCAGTCTATATATGCGTGAATGTTTCACCTGAATCAGCCACCAGGGTAATGTGTTTGTTACGGGCAATAGTAGCTGCAAAATATCTAATTTATCAGAGCTTCCGTCTATGGTCTTTGGAAGTCTGGGGTATGGGGTGTGTGTATCTGGTCTCAGGGGCTTCCGACACCACCACCACACCATCACTACCCTACCCCCACCCCTTTGAACATTTCTGGATCCGCCTATGAACCTCGTGATAATATCAACATATATTTTCCCGAAGTATGCTGGAACTGCGACATTACGTTTTACTCCTCTTACTGATGCGTCAAAGAAATATCTGCTATATATGACCTTGTTGGAAGCCTAATCAAACAGCTTTTGAACACAATGTCCAATCTCCATAACTGCAGGTTGATACGACAAACAATCATGAACACTGGCTAGGTACGTACCGTGACTATATACACCACGTCGGAATGGTTTCTCCTGACTACAGACAGTCTCTGTGTTGTAACGTATTTACGTAAACAAACTACATGTGACGTTGACAATTTCCAAAAAGCTATAAATAGCATAGATCCCCCAGGGATCAACTACGAGTAGGACCTTAATGTTAACCCTTACATGATACGGTGAACTTTGGAGCTAGCAGTTATTTTGTTTTCATTTTCAATAAGTTTGTTTCATAGTTTCTTAACGTAATTTTTGCTCAGCTCACATGTTCTTAAAGAAAAGGAATATAGATACAATGTTTCTATTAGTTCACACACACTCTGTTAGCAGTTAACGGGTGTATTGCGTTGCGTATACAGGTTGCGAAACAGAGCGAGACGTGCTGTACGTTGGCTTGTGTACGTAAACCTCTGACTTTAAACATTCATCTGTTGTGTTGGATGACATCTGCATGATAGGGTGATAATATGATGTTTATCCCAAGCCTCGGCACACAAGCACGGATATATGCACGTCGGTAGTACAAAACCGGGCAAACACTGACCACTTGACATAGATGGAAACTGTAGGGCATAGACGCTGGTAACACCCCGAACATAGGTATGGTGCTCAATGAACCTAGAGACAGAGTCCTTAGATGTCCGAATTAGGGACGACAGATTTATGGTGCAGGGATTTCGACGACTTTCCGTCTTGGCAGTCCCTCCCATTCTCCCCACCCATTCCACACACCACACCCCCAACCCACACCCCATTTCCCCTCCCACCGGCGTATAGGTGCACCCTGATGAGGTAGACTGATTGTTTCTTTAAGAACTAACGTACGCTATTGGTTGCAAGGGGTCAGACGACCGACTGTTCTTTATACATTTATTAAAATTACAACGGGACAGAAGTGACGTATAACATTGGTTACAGGTGTCAGGCAACTGCTCTAACAGGTGCAATGGTGTAATGGTTTTCCCCCGGTGACACGTAAATAGATACACGTGGAAACACCCCGTGCGTCTGTCTGCTTTCATAAATACCTCGGATACCTCTTTCATATATCCAGACCTCCTGTAGAGCTTTTTGGATATACTTATACATGTATGTGACTCATAGGGCACTCATCAAGTAAATATATAACGTCATATCTAGGATATATGTATGACTGACATATATGACACATTGTCATGTTTAGTAGATATATAACGTCATTTTCGGATCTGTTATACATGACATTTAGGACACATTTGAAGTAAATATAGAGCGTCATTATTTGACGGATGTCGCTGTTTGCTCGCTTCTCAAAATTCTTCAACAAATGTTAATGATATAATCTGAATTAATGTTGAATTCTCATTCTCCATATATCCAGAATTGTATGCTCAGCTAGGTAGAAAGTGAACAACACTCGTGTTTACACTGTAGCTTGTTATTTTCATCACAATGGTAATTAAGCTTCGCGTTCAATTTGAAATCTGTTCACTTCAGTGATGTGCTGAATACGTTTGGATGAGGGGTTCAGTTATTGAGTGGAATTTAGTGATATACTAAATACGTTTGGGTAAGGGGTTCAATTATCTGTGGATGTGTCGCTATTTTGGTATTAGGAATCTCAAACCTGAGTCACTGCTTTTCCATTTATCAAAGCATGTGCATTAAAAAAACACACGGCCATAACGTGTCAGATAGTAACGCCACAGCGTTCCATCTGTATGTCCTAGTTGAGGGAGAGACAGTGTTACATCTGCTTTCATACTCACAAGTAGCTCTAACCTTCTTATTTTTAATAAGTTTGAGTAGAAGGCAGCAACTTTGTAAATATATACTCTTCATAAAAAGCAACAAGTACATGTACTATTTTCAGTATAATGTCTTTATCAATCTTGATTGCGATTTTTTGCGACATGTTACTGAAGGGTAAATTTTCAATGAATGCATAATCTTTAGTGACTGTCAAATAAATTTATCTGATAACATTGATAACATCACTCGAACACAACCACGCTCAGAAACAACATGCAAAATGTGTGGCATGCACGTGCTCCACACTTCACGCATGCGCTCTGATCGGTTAAAACCTGCCAGTAAGGAGAATCTTTTGCCCATAATATCTGAAACATGGTTAGGCGTCACTTGACGGCAACTGAGGTGGTTCAAACAGTGCAAGAGCGATGACTCGATACCACCCAACTGGACTTATGACAGAGAGGCCAGGCACAGGTCGTCCAAGGGTCTCAACACTTCGACAAGATCATTATTTGGGCACACTCGCCCGGAGGAAGAGGTTCACCGCGACCAGAATGACCTTCAGAGTGTTTCGGGAAACACGGTTTTAACACAGACAGTAAGGAACCGGCTTCATATTGAAGGTCAAAGGTCCAGAAGACCCGTACAACCCATTCCCTAGCCTGCACGACATCGACAGTTGAAGCCTACTCCGGCAAATCAATACCGTCATTGGAGGGTCAATCGTTGGCGGAATGTTCTCTTTACAGATGAATCAAGATTGTGCCAGGACTTCAACGATGGTAGGGTACGTGTCTGGAGAAACAGCAATGAACGATATGCCAACTGTACAATTGCTGAACACGATCATTACTGCCGTGGAAGTTTGATGGTATGCGGGTGGCATCAGAGTTGGGCAGAGACCTGATCTTGTGGTCATTAGACGGGGTATAATGACTGGTGAACGGTACAGGGATGAAATCGTCACACCTATAATCATTCCTCTGGCACAACAGACGGGTCCTAACTTCATCCTTATGGATGATAATGCCTGTCCATACCGAGCAAGAGTTGTTAATGATGTTCTTCAGATCAGCAACATCACACATATGGACTGGCCCGCAAGGTTACTTGATCTTAATCCCATTGAACATGCTTGGGACATTCTTGGAAGTCGTGTTTACGGTCTCCATGTTCGCCCCCAGACTCTGGATCACCTTCAGCAGGCGTTACAGAGAGAATGACAGAACATTCAACAACAGCAACTTGACAGGCTCATTTGGTCAACGCCTAGATCTGAGAAGCTTATGGTGGTCATATGCATTACTGAACACAGCATCGCTGTCGAAAACTGACTTTTGCAACATCAATGCAGCACATTTTGCACGACTGTTTCACGGGTACATGTTTTTGATGATTTGTAAGTCTATTATTGCTCAATACCTTTTCATATCATTTTGTTAATCGTGTGTATAATTTGTATTATGCGAGCCTTGGCGAAACACACGAGGTCAATCTCTTTATCATATAATGTCATTCTTAAAATTACTCTAAAAAAAGAAGCAAATTGTATGTGAATTTGTATATGATGAGAATCGATCATTCGCGTAAGAATACTTAGCGGTACACCAAGGTGGGGGTCGTTCATGACGGCGGCATATTGTTGTGACTAGTCGCTAATACAGTGCAAACATATCTCATGCCTAAAATAAGATCTTTCTGTCTAAAAAGAACAACAAAATCAGGCAGGGTTTTCTTGGTAGTGTTTCTATATTTTTATTGTGGGTTATCACCTCATCAGTATCAGTTTCTGATACCTGACGAAATCGATTCGTCGTCTTCATTGTGATCGATAGATCGAAATCCTTGATTGGTACCTATCTTAGAAGATAGCCTGTCACTTGTGCCTCATAATCCGTACTTTCAATTTGAACGAAGTTCTCCGTTTCTTGTTTTCCCCAAGTCAATTACTTTGAACGACTCCAGAACCGCTGTCATCAATTCTACAGACTCACCAATTTTGATATAATGGGCAGCTATGTGAGTTGGGAGATTCAGGAACCCTAACTCCGACGGAAATCTATGACTTGTTTCATTTTGGGGGGCTTTTGCATTGGATGGAGGTGTTTGAGAAGTAGGGTAAATAATGTGGTTCAAGGACTGTAAGACAGGGTACATTGCAGGAAGCTTTAGGTAGATACACATTTCATGATAATGCATTTCAGGACTGTGCGTTTTACTATTCACTACAGACGTGGGGTGTAACGGTAGTAGGGACAATAATGTGGTTCAGGGACCGTGAGGCTTCGACTACATTGCAGGGACATGCTAGGCAGTATTGGGACAATATTTTCCCTAAAATTCAAATTTGTTCAGGTCACTTTTTGAGACAGACTATCATTTTGCAGGAGGGCTACATCCAGTAGGGAAAATGAATGTCGTTCAGGAGACTTTGGGAATAGACTTGCTTCATTTGGGGCTTTTGCATTGCAGGGAGGGCTAGGCAGTAGGGACAATGATGTTGTTCAGGGACTTTGAGACAGACTACATTGCAGGAAAGGCAAGGCAGTAGGGAAAATAATGTGGTTCAGGGACTGTGAGACAGGCTACATTGCAGGGAGGGCTAGACAGTAGGGACAATAATGTGGTTCAGGGACTGTGAGACAGACTACATTGCAGGGGGAGGGCTAGACAGTAGGAACAATAATGTTGTTCAGGGACTGTGAGACAGACTACATTGCAGGGAGAGGGCTAGGCAGTAGGGACAATAATGTGGTTCAGGGACTGTGAGACAGACTACATTGCAGGGAGGGGCTAGGCAGTAGGAAAAATAATGTGGTTCAGGGACTGTGAGACAGACTATATTGCAGGGATGGCTAGGCATTAGGGGAAAATAATGTGGTTCAGGGACTGTGAGACAGACTACATTGCAGGAGGGCTAGACAGTAGGGAAAATAATGTGGTTCAGGACTTTGAGACAGACTACATTGCAGGGAGGGCTAGGCAGTAGGGACAATAATGTTGTTCAGGGACTGTGAGAGAGACTACATTGCAGGGGGCGGGCTAGGCAGTAGGGACAATAATGTGGTTAAGGACTTTGAGACAGACTACATTGCAGGTAGGGCTAGGCAGTAGGGACAATAATGTTGTTCAGGGACTGTGAGATAGACTACATTGCACGGAGGGCTGGCAGTAGGAAAATAATGTGGTTCGGGGACTGTGAGACAGACTACATTGCAGGAGGGCTAGGCATTAGGGTCAATAAAGTGGTTCAGGGACTCTTCAGATGCAATAACTCGCTCCACGTATATACCCTCGAGAAAATTCTAGAATAGCATTTCCAGAACTATTGTTGGACGACACCACGACACATGACACTGCCTCAGTTCCACCGTATAGTATCAGAAGGACGATATAGTATCAGTCAACACGTGTTGTTTCAATAGACATGTATCCTGCAGACGCCCTACCTTAAACAGCATGTCAGGTGACCATTCAGTACGCGTGTCCTCAGTACTCACAGACGCTCTAGGGACCGAGACATAACTAGTTAACAACATGCAGTCTAGAATCCGGGCATAACTAGTTAACCACATACACTCTAGGGGACCAGATATAGCCAGTTAACTACATACACATCTAGGGACCTGGTCACAAACCAGTTAACCACATACACTCTAGGGACCGGGTCATAACTAGTTAACCACATACACTCTAGGGACCGGGTCATAACCAGTTAACCACATACACTCTAAGGACCGGGTCATAACTAGTTAACCACATACACTCTAGGGGGCGCGTCATAACTAGTTAACCACATACACTCTAAGGACCGCGTCATAACCAGTTAACCACATACACTCTTGGGACCGGGTCATAACCAGTTAACTACATACACTCTAAGGACCGGGTCATAACTAGTTAACCACATACACTCTAGGGACCGGGTCATAACTAGTTAACAACATATACTCTACCGGGTCATAACTAGTTATACACTGAGAAATCTATACATGCATTTAGAGTCTTGATATTGAAAACCAATTGTTGTGTAGTGTATGTAGATATGAGTAAGTGAGTGAGTTGGGCTTACCTTTACATTTGGTACTATGACCCAATTAGGGCATGGGGAAATACCTTTCACACATTATAAGCCATGTGGAGAATCGAGCCCTGGTCGCAAGCATGACAAGAAAACGTTTTAATTACTAGGCTGTCCGCCACCAATATGGGTTATGAGGGAAACAAGTAAGTTATAATATAACGAACAGACGAATTTGTGCCAATAAAAATATAAATTTGCATGCGCCTACACAATGTTTGAACATCTTTGTAATCAAACATTCCCTTTCCCAGAGTCTGACTGGCCATTCAACCGTGTCGCTGTACTCAAAGCTGTGTGAAAGTGATCAAGAGCTAGGGGAATCCCCAAACCGACCAGGAAGAAGGTTCGGATTGGTGAGCCTATGTGTCCTCGAGTACAAGAGTGTAGCATCACGGGACGCGTTAGATCTTGTCGATAACCCCTCTCACTTCCGTTCAGAAATCAGGGTTATCTAGGTGCTAATAATATTATTCAGGTCACGTCAGAGTACAAGGTACTTGTAGTCATATCTAAGAACGAATCACACGATCACGCAGGAAATATGTTGCTGACTTTAGCTGCCAAAATGAAGCAGAACATTCCATTTATCTTTAGATTAACACACTAAACTACGATAGTAACAAACTCAAAGAATCACTAAATGCAGTTCGTTACAAGCATTTCATCCATTGAAATTGTAAAACAACAATTCGAAAAAGACGATATTTCTGTTATATAGTGAAAGCGAAGTCCACTGCACGATCTGATATACACATGTTTATGAATCACAAATAATAGTTGTGATACCAGGGTGCTGTGGCACCATAGCCACTTAGCGTTGCGACCTCGTAGTCGCGCCGGCACTGTTAACGACCCAGTAAGATCTCCTTACGATCCTTCCCCAAATACCGGTCGACTCAAAAGTCAGAATAAAGTGTATCAGTGGGGTATCCATACTGCTGTATGATATTTCAGTGTCTTTTCGTAATCCTGAAAAGTTTTATGAGCTTGTTTCTATATCGCTTATGATTGTATTGAATTACGCGATCACTAGCACAACCACTCGTCCTGTGCCAACAGTATAACAGAAGCATTGAAGCCTCAATCAAACCAACTCTTTGTCTCCGTTTAGTTCGAGAATATAACCAGTTATCATGCAGTGACATTCTATGAGTAAATACGTCACTCTTTGAAATAACTTACCCCCAGGTAGAACAGTCTTCAGAATGCAATGTATGCTTCCGTAATGTCATATTGAATAACTGTTACATACACAGGCTATAAATAGCTGTGTGGGTATGCCAAGAACCCCTCCGTTGTACTGCAGGTCAGTATATGTGCGGGTGGCTTAGTCACCCAATGAAATATAGAGAGTCATTCATACCCAAGCTTTACACTTAGTGTGAGATACACCCGTCGCTATATGACTCTACTGTAAGGGGTAACCGAATGGTCAAAGCAAGTGTGAGGCCTGAAGTTGCTGAAGACTCACTCGGAGACATATTGCGGGTTCGGTCCTCCATATGTTTGAAAACAAATTGCTTCTTGTTACAGACTGCAGGCAATGTGTTTCTCCGCGTTCGTATTCCTGAAAGAAAACCATTAACACTGTGAAATATGTATTTGGTTCATGTACCAAGAAATGTATACAGTTCTGGCACCACGAGAAATGGAGTAAATAGTACATTCTGCTCTCGGCTTACAATCTGTTGAACATCCTGGCGACTAGTGAAGGGTGGTCGGTACCCGGACAAGAGTCGCCATGTTTCCTGAATCCATCTGTTTGACATTCTGACGACTAGTAAAGGGTGATCGGTACCCGGACAAGAGTCGCCATGTTTCCTGAATCCATCTGTTTGACATTCTGGCGACTAGTAAAGGGTGATCGGTACCCGGACAAAAGACGCCATGTTTCCTGAATCCATCTGTTTGACATTCTGGCGACTAGTAAAGGGTGATCGGTACCCGGACAAAAGACGCCATGTTTCCTGAATCCATCTGTTTGACATTCTGACGACTAGTGAAGGGTGGTTGGTACCCGGACAAGAGTCGCCATGTTTCCTGAATCCATCTGTTTGGCATTCTGACGACTAGTAAAGGGTGATCGGTACCCGGACAAGAGTCGCCATGTTTCCTGAATCCATCTGTTTGACATTCTGGCAACTAGTGAAGGGTGGTTGGTACCCGGACAAGAGTTGCCATGTTTCCTGAATCCATCTGTTTGACATTCTGGCGACTACTGAAGGGTGGTTGGTACCCGGACAAAAGACGCCATGTTTCCTGAATCCATCTGTTTGACATTCTGGCGACTAGTAAAGGGTGATCGGTACCCGGACAAAAGACGCCATGTTTCCTGAATCCATCTGTTTGACATTCTGGCGACTAGTTAAGGGTGATCGGTACCCGGACAAAAGTCGCCATGTTTCCTGAATCCATCTGTTTGACATTCTGGCGACTAGTAAAGGGTGATCGGTACCCGGACAAGAGTCGCCATGTTTCCTGAATCCATCTGTTTGACATTCTGGCGACTACTGAAGGGTGGTTGGTACCCGGACAAGAGTCGCCATGTTTCCTGAATCCATCTGTTTGACATTCTGGCAACTAGTGAAGGTGGTTGGTACCCGGACAAGAGTCGCCATGTTTCCTGAATCCATCTGTTTGACATTCTGGCGACTACTGAAGGGTGGTTGGTACCCGGACAAGAGTCGCCATGTTTCCTGAATCCATCTGTTTGACATTCTGGCAACTAGTGAAGGGTGGTCGGTACCCGGACAAGAGTCGCCATGTTTCCTGAATCCATTTCTTGATGTACATTTATAGAAAATAGAGAGAAACGAAGAGAATGGTCTGTACTCTGACAAGAAATAAAACGTAATGCTCTATTTCAGAACAAATAATTATATAGATCGACAAAGTTCTTACAGGCAGCGATACAAGGTGTCATTCAAGGATATGAAACAAACGGTCAATGTTCAGCCAAGAATTTTATAGAGGACAAAATGGTTAATGTTCAGACAAGAAGGGACACGAATGATCTAATGCTGACCACGAAACAAATGGTCAGTGTTCTTATAAATAAAGGCCACAAAACCCTTTCCATATTATTAAGGCATGGCCTCAGTCTGCCCCAAATATCGCAATAGCAAATCAATTATTCATTCGAAAAGAACACGCGATCATATGCTACAAGTACAAAGAAGGAACTGAATCTGACGTAATCTTTGTCACTGATGATTGGAAATTCGATAGATTATCCACTTGCGTACCATAAAACATGCTGGAACCTTTACTGAGGCTTGGACTCAAGATTGTTCCAACAACTTCAAGAATAGACGTATGAAGCTCTGCGGAAAGAGCATTCTCTTGAATGTAAATCCGTTCCTCTTTCGTGGGAGGCTAAATTTTAATCAGACCAGGCCCGTTTTACAAGTCTCATAAACATCTAGTTCAAGTAAGAAAATCCTTGGAAGGGAGTTGGCTGTTTGAAAGTTCTTGAGCTATATCAGATCACCCATATACCCCATCGTAAAAACATCTTTGTCATATTACCTTGTTATGAACTTTAAAGAGGAAAGGATTCGTCTTCAGGTTTTAAAGTCAAGTCAAAAGCTGATAGTTCTGAAGCGTGGTTTACGGCATATTTTGTCCTCTTTTAACGACTGCCAAACGTAATCACCTGCTGTCAAAACCAGATATAGCTTCCTGTCTCAGGTAGAACTCTCCGACCCCTACACAAAAATGCAACGAAACAACATAAAGAAGCTAGTACAGGGACCTACCAGCTCAGTCGGTTTTCTGCTGTCCTTCTCAACCTGGCGCCTGGTCATGTAACTTCATTCATATGTTCATTGGACAAACGTTTGTTCAGCAGCTTTATATGCCAGATAACGGTATTTCTCTACATTCGGGTCGGTATAAATCCTCTAGCCTAATTTCCCATGTTTCCGGTTATTTTACCGCTACTGTATTTGGAATTCTTTTGTTTGTTTGACTGACATCTCGTTTGTTTGGCTGCCGAATATCCGATAATAAGAAAGAGAAATTAAACACACCAATAAAACACAAATTATATGACCAGACACAACAATAATTTGGTTTCCGTTCAAGATATGATAACGCTATGTAAGAAAATCCGACTGACTGGCACGGTTAACGACCGTAGTAGATCAGATGGTAACAGTTAACGACCGTAGTAGATCAGATGGTAACAGATTAACGACCGTTGTAGATCAGATGGTAACAGTTAACGACCGTAGTAGATCAGATGGTAACAGTTAACGACCGTAGTAGATCAGATGGTAACAGTTTAACGACCGTTGTAGATCGGATGGTAACAGTTAACGACCGTAGTAGATCAGATGGTAACAGTTAACGACCGTAGTAGATCGATGGTAACGATTAACGACCG